CAAGAATTGAGAGAAAAGAAGTAAAATTGCAATAATTCTAACGTCAACTTATCAGCTTGATACTGCAGAATCTTGGTCTCGGTGACGTCAGGGAATGTACTAAAATAGCGGTGATGTAAGGGATCGGTTCTGTTCAAAAATGTTTTTTTACCTGCAACAGTTTTTTAAACTTGTTTTTCCAATTTAGTTTTTAAGAGTTGAAAAGATTCAAGTTACAGTATGGTTTACTTACTTTACAGTACAAGTTGGTAACAATGAGGTTCAAGAATTGAGAGAAAAGAAGTAAAATTGCAATAATTCTAACGTCAACTTATCAGCTTGATACTGCAGAATCTTGGTCTCGGTGACGTCAGGGAACGTACTAAAATAGCGGTGATGTAATGGATCGGTTCTGTTCAAAAATGTTTTTTACCTGCAACAGTTTTTTAAACTTGTTTTTTCAATTTAGTTTTTAAGAGTTGAAAAGATTCAAGTTACAGTATGGTTTACTTACTTTACAGTACAAGTTGGGAACAATGAGGTTCAAGAATTGAGAGAAAAGAAGTTGTAATAATTCTATCAGCTGTTCCAATTTTGATAAAACAATGAGCGAGTGGTTGGGACAATAAGTCGTTGCGTCACTATCACTACCAGAGGTTATTAACAATAGTTATTTGTGCAACTAGTGAGAAAAGTGAGCAATTGACTCACTCGAGAGAAATCCTTACTCAGATGAATGGTTTATCGAGTGAGGCAATTGTACTTTGAACTCGAGTTGCACATTATACTTTTCCTACAGTTACCATAAAACAAATAAATTTGTGAAGAAACATAACCTATTTTTACACAGAAGTGAACTTTTAATATAACATTTAATGTGAAGTGACAAATACAACAGTACAATAGCTGACCAGCTGATTTACAGCCAGTGCTGCCAACGTATTTCGCGCGCATACGACGTTGCCTGCATGTTACGCGCTCACTATTTCGTGCCTTCACGTTGCAAATCTGGAGTGAGACAAAGTAATTAGAGTGAGACAATGTTAACATTGTCTCACTGATGAGCGAATTGGCCACTTTGCTTTCTCAAATCAGTGAGAGAACATGTACATTGTTAGGTAACTGTAGGAAAAATCATAACCTCTCTTGGAAGTTATTAGGCCTAGTAGTGGTTTTTAGTAAAAAAAAAAAAAAAAAAAAAAAAAAAAAAAACTGTCGTAGGTGAAGTAGTGTACGCAACTCACGTAGCCTTTACGACACTCATTTTAAAGGCACTCGCCAAGGCTCGTACCTTAAGTTTTCTACTCGTGTCGTAAAGACTATCTTTGTGTGGTGTTGTGTAAACTACTATTTTAATTTTGCATTTATCTACGCATTGGAATTTTACGTTCTTTTTTTTTAAGGAAGCACACCAAACCATGGTCTTGTGATCTAAATTGACTTTTTCCATAGAATTAATAATTCACAGTCCAATTAAAAATAACATCTGAGTACTGTACAAAATAAATTTGGTTTGGAATTGAATCATTAACGTGTGAACCTTAAAGAAAGAGGTTTAAATTATCAGTTTTTAGATGACTTTTGATACTCTCCTTTTTGGTGACTGTTCATTTCTATTTTATATTTAGGCAGGTTTTATAGGGTTTTTATTTATACCGGTATTTGATTTGTAGTGCTGTTTAGTAATTTATTATTGCTATCGTATATCCAATGTCTATTAATTAAATTGAAATGTAGTGTTTGTAACCAACAATAACGATTTGTTGCTAATTACAGCACTTATTTTAATTACATTGTAATTACCTTGCTTCTCTAAGTACTAAATCTCCACAACAATTACATGAGTATAGTAATTGGAATGGGTAGTTTCTCCTTTTCTCTTTCCCAGTCGGTAAGGGTAGTAGGTAGTAGGAAATTACTTTGGTGTTCACATAGCTTTAAATCTTTTACAATAGCTTTACCCGTGAATTGAACACTTTGTAATATTATTTGCTGAGGTTTCACAAAATTAATTTAGGGGTCGTTTACTTTGGCTGACTCAAACACTAATAATTTTAAACTTTATCATTACAGGAAATAAGCAAAATACATTTAGCTAATTGGTTGTTAATATTGTTAGTAAGTAAAATGACACTTTATTCAGTGTGTACATATAATTACAGAAATAACCTTTGGGCTAACTAAACTAAAAGTATATATGCCAGTCTGGGACGGGTGGCGTTCCAGAGTGAAAATTTAAAAACGTACGTTTTCAGCAAAAGCACTTTGCAAATTCTTTTCCCCTTTTTTCAAAACTTTTATTATTATTTTTATTTCATTAACATTTGAAGTTTCATAAAATGTCCATGGTAACGCAATATCTTTGGTAGTTTCTTTTTAAAAGAGCATCTTTAGTGGAAAAACACAAAATCCTGTCACGACCATAACGGACGTTTAAATGAATATTAAAAATAGTTAATATTATTTTTATAACTATGTTTTGCTATAAACTTATTTACTTTTATGACCATTATACAATAAATAGGTCACTGAGCTTTTGGTATATTTGGTCTTTCTAGAAAAAAATAAAAAAACTCAAAAAATTGAAAAAAAGCCAATAAAATCTTTTTAAGTTTGTATAACTCCGAAAAAACTTACCTGAGACCCGAAAAATCGTTATGTTTGTATAGAGGTGTGCTTCTTTTGTGTATAAAACATTGAAATATGACGATATTTTAATTTTTGAAATTTTTATGATAGAAATCATAAACGTGATGGTCAGGGACAAGCGGTACGGTCGTGAATTGTCTGGAATAATCTAAATCGTTCTAAACAATCCTTCAATTATCATGTTAGTTATAATAAAAATATGTGTTTCAATTGAACTTAACTGTTCAATTTACAATTATATTAAAGTTATTGTCACGACCAAACACACTATAATCCATAAGGCTGGATTGGTCGTGAAAAAACCCGCGATGGTCGTGAAACTTTGGTCGTGAAATTACGTGTAATTTGGCTCTGTTCTGGCGGTAGCCCTGCACCTCATTTTCGAGGATACAAAGTGGACTTCTAGGTTAATCTAGCAATTGAAATATCTTATAAACAAAAATTAACACCATGTCTACTTCATCGAATGACTACGTACGGTCATGGACACACCAAAATTACAAAAAACACAATCTTTCCTTTATTAATCTTGTAATTCCTCCTTTCAACTCAAAACGACCGGCACTACAATCCTGACGTACACCCCGAACTAGTCTCTAAAACCAACTGACTCCATCGACGCCAGGCTTGCCACTGTCGTGCTCCAAAGTTGAAAATTTTTCCCAAATGGTCGTGACGCCAAATCGAGGGACAGACTTATTTTGTCATGGTAGTCAGTTTGTAATGACAATAAAATTATAATATGCTCCTTTTTTGTAAGTTTAATAACCATTGATGACATAAAAATATGGCTTTATATATTTCGGCATGAATAATTAGTCTAAAAACAGTGTGAAAGTTGGAAAATTCACCCTAGGGACACGTCATGGTCGTGAATTTCGAGACTTTAAAAATACGAAAAAAATACCTAGAACCTATTTAAAACCAAATAAATGTGTGTAACATGTTGCCCCCGTCCCAAAAAATATTAAAACACATAATAATAAACTACAAATCCAGTATCTACGAAGTAAAAGGCCAGGGACATGAAAACGTACGTTTTTAAATTTTCACTCTCCACTATAAACTGTAGGTCCCTTAGTTGCCATTAGCTATATGGGCTATTAATTAACAGCTGTGTGTAAGGAATGTCAGCCTTAGTCACTAACAAGACTACAAGATCGCGCCACTCATCCTACACTCATCTCCATTCAATACTTGGCTTAAAATACCTACTATGTATGGTCGCCATTCATTGAACAGTATTAGCAGTATCTTTAAAATTGGCACACTTTATTTTAACTACCTATTTTGAAATTCCATAAAGAAACTTTAACAGTATTGCATCGGTTTCAACAAAATGCTTTAAATTAAAATATCTCAAGATCAGGTTATTATTTGCTTGTATAGTTGTCAACAAAATTGTAGTTAAATACAAAGTTCTCTTTCTCAACAATATCTTTAAAATAACAAATTAAAAAAAAACTCTCATGCTTCTAATTTTAATCTCTGTGTTTTGCCAAAGCAATGAAAGTTTTTAGGTATCAAAGTCGAACCCTTGTAAAAACATAAAATTGGCTTTCTTAATTTTTACCACTCTAACAAAAAATATCAATGGCCACTATTATTTTTACCCTTCTCAAACCTTCAATAAACTGAAATAAGTTAATATATCCTAGCTTTATCAACAGTAATATTGGCATCCAAGTATTTTATTTGTTAACTCCTTATATATGTAGCTCTCATAATACAGTACGGCAATCATAAAAGCCTCCATCTTATCATGACTGTGTATCCCACTCCACTTATAACACTTCAGTCAACAATCATCAAAAACATTTCCCTTAAAGGCTCCAGATGTTCTAGCCTACTAAAAGTTGTGACAGTAACCGCAGAGAAGAGAAGTTAAGTACAGAGGAAGTACTCACCTTTGGCTCGCAGGTCCCCTTGGGTTGGTAGTGCTTTATTAAATTACATAATACATCCTTGGAAAATTTCAATTTTATAGCACCTTTCTAAACAGTTCAGATTAGTATACAACAGTACAGTAAGTCACTTTTGAGCTTTTTTGCCACCATTTTTTTAAATGGTACACCTTAGTGGGGTCTAGCTCTAGTGCTGGTGTCTGGGACAAAGTACAACACCACGCCCCTCGACCTCATCTACTACAACGCTCACGGTGGAGGAAGACTTTGTGCCTTAGGAATTTTGCAGCACATTGCTCGGCGTTCGTTCGGGCTCTTCCTTGCTCGTTACAAGTGAATGCCCTATTTCCAGCACAACATACCAGAGCTGGAAGCGCACAGTCTTGCTCGTGTTTCCTCTGTATCTTACTTCTCTCTGCAGTAACTAACTCTGTATGTCTATGGTTTACTAAGTCTGATCTTCCGCAGGTCGTGGTGGCAGTGGTGAACTGTCAGTTCTCAGATGACTATGGTCCTGCGCCTCCCAGACTGTTGATCCCCGGAGCAGTGCCACTAGGACCTGCCCCCTCGGCGCCCCGACGTCCAGTGGCTAGACTACAGGCCCGCAGGCAGCAGCTGGCCCCACAGGTGGAGGCTACACCTGCGCCACCTCTCAGACTGAGGTCTAGACCCAGCAACGGTCGTGCAGGGAGACTGCCTCCGCAGCCCTCACCTCAACCTACGCTGGCATCAACCCCTCGTGAGTACCGGACAGAAACATAAAGTTTACGTTAACTGCATTTCTCTGTCTTAGTACCAGTAGGAATTAATGGAGTAAACATTCTTAATTGTTAAACAAAAAGTAATTAAGGCTTCTTCACTAACCAAGAGTAAAGAAAGGGATGCCCGACACATAAGAGTCATTAACGGTGTAGCCATATATTACAAAAACACTAAAAACTAGGTCTACAGACTGAAACCTTTGACTATCCAATAGTCAATGCTGAAACCTATTACTGTCTGTGATATGTTATAATTCTCAGAAATGTATTATATTGCATTGCTGTAAAAACATGATTATAGTTATTGACTTTGAAGTGCATATTTTTATGATTATCTCATTTTTAAGTGTACAATGCAGGCTGGCAGTTTCCATGAGACACACTATGGCCCCCTGAAAGATAACTGCCCAACCTCTGTTCTTCCATGCAGGGTAATTTTTCTCTTCCTTGTACCCCCAAAACCTCTTGTGCCCCTGGGCCCAAGCCCGCCGGACCCATTTACTGAAACGGCCCTGATACAATTCTGAATACAATTTAATTATGTTTACGTAATAGGTAACAGAGCAAGTATCACAAAAGTCTTGGAATTTATTTTTACAATATTATGCCTTAGTCTCAAAATAATTTGTAGGTAGTATTCTGATTTAAGTTGGGAACCAAATCACTAGTTGATGGCACTGATACGCTACTACCTGCAATGATTGGAAATAGTTTAACATGATCCCGAATAGAGTCCCAAGCCCTAACCTCAAACCAACTGAATGATCCATTATTGCAGTTATTAGGGATTGAAAAGGAATGAGAACCTACTTTGGAAACATCATGTAAATTCTTTTACTGAACATGGGTAACTTAACTGCTTTCCTGGACAGCATCTTTGGACTGTGTAATGAAGCCAGGACTACTTCATAGCCAGTGATCAAGTATTAACCAAACCATTCAGTATATTACATTCACTGCTATTTACACTTTCATAAACACAAGTACTCTAGCCTGGTGAATGTTGCAGCGCCGCAGCAGTTCTTCTCTCCCACATTCACAACGCTGCAGCAGCGACCACAGTCTTTCAGCCCACAGGAGGATGCTCCCATCAGACCAGTAATAGAGGAGACGGAGGACGACTACGAGGAGGAGGTTAACAACTTCTCTGCCGCTCCTAACCCTACGACACCACCTCCTCCCCCACCGCCACCCCCCGCACCACAGCGACCTGCGTTCCGCCCCGAGAGGCCTGCGTTGTTGCCTACACCCGCTCCTGAGCTTAACTTTGTTTCGCCACCCAGGCAACAGGTAAAATGGTTACGGTTTTTGACTTTTATCAACATATTTTAGTTACCACACGGAGAAGTAATTAAGGTACAAAGAAAACGTTGAACGTTCAATTGTACACTTAAGTGGTGTCTAGAACTATTCGCTGGTGTCTAGGGCAAAATCCAACACCAACCCCTCTCACTCATACTACAATGCTCACGGTGGAGGAAGACTATGTCCCAGCATACCACAGCTGAAAGCGCATGGTCGTCTCATAAGCAAGTTTTCTCAGCACCTTACCTCTCTGTGGCTGAGGAGAAATTTAAAGAAATATTGCCTCTAATGTTATCCTTCATAGAATGACATTGAACTAAAGCAAGTGGATTGCTTGTCAACTTTTCTTTTACTGTAGGCTTTTAAAATAAAAAACACATTGTTATGTTTCTTCTAACTAACCAACCAAGAGTTTTGCTCCCCTTATAGAGTATAAATTATAATGTTATTTATCTGAGTGTGGGTTGAAGTGTAAGTTTCCTTTTATTTCGGTCATATTTGGATAAATATTTAATCAAGTATGTAAAATGTTAGTTTTTTATGCAGGTCTTCTTAAGTAATTAATGAGGTGATTTCAAATATGAAACTAAAAGTTGTATCAAAATCATAGTATTTATTATTTTATTCAAATTTGCTTGATATGTAATGGCTTTTGAAAGCTGCATACTAGATTTAATATTTTCTTAAATGTATATTCTGTATTGAAGTTCCCCTGAAAAAAAAACTATCAAGCTATTTTATATATAATTTTTCCATGGTATACATATGAAATTACTATATTATAGTGAATAGTCAATTATATAATCTAGTTGTAAACTAGGAATATTTTAACAAAAATATGATTACAATTTATTCTTAAGTTACCTCTTGAAAAAAAATCAATGGCATCAGAAGAGTTCATTTATTGTAAACAAATATTTGTGTACAGTAGACATGAACTCTTGAGGTGCATCTATAGATAGAATTTATATGCGCTCAGCTATGTAAACATTTATGTATACATATTACGGCCGCTTATATGCATATTAGAAATTATACAAACTTATTATGTATTTTTGGTTTTAATGTACATATCTTGAGGGAAACTACTAACAATTATATTTACATCCTATATGTAAATTTTAGTGAGCATGTACTTCTAGTATAACTCAGCTTTAAACAGTGTAAATAAAAAAACAGTTTGACCATTTTTTTTTTTTTTTTTTTTTGTAAGTAAAAGTTACATTATTAAGTAAGTAAGTGTTACATTATAAATAAATAGAAAATTGTACAGAAATATAACCCTAAAACAGTACGGTCAAGGACTAACATGGTGCTTATACTTTTAGGATGACTAATATATTTAATCTATTTTACACTATTTATAAAATACCTGAAATGCACACTAAAATAAAATAAAATATGGTTGCTGTATATAAATTGGGAACTAAATACTAGGGTATGATTGTAAGAAATAGATAACATTCAGACAAAAGATAAAACTAAATATTTCAGTTGTAAATATGAAATTGCAAATGCTACTAACTATAACTCATAACTACTAAAATGTCTGTACATCTGGCTAACTGGGGGTAGGTGGGGGAAAATAATAAAATGTTACAAATAGGAAACAAATATTTTGATTTTAAATTTTAAATTTGTTTCATTAGCCAAGGCCAGCTCCGTCCATTCTACCAGACGATGACGAAAGTCTGAGACAGTACAGCAGGAACCAATATACTTCCAGGACCAAAGTAAATCTTAGACACACAACATTACAGATTATAAATAATAACTACTATTGGTATAACATAAATAAATGTGAAAAATACACTCCTAATAAATTTATAAAGTGATATTTAATTTTGTAATCTTGTTTTTTATTGTTGGTAAAGAGTTTTATTAACAGTTGACAATACAATTTTAAATAAATCATCAATGATCAGAAACATAGAATAACATTTCTGTATGCTTTGGATTGAATGTGGATTGAATTGCTGTAAAAAAATATTTAAGTAGGAATTAGGATAAAAAAATTGAAATTTTTACATTATTCTATTTTAAGTAATTTTCAGGATTAATAGGATTTAAAAACACATTTAAGATGAGTGTCAAATTTTAAAACTGATGTAAAAACAGCGGAGATACAATAATTATTTTTCAGATACTAAAAAATTAATACAAAATGGAAACATTAAATAGTTTATGCTATTGTTTCAGTTTAAAGTGATTTAATTGCTATACATCAGTGTAAAAACTGTTTGAAAACACAGGAGGGAGTTTAAGCTCTTTGCAGTAAAGAGTATTTTAGATTGTCTAAATTGATTGGCTAGCTTTATTGTCTAACATAAAAACCACTAAGAGCTTGAAAGCTCAACAACACTACAAAAAACACTGTTAAAACACTGTAAAAAGCACGGTTTTTTAAGTGGTATGGTTTACACTATGCATGGTCCCAAGTGGGGCCTTGCAGCTAGTGAGCAAATCTGAAACAGAAATATATCTCCCCTGTGGGCTGTTGAGCTCCTAGTTGAACTTGCCAAAGGCACTGACCAAGCAAACAGCAGACAATGTTGAAACAGTTCAGACTCTTATTTGCGTAAAAACATAAGTCAAGTCAACCAAGAGCAAAGTGTTATGGGATTCAATGTCAGTGAGTAAAGCGGAAACACTTTAAAAATCCTCATTAAATACAGTCCTACTCCTTTTATGTATTGCCGAATTTCAACTGAAACTAATCAAGGTACTTTCATAAGAACTAACACATGTTTATTTTGTCTCAGCAGGCAAGGCCCACCCCTGTAGCGGAGGAGCAACAGTTTAACAGACAATACAACAGAGCCCAGTCAGTAGTGAGGGCCCCGCAGAAGCCTTTGTATACCAGCCCCGCCAAACAAGACTACGAGAAGCCCAACAAGGCCCAGCGGCCCAGGAAACCAGTTGCTCAGGTCAGCAAGAAGTGTTATTTTGCATGTGATACATTTTCAAAGTATATATAATCTTACCACGGTTTGAAGCTTTCCCTATAAGATGTAAGTCCACCTGTCTATAAAACAAAAAATGCACAATAAGCTTCAGTTGACGTGCTCGGACCACGAGTCCTCCCATCTCACAATACAATAAAACAAAGAGACAGATCGCCTTTTGGATAAATAAAAATGTGTCTGTATTATTTAACTTTTTGGACCCAAAGCTGGCTGATTGCTACGAAGCACCACAGTCATAGGAGGAGCCCAAGCTGAGTAACCTCTATCCTAACGGAAAGCTAAATTTTACTGAATATAAAAGGTTTAATTTACCTGTTGTGTCAATTGATCCTTAAGTTATAAAATAACTACGGCCGTTTTGTGCTGCTAAGTGAGCACATCTTCAGGTTGTAGGAACGTTAAGATACGATCTTCTATATTCCGACGCAACAGGCAAATTAAACCTTTTATATTTGCATTATCTTGATCCAGAGGCTAGCCCATCACTAAATTTTGCTGTCGCTAACTCTCTTGAAACCCCATCATTTATCATTCAACCGTCAAACTAAAGAACAAAGCTTATACCAAGATATCACAGACAATCTCAAAACTTCCACTCGGGTAACTACTGATCAACTCATTTTGCAGGTTTTGAGGAGATACCGAGAGGAGAACGAAGATGGCAGCATCACTTGGGGCTATGAGAACGACGACGGCTCCTTCAAGGAAGAGACAATCGGCACAGATTGTGTGACTTACGGCAAGTACGGCTACATCGACCCAGATGGCACTCGTCGTGAGTACACTTACAGCACCGGCATCCCTTGTGACAGGGAGAAGGAAAAGGACAGCCAGAATCAGGCTAGCGAAGGGTAAGTAGTGTTTGCAACTTCCAGTAGTTCTATAGCACAGTCATGGAAAAAACTTTGTTAGGAGAGGTCCTCATTTAATAGATAATATCTACTAGGCAGGCATGAATAGAAATTAATGAAACCGTACAAGTTATACATTTTTTACTTTATTTCATTACACTCAACTAATATGGCACAAGGTTACAAATTTTGCAAGATTTTACAAAAATGTATTATTCGTTAGATAAGATTAAGAATGTGTATGTGTCATTTCAAAACTGTGACTGAGCTTCTAAAACTGGTTCTTATGCTAAAAGGAAATCTTATGCTATAAAATTTGAGTCATTTAATGCTACTGTAGTAAATTTTATGTGTTACACGTATGTTACGATTTATGGTTAAACGTGAGTGTGTCAAAACTAATTATGTTTAAGGGTTAATTTTGCAAGTAGCACTTTACTTTTACTTTTTTGCTAACATTCAAATGAAAAGCTGTAGTTTACAAAACTGTTTTAATTAGTTGTGATAATTGGTAAATTAATTAATGTAGGAGGTATCAACGCACCCAACCAAATCACCACACACACAAAAGGCTTAAAATTGTCTTCACATTCTCCAAAATATTAAAAATTATTGAAGGACATATGTTCAATCACACATTAATTAATTTACCTAATGAGTCTTGACATTAAAACAATTTCCATACTCTACCAAACATTTTAATCAGCTTTTGTAATTTTAATCAGCATTTTAAACCGTTTCCATTAAACTCTACTGAGCTTTTTGACTGTTTTTGCAGATACATTGACTACGCAGAAAACAAGTACGTTCTACCCAGCGGCGAGACAATCGACCTTAACAAGATGGTGAAGAACCGAGCTAGAAAACCTGTGCAAAACACTCAATACAGAAACTAAAGAGTGAACTAAAAGACTTATTCAACAAATCAATGAAATGCTTACTTCATACGCGGAAAGTGAGCGAGAGGTACCTTTGTGGTACTGGTGCCAAAACTGTGTAAAAAGTCACACAACTATAATTTGATCACTGTCATATTTAAAATGTACCTCATAATCAGATCCATTGCAGTTGTAAGATTTCATTATTTTTGTACTGTGTATGTATCAATGTTAAATTAATTCAATTTCCTATGGAAATTTGAAATAAAGTTATAAAAAAACTTTATCTGCCTTGTTTATCTCCCTGAGTAAAAATAAATTATAAATACTCAAGATTTTATAATTTGTATAACTTTTGGGCCCTGGAGAGCCAGAAGAGCACTGCTGATAAGAAATTCAAACCTTTGCTCCTTCAGGTCTCATTAAAAATTCATTACTAAACAAATTACATTGATTAAACCCTTTTAAACAATATGAAATATTTATAAAATCTACCTACTTCTGTTACATAAAGTACCTACAGTAATTTTTTTTACAGAGCACAGCAATAATTTCACAAAGATATGTTTTTGAGTTTTTAAACCCGGTGAAAATTAGTTTATTTCTAATATCCTTATCAATAATGTGATCAGTATTGTCGTTAATATTTAAAACAATTACATTTTATTACAAAAAAAAATAAAGAGTGATGAAAAAATTATAAAAAATGAAAAAATGATGATAAAGAAATGAAATAATTGCTGCTTTAGTATAAAAGTCTTTAAAATTTCTAAAACTACATTTAAAAGCTAAAAGCTTAATTACTTATAGTTGATGTGAGCTATGGTGCTGATTTTCAAAATCAGGTACATAACAATTTCCAAAATTGACCAGTAATTTGAATGCTGTAATGCCATCATGAAATTGTGATGAATAAAATATGTATCATAATAATCATTCTACTTCTTTGCAGCAAGAGGTACAGTTTGTCCTTTTTTCTGAGGCTTCCCAATATTCTCGGCTTCCTCAATGGTATCAGGAAGAGGTGTGTTGAGAGTTTCAGGGCAGGTCAGGGTGAGCATACCACCCATAATTGAGACCAGGGAAAATAATATCATCGGATTGAAGTACATGCTCTGTAACAGTAATGACATAAACAATAACGATAACATAATAATTGTAATAAGTATAACAATATAACAGTATTAGGATTTTTGGAAATTGAATTTCTTAATAAAACTTCAACGATAACAGTCAACTACCCTTTGGATTTAATTTGGCCATAATGTACCTACTTAAGAGTTACTCTCTTATTTTAGTACAAATACAGTAAACACAAACAGTTAACTTTCTGTCTACTTTTCAGTTTAAGCAGGTAAATAAATGAGAGGCAATCATGAAATTTTTAAATTGATTCAGGTCATTCAGGAACTAATTGTTTAAGTGTGTTTGCTCTCTTAGTAATGGCAAATTTGCCTGTTTGTTAATTTTTTTTAAGTCACCGGAATTGTTTTAAAAACCAAACTCATTGGGTTAACCTCGAAACTACAAGATAGATTTGGACTAGTATAGATTTGGGATACATTGTCAGCAGCTGTAATATTTGTGAGTTGCGCCACAGCCACCTCTAATACAAGGACGCGGCGAGTGAAAAGCGGCAACGTCGCATCAGTGTCTTGGCGTTCGGTCGTTTTACCATTACAGTGAATGGAGGAGTCGCGTACTCGACGTACATAATCGCGTTTCTACTACCTTTAATCATTAGTAATGGCATTAAACTTCTTACTACAGCATGCCAGATAGATGTGATGTGCCTGGATGCAAGAATAATTACGATAGCTCAATTAAAAATGAATAATACATACAGTGTTCTAAGATTCTACTTGATCCACCGCATAAGCAACAATTAATTGCTTTCTGCTATTCTTCGATCAAATTAGACATCTAAAAAATATTCTCGTTTTTGTGTGAAACATTTTTCACGAATATGACCTTAGATTAAATTTGTAAAAAAATGTAAGAATAAGACAATGATTCGTGTAAATATAGACGCGAGAAACAAGTTTTAGGTAGTAATGCCGTACTATTTCCTTGTTTATTTGTCTATCTTATTGATAAATGCTGTTGTTAAGTGATTAAAATAACTTAAATAAATGCCACTTCAAAGAAATAAGCCGGTGTTTCTGTTAAGTAGGCCTACTAGTAAAAAATATGTAACCTACTGCACCATCTAACAATTAAAGCATCATAGTCCAGTCTGAATGTTGATGTGATAAAGAATTCTATTAATATTGTGGAAAGCCATATGGAGGCCTAGCTTCTGAAATCGTTTACAAAATGGCAAACGTTTTTCTTAGTAATTATTCAAAGAAAATAAATTATTTAGTCAGTATGCCTTCAAAATGAAAACTTCAAATTTTGTTGTTGCTAACTTATGGTTTCCTCAGGTAGACTAAAACATAATATTCCTATTAAAAATTTAAAATTAATTTTATTTTAGCAAATTGTTAGATGTTAGTCTCTACAAATCCCAAAGTCTCTACAAATATTGAAGTGGCAATAAGTTAGTCCTACTGTATAACTATTCTTGGTATAGTAGCTTTATTTTGTAAAATTTAAGCACAGTCTGTCTAGTAGTTTTTACTATGTTGAATAACACACATATATACAGACACCATGAGATTGTTATATAATAGTGTAGATTAACAAATTAACAAAGGAAATATTTAAAGTTCATCTATTTCCACATTCATCGTACTTACAATACGATAAATGCAACCAAAAACATTATGTTTGTATATTTTTAGTTTTAGACATATTGCGGTATGTTGCAATTTTTCACTAAATAAACAACCTAGATTACAATTTTGTCCATTTTACCATACCTTAAAATCTACTAAAATATGTTATTACGTATTTAAATACTTTCATTCATTGATACAGAGCAGCAATACTCTCATTGATGTTCATAGCCTAGCGCGTGTGAAGACGGACGCAAAGGGGGTGTGATTGCGGCGTTGCCAGTTCGAACGTCGCGGCCTTGTATTAGAGGTGGCTGTGGTTGCGCCCACCCAGGGAATTTCAACCTCTTTTGGGTCAGGCTGGACATTCCAGCCACAAGTGTTTAGAGGTTTCCACCTCGTTTTTACAGGATCTGCGTAAGTCTGTCTGTAACCTTCCGATGGTTCTAGGGTGTTTCCTAATAGAGTCGTGCCCAGTTAGCATCCCTACTGGGTAGTCTGATTTCCCCCTTAGTCTCAGCAAGCCTTTCCATTCCTTCCATTTTTTGTGGGCCTTAGTCCTGGTTTGGTGCTCCTGGGAAGGTCTCTGCCTTCTGGAACTTAACCCAGTCTTGGACTTTGTTCCAAAACTAATCAGGCACGGCTAGACTTACAATGAGAGGTGTCTGCTGAGTGAGAATAGAGCCAACTCGTCCCACCATGGAGCAGCAGGCCAGCAACGTCTGGCGCAACTCTGTTGGGAACACTTCAGCTGTGTAGACGTACAACACTGTCAGTGTCAGAGTAGAGGCAAACTTGGACGTGAGGAACAAGAACACACCCAACACCACTTGACCTACGACAAAACATTAGGATAAACGATAAAGTTAAGCCATGGAAATGAGAAGGATAGGATAGGAAGAGAGATGTAGGCTTATGAAAAGTTACCATAGGGTAGCGGCTACATATACCCAGGAATATATTGAGGTTAAAAGAGAAACCCCAGATATAAACAGCAATAGATAATATTTTCAATATATACATGATGTACATACAATTTTAAAGTTGTTTTCTACAAATTTGTTCATGTTCTGAATCATTACAACAATTTACAACCTATAGTTGTCACAGATGTATTAGTCATCTAAAATATACAAAAAAACAAAGTGTTGCCTGACTGAGAAAAGATAAAAGAGAGGCTCAAAGATATATTTTGCTGTACACAAAGCGTTTCAACACATACACAATCCAACTAATATATTTTTGCAGACTTTTTTTATATCACAATCTTAAGTTAATTCATCCATTCTTTAGTTGGAAAATATTACTCTATTACTCTAAATCAATGAGCGTTTTCTATGCAACTTTACTCTTACCCTTGCTAACAACCATGAGAAGAAAGCAAGTTACGCCACAGAGGAAGAATGACCACGCGGTGGTGCCTTGTCTACCCAGCAATGGCCAGTCAGGTAGCCACAGACTGGCTACATAGGCTGGTACCTCTATCAGGCTGACCAATACGAAGGACACGTAGCGGTTGCTGCTCTCAAACAAGGTGGTGTACTGGGAGATACCGTAGTAGGAGAAGATGGAGGCCATCCTGGAATAGATAAAATAAGATTAGATTAAGTTCTTTTTTACTTGTTCAAAATGGGGTGAGTGATTTTAATGCGAAGATGAGATAACGTTGACTGTTGAAAGAACGAGAAGTCAGCTTTGTTACTGCCTAGGATCAACAGATTTTTTAGAGAGGAGCATTCATTTAAAACCCAATAATTCTGAACAGGTATCAAGTATTAAATTATTTAAAAGATATCAACTCATCTCAGAATTTAACCGGTGATATTCTAATTATCAGGCAAAGACCTACCTCAACCACTCAGCTACCCAACTACTTAATAATTAAAAAAATTTCCACAGAAAAGTAAGGTTTCGTTGAGTTGAATTGAACTATAGGTAACAAAAAAAATATGATACCCCGCCGCAGCAAATGTCATATTTATTCCTTATTTACATTCGTTTAAAGAGTACTTTGGTTTGCTGCTACAAGGAAGGTAATTACAGGTTTTTATAGTTAAATGTCATATGTATAGTATATGAACGATAACATTTTCCAGCTTTATAAAAATATGTTCATAAACAAGCAAACGGCAACAGTTTATTCTGATTCACCATAAAAATAACATGGACTTTTGAAATTTACAGTTTTTTTTTAAGCTTCTCCTTAATGATTAAGCGCATGACAATGCTTCAATATACTAAATCATTGGGTCTTTAAGCTCTACAAAATGGTTTGAAAAGGAATTGAAGATTTTTATATTTTTAGGGTAAAAAATGGGAAAATCCCCACAAACCCACATTATCATAGTCTGATCATGCTGGTTTTGTAAACTCATTGAAATATGTAGGTTTACACTATAATAACTTAAATTTCATATCATCAAAATTGGATCATTTTTGCAGGAGTTATCCTGCTAAATGACACATTATAAATATCTAATATTATAAAGAAGAGGTGGTGTCTCTGTCTGTCTGGTAAAACTACTTACCAACACAAGGCGAGGGCGATGAATCGACACATGATGATACGGGATTTCAAAACCGCCGTTAGTCGGCTGGGTTTTGGTGCTTTTTCTGACTGCTCTGTTGGTTTTAGGCTTTTGTCTTTCTAGAACACACCATCCACGGTTTTACTGTGTGATGATCAAGAAACAAAGCATCTCATACAGAGAGAAAGGCCTTTTTTTTAATTTTAAATTCATTTTTAGCCTATTTTAATTTATAAAGGGATTCTGCACATCTACAGGAAAATATCAGAAAAATAAGTGTAGATTTTTCCTGCGATGCACACCAGCAAGTAGTTTTCAAGAAATACGCTTGTCTATTAATAGAAAATTGCTTCTTCTATGGTACAGTATACTATGATAGTTAGTTAATGGGCGTGTAACAAATTATTAATACAGTAAGTTGTCCTTTGAGTTTGGCTAGATTAACTGTTAAGGTTTAAAAAAGGTACTGTACATCATTCTACAGCCACACACTCTGAGGTGGCAAGTAGCGCCAACATAAACATTGGAATGTAATGCCTACTTCTAGACATTAAACACTGAAAGAAAATAACATTAGGGTGATTGGTGATCGTACATTTTGATCATGAGTATTAAAAACATATCTGATAACAAAAATAAAAATGCATAAGAAACTACATAGGCCTACCCTGAGTGTGCGCGTTACGCAGCTGGCTCAGAACACTCGGCAACTTGTCTTCAGTGTTGTTCATCTTGGCCATCCTGCCGAAGATTTTCTCAATGTCATCTACTCGATCTTGAGTGTGCAACCATCTAACTGACTCTGGAAGGAACCTGAAAACATTTCAAAACCAGCCACTTATTAATTGTGTTGGAGATGGAAAGCTTAATTACCTTTCTAACTTTAGAAATCCTTAGAAACTTTAGAAACTTTAAAACTTTAGAAATTTAGGTGTTATTTGTTATTCAACTACATTTCCGCCATGGGTTTTCTTGTTTTCTGAACACAAAATTCAATTTTCTTTTCAAACATGTATTTTAGGGACACATCCGAAAAGAGAACAGGTAAAAAGTAGAAAAATGCATGTGTAGAGTTTTGATTTTGGAATTCATGAAGAATCCATTCATCCAAAAATCACCTGATTATAGCCATCCATTAAACCTTGGATGGGCCTCTCTACCAAATTGTGCTACAGGGGAACTCCTCATAAACACACACCAGACCTGAAGACATGAGAATGCTCGATCTACGATGCTGTTTCCTGACTAAGACAACGACTTATGTTACTCATGATATTGATCGGACCTAACAAATCTATTATAGCCAATAGGGTGTCCCGTAACTCTCTGGACACATGTATATGGCGTTATTGCTTAGGTCAAGACAAACACATTTCACCATAGGAACATGTGTCTGTGGTGTCTAGTTTACCGACTGTCGGCATTTATGTGTTTTTTACAAAAACATTAATAACTCCTAACGGTTTGAGATACAGCGTTGAGATTTTGCAGAAATGTTATTCTTATTAGGGTTTATTTTTGTTTAAAATTATACTAAAAAATCATTAACCGTTTCAAAATGGCAGCCATTTAAACAATGCTAATACTCCTTTTACGTTGTTTAGCATTGTTTAAATGGAGAAAAGTGGTCATGCATTTGGAAAAGAAGACATTTCCCTGTTATTATTTATCCATTTTTACGAATAAGGTATCATTGAAAACTACATAAAATTTACTAACTTTTTTGTCTTTTGCAAGTTTTTTGTAAAGTTAACGGTTTTCGTAAAATTTGGCATCAAATATTTTATATGGCTGCCATTTTGAAACGGTTAATTATATTTTAGTATAATTTCAAACAAAAATAAGCCCTAATAAGATTAACATTTCTGTAAAATATCAACGCTGTATCTCAAACCGTTTAGGAGTTATTAGTGTTTTTGTAAAAAACACATAAATGCCGACAGTCGGTAAACTAGACACCACAGACACATGTTCCTATGGTGAAATGTGTTTGTCTTGACCTAAGCAATAACGCTATATACATGTGTCCAGAGAGTTACGAAACACTCTGTATAATAACACTTTCAACTCCTCAAAAAAAAAAATGCTAACAACGTAGACTAGAACAACAACAACAATGTTTTCCACGTTACTACTTGGTTTAGAGGAAGTCGTGGCATTATCATTTGGATAAAATCCATTGGTGAATGGCAGTATTTTAACCCAGGGGGACCAAAGTCCCGTGCTCTACCACTAGACCAGCTCGCTCCCCAGGTTCTCTCAAGTGCTGCTCATAACAGTGATAGTTTTTAGACATCACTGCTTTATCTTTATCATTAGATTGTTATTGAGGATTTTGTCGTATGATAGTATGTCACATATTCAAATCTGTTTATTATTTTTGTGCAAAATGTGTTTTTCTCACCAAAGAATGAGCACCAGCAGCAGTGAAGGTATGTAGAGAGCTCGCAACATCAGCCTCCAGTCAGCCATTGCCCACATCACCAGGGCTAGCACAACCTCTCCCAGGGCGAAGTAGACACAAATCAGCAAACTGCCCAGCAGACGCTTTTTTGGGGCAAGAGTCTCCAGACCTGTGCAAAGCAAATGAATTTTTCTGAGAAAATTTATGGTTGAGTATCTCAAATATAGGGCAGATCGCCAGTCAGATCATCGAGTACACTCAGGGAAACATACTTTACTTTAGACTTTTTAGTTAATTTCTGTAGGGTTTACTAATTTAAAATTGAGTATATTATCATTGACAATTATGTTTCTGTTTTACTCTTTAAAACTCTGTTAAAATAAATAAATTAGTTTTTTGCCATTTATCTCGGAATACCATTATTTATCTCGACCAATTGTCTGGGATTTAAGTGGTTTTACAGATTGCTCGTTTTTTAAATATGAAGTTTGCTAGTTTGATTCAAAGTGACGTCATGTCTGATCTCAGAAATCATATGTCATGAGTCAAAGTTTTCAAAATTCTGTTCTTTGGATATAACTGGAAAATGTGGTGATTGGTTTGTAGAGATTGCAGATTTGTTGATTTTACATGGATATGAGCCTTAGGGAGTAGTTCTAGTTCTGGTAGGTGGGCGGAAGAATCAGGTTGTCTGAGGTGGTCAAGTATATTCTTTAGATTTTGTAGTTGTATGTACACAAAACAGGGAGGTTCCTCAAAGGGTTTCCTATGTCACTCTTGACAAAGTCCTCCAATGAAAGAAAAAAAATGTTATTGTGTTAGCTGAGTTTTCAGTGTATAATGGTGTAATGATATTTTTATGGTAAGCTAGTTGTTATATATTTACTGAATTCTCAGTCTTCTGGTGAGAGCCTCGTCAAGCTGGTATTTACACTATTAACAAAGACAGACGTTTCACCCATTCTATGATGAGGCATCCTCAGCAGGGGCAATGCTGAGACTGCAAGGGCAGGACAATATACAGGGTTAGTAAAAAGTGTGGAGACCCCCTGTTATTTTTTTAACGGTCCATACTAGAAAAACTAAACTCGGCACACCTTTATGGCATGTTATGAAGTACTTTTTGGGCATAACCATCACTTGGTGTATATCCCCGAAATGGGGGATTTTGGGGGAAACTCAAAAATTTCAAATACAAAGACCTATCGAGTGACCCCTCATTTTGAAGGTCCTGGTATAAGAAAACAAAAAACGCAAACTAGAGGTCTTTATCTCAATCCAGTAAAAAATGGCAGCCAATTGAAATTCTCAGAAGTTGAATTTAACTTGCAGCTTTCCAAGTCTGGAGACCCCCTGTAAATTTTGTAACGGCTCACACTAGGAAAACTAAACTCTACACACCTTTTTGGCATGTTATGAAGTACTTTTTAAGCCTAATAGCTACTTGCTTACCAAACCCAAAATGGGGGATTTTGGGGGAAACTCAAAGATTTCAAATACAAAGACCTATCGAGTGACCCCTCATTTTGAAGGTCATAATAAAAGAAAACTAACAACGCAAACTATAGGTCTCTATCTTAACACAGTAAAATATGGCAGCCAATTGAATATAAAATTGCAAGTTATTTCCAATTTGTAAACGTTTCAATCAGCTTCCATTTTTTACTGAACTGAGATAGAGACCTCTAGTTTGCGTTGTTGGTTTTCTTTTATTATGACCTTCAAAATGAGGGGTCACTTGATGGTGCTTATCATTTAAAACTTTTGAGTTTCCCCCAAAATCCCCCATTTTGGGTTTGGTAAGCAAGTAGCTATTAGGCTTAAAAAGTACTTCATAACATGCCAAAAAGGTGTGTAGAGTTTAGTTTTCCTAGTGTGAGCCGCTACAAAATTTACAGGGGGTCTCCAGACTTGGAAAGCTGCAAGTTAAATTCAACTTCTGAGAATTTCAATTGGCTGCCATTTTTTACTGGATTGAGATAAAGACCTCTAGTTTGCGTTTTTTGTTTTCTTATACCAGGACCTTCAAAATGAGGGGTCACTCGATAGGTCTTTGTATTTGAAATTTTTGAGTTTCCCCCAAAATCCCCCATTTCGGGGATATACACCAAGTGATGGTTATGCCCAAAAAGTACTTCATAACATGCCATAAAGGTGTGCCGAGTTTAGTTTTTCTAGTATGGACCGTTAAAAAAATAACAGGGGGTCTCCACACTTTTTACTAACCCTGTATATACAAGCTCGATTTACCCTGTTTTGGTAGTCTCTGCTTTGCCACTGAGGATACCTCATCATAGAATGGGTGAAACGTCAGTCTTTGTAAATAGTGTAAAATACTAACTTGACTACTTGACTTTCACCGAAAGCCTGTCAATTCAGTGATGACACCTGCAGATTACACCCACGAATGAAGACCACTATTACTTTATTCTAAACATCGAAATCCTTCTACTATCAACCATTCACTTACCGAGAATGAAGGCAGGAGAGTACACAGCTCCTGCCATGAATCCATCCAAACACTCCATAATGAGTGACATCGTGTAGTTCACAGAGAAAGATCTGATAACTCCTGTCACAGCCAGAAATACACAGCCGCATACCAGCACTGTCTTCCGACCAACCCTGTTTGAAGTTTTGAAGGTTGAATAACTAAAGAAACTTTTCAAAGTGAAAATGAGATTCACAAATACATTGTATACAATTATTTTTGGAAATAAATGTTAATTTGTCCTCCTGATCATTACAAAGATGTACATCTTGTACATCGTTTTGCTATACTGTTTGAAAGTAGCTTCCTCCTGTACTACTGATCTAGTCACACTGAAAATCCTCATTTGGTTGGCACGATTACCAAAGGATAATCACATTACTCCCTATTAATTTTCCTATTTTTATATTTATAAATAATGCTGTGATTGTGTTGCATTACTTCCACAGTGCTTGCCTATGGTAATTTCAACGTTCAAAGCTGCTGGTTCGATCCTGAGAAAGGTTATAGTAGCTTTTTGAGGGTTCAAAACTGAACCCAGCTGTCCTTGATCGTTCTTGGCTAATGCATCAGCTTGTTTTAGCCAGTAAGAAAGCTAAACAAGGCATCTCACTTCATTTCACCCATCCTTCACTCATATTTGGGTATGTCCCCGTCTCAATTAGTAATACATACTATAATGTACAACTTCCTGCTTACCTGTCAGATATTAATCCAGCAAGCGGAATGCCGATGAAGCCTGGGATCACACAGACACTACTGAGGAATGTAAGCTTATACTGATCTTCAGGACAGAGGATTTCAAACTGAAACACAATGTTTGGACTTGGTGAATAACGAACCAAAGAGAAGTCTGCTTCCATCAAAATAGAATTTTGTCATATTTGTTTACTGACAATCGTTGACGTAAACTGCAGCAGCCAGGAAGAACTATTGGCAATTATTTGATGAGTCTTCTCAGGATGAAGGAAAATAATTGGGAAGATATTAAAAGACTATGGGAATCACTATTATGAGTTTAATTTATGGGTGATTGAAGAAAATAACACGAGAGGGTTAAGTTGTATGAGGGTGACCAGTGACAAGATTCATGATTGGACCAAAATATAACACCAGATGAAACACACAGGGTGAAAATCAACAGAGTCTTGTAAGTGAACTCACATCTGTTCCTATGGTCTTGGTGGGTTCAGAGAACACCCATTCATCGCAAGTGACCGTCACATTCTGGTTAAACATGTCAGCAGAACACACAGTTTGGTTATTGACCACAGCCGCAGACAGAGGTTGATATCGTAGACACTCATGGGGAACGTGATTGTTTGCTCGATCAGTGAAAGGAACTGCTGCATGGAGCCAGGGTGCGTTGAAGTCTGCTGTATTGGGAGAGTCCTCACACTCAGGAACAAGACATCTGAACAAGCAAGGCAAGGTAAGTATAAACGCCACGCCAAAATACCAATAAAGCCAGATGGTTCATCATATTTCTCTATTCTTTTGATCAGGGCTGCTTTTATAAAAGGTTAAGTTTGTTTGGGGAGCAAGGAAGAGAAAAGTTCCCTAAGAGGAAGGGAAGAGGGGCACAATTTTCTCTTGGGCCATATAGCACATCACATGAAAACTGCAGGCCTGCTTATAAAAAAAGTTGTTTTTTCATAAAAGAGTATCACTGGACAGACACAAACACAAGAATAAGTAAATAACAAAATAATTACAGTGTATAAATGAATTGTTATGTTTAGCATGTACTAGTTTTAAGTTGGTAAAAATAACAATTAAATATATACAAGTTACATAAACCTTGAAACTGTTTTCAGAATTTTCAGCCACGGAGAAGTAAGGTACAGAGGAAACTCGCTTATGGGACAATCATTTGATTTCAGCTATAGTGCTATTGTGCGTTGTGTTCAAACACACTTTTTCTTCCTAGGACAAAAGGCACGAGCCCGAAATTGTTTTTCACATTACTTCATGCTAGACCTTGGGGTTGCGGGCATTATCACTTAGATAAAATCCTTTGGTGATTCGGCGGGATTTGAAACCGGGGCCTCAAGGACCGAAGTCCCGCGCTCTAACCACTAGACCAGCTCGTTCCTCCTGTACAAACTAGGAGAAATACTTGTGATTATAAGGAAGAACACCGAGCAAGGAACAATAAGCAAAAATTCCTATCGCACAGGGTACAGGGTCTTCCTCAACCATGAGTGTTGTAGGACATGAGGACGATGGTCGGTGTTGGACTTTACCCAAGTTAACAGTGCGACCATTGCTAACACCATTTACGTGTAACATTGAATGTTTCCTCTGTACTTTAGTTCTCTGTGTTTCAGCTGAGCCGCGTTTACGAGGCCAGTTGGCATGGTAGGCAGTTTACCTGCCCCATGGAACTTGAAATTAGATAACTTGTCAACTTGTCACATAACCTGGTTTCCTACCTTCTGCTCTTGTGTAAACATGGATGGCAAATTTATAAGGTAGAGTATTCAATCCAAGCCATTATCTTCTCTAAGGTAAGTTGGATTAACTTAGAGCTAGCAGCAGTCTGTAAATTTGCTTTTGACTTAACTATTTTAATACTACTCAATACACCATGGTATTAGAAGCAACAGCTTTGATGTCATTCAGAAATTTGATCGATTCAAATGGTCCATTGGTGCACAGACCTGTGTGGTATACTCATTGTGGTGAAGATGTACTCCGTGGACCGGAAACCACACATGATGATAGGAAACATTAGTACAGTGAAGCAGAATGCCTGGTACTTGCCAAACTGTCCCAGGTCCTTCAGCATGGAGTCCAGATCCATCATCTGAATAAAACACAGCACACACTTAATCAAGAACTTTTTTAGATAAGAGGTTGGCTTTTAACCTTAGATTTGCCCGTCCACATAACGAGTAAACTAAAATATGGCAGTTTTAGTGATACGTGGCCGCTGGGAGTTAGTTGTAGCGCATGCTGAAAGCGGTCATGTATCACTAAAGTTGCCATATCTCAGTTAATAATCGTCCAATCTTAAAAAAATAAGGTGTCAATCAATTTGTAATGAAATTTCCTTATAAAAGTTATTTGTAAAATTAACGGTTTTCGAGTTATTCTAGAAACAATATTTTAAACGGTCGCCATTTTGTTTTATGAATTCTAAAAATGGTCATAATTTTTTTGTAGCTTTGTCTAGTTGTCATAAATGTTTGTGCAAAGTTTCCATTTCGTATGTTTAACCATTCTTTATAAAAAAAAATAATAACTGAAAAAAACAAAATGATGGCTGTGTGAGTAACTAAGGACTTCCGGACAATTTAAATATGATATTTAGGTATGTTTCTTACCCAGGATCTATGCCCTAAAATATTGGTAGAGAGTTCCAGGACACCCTGTATATTAAATAATAAATCAAATTGTTTCCATATTGACCTTCAGATAATTATTGTTTAATAAATCAAATTGTTATAATTTATCGAATTCTTAATAACCTTGGTATTTCATTTCTGGTATAATACAAATTCATTCAAAAGAGTTTGTAGTAATTATAGTAAGTAAAAAGCCACTACAAAAGATTCACCATTGAAGTGCAACACTAAAATTAGTATGTTATTGTGCAAGTAGAGTCAGTGTATATTTAAGGTTGTTTTCAGCACTGGAAGAACTGTAAACAGTACCAGGAACGTCCCCTAAGGACTTCTGGGAATAATTGTATTCTACAGGGCCCACTCAATTTTTATTTAACATCAAGCTTCCACTGCCAACGCTCTGTTGTTTATTTTTATTCACTTTGTTCTTCCAACCCAGGGGCAACCAAGATTTTTAAAGAACCAATCATCAGTTGAAAATCATTTGAGAATGTTGCAAGGAGAGGAGAGTAATATATATTTAAATATAAGTCTGAGTATTTTTCTTTTTTTCTTTACAGAAGACATCAATTATCTTTTTAATTTTGATGTTTCCTGGGTATCTGCTCTGTGGTATTTAGTTGTGTTGTTGTACAAAATAAAATGAACTTTATTTAAAGACATAATACATCTAAAGAATGAATATTAAAATGTGAAATTCTTCACATAGGGTTTATTTGATGACAAATTGTCTTTAGAGGCTTATTCTATAATTCTGATGGTCAACATTAATTTTGGTAATATACATATAAGTAAATGTGATTATGAAAATGTAAAATGGTTAACATGAAACATATTAATGGGAGAAGATATGTGTCAGATTGCTTAGGCTGGACGCACACTGATCCAGCATTTCACCTGAAGCAAAATGTTGCTTAACGATTTGCTTTAAGCGTTTTGTTTCTTTGCTTCTCCAGTGTGCGAGAGGTTCAAGCATGATGCAGCATTTGGTTTCAAGTAAAAATAAATATTATTTGTACTGGTACTCTACGGTATTGTTTTAACATGTGTGACGAGGAAGTCAACGTAGCTATTGCTGTATGTCAGTTTTTGCAAATGCTAAACTAAGAAAGAAAACATGGAGTTCATTCAAACAATCAGATGATAGACATTAATGCTCTCAGAAATTAAATCAGATCCAGGGAAATTTTACAATTATTATTGTCAAATACTTGCTACACTATTTTATTGGAAGGGTTTTTAATAACGTAAGTGATATCGTTAGAAATTATTATTTGATAATGTCGTGATGGTTATAAATAATGAACTAAATAACATGGGTTATTTCTTAATTATCTACTACCTGTATGGTTATCAAAGTGGTAGCAAGAAAAATTAAACAACAATGTGGGAAATTCAAAAAAATATAATTTTTAAGTTGTAATGAAACTCTAAAATGCATTTTTCAAAGAGTAATTTTGTAAACAACAAAAGATCGATTGAATTTTGAAAGCCACCAAAGCTTTACTAGCTAGAAGGGATTTGGCGCATGCGCAGAACATTTTGCTCCTTGAAACATCAAACATCGTGCTGTATGGGATCCATTCGTCGAGCAACTGCTCAAATGTTTCAAGGCGTTGCGAGGCGCCTCGCAACGTTTGCTTGATCAGTGTGCGGCGTCCCATTGAAATACATGGAGCGCTCGTACCCAGCGAAACATTTTGCCTCGCAACACTTGCTTCAGGTGAAATGCTTGATCTGTGTGCGTCCGGCCTTACGTGAAGACAACAATCATCATTTCAGTTTCTATGTTTCCTCTGGTATCTGAAATTTTCTGTGGTATTTATTTGTGTGATTGTATCAATATAAACTGTATGTTAAGACACTCATACGTGACTAATAGTACAGGCGCTAGGTGCAGTTGAGTATGCATGAAAAGAGTCACAGAGATTTTGACTTTTGATTTTGGTAATGGGGACCTAGGTGAGTGTAAAAACCCATGTCGTCGCCTCCAGGGGTGGTCGACAACATAGGGGGGGGTACGCAAAGTTGTGAAAAACGTTAATCAGAAAACCGCTTTTAACTTGAAAATGTGTAAAACTCCCTTGTTATTGAACGTAAGTAAAAAGATTCATTTAAATTGACTTTTGATTTTGGTAATGGGGACCTAGGCCTAGTTGAGTGTTAAAACCCATGTCGTCGCCTCCAGGGATGGTTAACAACATAGGGGTGGCGGCGCAAAGTTGCAAAAAACTTTAATCGGCAAACCACTTTTAACTCCCTTGTTATTGAATGTAAGTAAAAGATTATTTTAAATTGACTTTTTGTAAGTAATGGGGGCCTAGGTGAGTGTAAAAACCCGTGTTGTTGCCTCCAGGGGTGGTCGACAACTTAGGTGGGGGCGCATGTGCATATACTTTACAGCCGCATATGTAACTGACTCAGGTATACAAATGTTTGAGCACTTCCAGAGGTGCTAGGGAGATGAAATTTGGCAAACCTCTTAATCTTGGTCCCAAACCTCCAGAAAAATTCTGAAAAATTACATTTTCAAATTTGAACCCCCCCCCCCCAAAAAAATCTTGAATTTCCTCTCTATGTTATTCTTACGGGGAATAGCATTGAAAGTGGTCCACTTCGTGTGCTCATCTGAACCGTTTAGAAACGTGCTAGAGACTTGAAATTTTGTAGTATTGTCGTATCGATTTGCAAAAGTCCCATTTTCAAATTCTAACCCCCTCAAAAATCCAAAATGGCTGACACCTTAAAGCGAATAAAACACGTTTTTTTAAATGACTATAGCTCTAAAACGGTAAGAGCTAGAAAATATTTGAAAGAATTTTATGATCAGGAATAAAGTTTTCTACAAAACCCTGCTAAACGATTTCCGAAAATCACACCCCTTCACCCTTAAAAAAACGCCCTGCTTTCAAAAAATTGGTAAATTTTTTTCAATTTTTAAATGGTTTTCGCCATTTTCCTTCCACCACTAATTAATTTAATTTTTTTTTATTATTTATGCTTTGTCCTTAGTTAACTTAAAATTTTAAATCATAACATATTTTTTCGTAGCTCCTTCACCCCTTAAATGTAAGTTTAATGTCAAAATTTGAAAGATTCTAACACTGTTACGAGGTTATAACAGTCTCCCATGTTATTCTTATGGGGAATCTTGAATGTGACTTACCGTACTTCAGCATTAGTTAACACTGAACATCATTGAATCATTGATCATCTATTTAGAAACGTTATAGAGACTTGAAACTGTAACCCCCAGAGGGTACGACATGGGTTTGACACCCACCTAGGTCTCCATTACCAAAATCAAAACTCAATTTAAATTAATCTTTTACTTACGTTCAATAACAAGGGAGAGTTAAAAGTTAAGGTTTTCTGATTAACGTTTTTCGCAACCTTGCGCCCCCACCCCTATGTTGTCAACCCCCCCCCCCCCCCGGAGACGACGTTATGGGGTTTTACACTCACCTAAGTCCCCATTACCAAAATCAAAAGTCAATTTAGGCCCAGCGCACACGGTGTGACTGTTTTACAACAACTGTTGCAAACCAGTTGCGTCTGGAACCAGTTTGCAACTGAAACAAAACTTCTGTCCGCACACGGTGTGACTGTTTTACAACTACAGTTGTGTCTTTTGTGCAATCAGTGGAGTGCATATTTAGTGCAGTTACTATGTTTTAATTCCTTAAGTGCGCTTACTACGTTGGACTCAGACGAAGAAGACGTTATTAGCTATTATCAATACCGAAGACAGCGAAGGTACTGAGAGAGCATTGGGTTCACCCTTATTTGAGCAAGAATGTTAGTACTAGGCTGTTTGTAGCAGCTAGAGATAGTTGGATAGGAAATTATAAACACTATAATAACACTATACGGCTGTCAAAATACCACCAAACACCACAAAACACCCCGTGGTCTCATGCAACTGAAGTCTGCAACGCAACTGCAACGTCGGGCCCACGGTTGCATGCAACTGGTTTAAAATGTTTTTTTGAAATCGCATACAACCAGTTGCGTTGTGTGCGCTTCCCCACTGCAATACATTGCCGAGGTCACAAAACAGTTGCACTCGCAACTAGTTTGCAACGAAAGTTGTAAAACAGTCACACCGTGTGCGCTGGGCCTTAAATGAATCTTTTACTTACGTTCAATAACAAGGGAAGTTAAAAGCGGTTTTCTGACTAAAGTTTTTCGCAACTTTGCGCCCCCACCCCTATGTTGTCGACAACCCCTGGAGGCGACGAGCGACGACATGGGTTTTTACACTAACCTAGGTCCCCATTACCAAAATCAAAAGTAAAAATCTCTGACTCTTTTTCATGCATACTCAACTGCACCTAGCTCGCCTATAAATATACATCTAAAGAATGAATACAGGTAATTTTGTTTGTTGAAAGCGAAAATATGAAATTCTTCACATAGTGCTTATTTGATGACAAATTGTCTTTAGAGGCTTATTCTAACTAATTCTGATGGTCAACAATAATTTTGGTAATATACAAGTACATATAAATAAATGTGATTATAAAAATGTAAAACAGTTAACATCAAACATATTTTCAGATGAGATCAAATGTACCTACTTCATTTCAACTGGATGTGAACACTCTTATTAACCATAGCAATCACAGCATGTCCTACATTAACAAAAGATAACCTCAAAATGACAATTGTAACCTTCATGCAACAAAGAAGTAATATAGCAAATGAAAAAAGTACAATATTCTACTTTAAAAATAATATTTTTAACTACAGCAATATACATTGAAAACATTACTTGACATTATTTGTGGATGACCTTTTGTTTTGGTTGAAACCAATGAAAGTAGTCACTTTATAATTAACATGTAAATAACCATTAAGGCCTACTCTATATAGGTAAAAATTAGTTTTTAAATATATAATGATATAATACAACAATATGTGATTAATTTGATAGTATAAGTGCAGGGGTACAGTTTCAATTTTCCTCAGTTTGTTCAAAGAATTCCAAACATTAAACATGTCTTACCATAGTCAATAGTAGGACTATAGTCAATGGTCTTACTAACTTGGAACACCAAGTATATCCAATATATGTATATTATATATGTTGGTATATTGGAATATACCAATATATACCAACAATCTAATCTAATCTTATCCAATCGTTGGATTGGATAATTGGATATATTGGATCCAATATATGTACGGTATATTGGATAATTTGCTGACTTTTTGGATCTTTCTAAATTATTGATTAGAAAAGTTTGGGAGAACAAAAAAACTTAATTTAGGCCCTACCATAACTAAATCAGTTGATTATTAAAATTCTGATTAGAGGAGGTATTATTTAATTGATAAACTGTTATAAAAATGTATAAATGAGTATAAATGAGGGATGTCTGTAGATATCCTCTGTAGGATGGATCAGGAAACCAGCTGCACAAAGTTACATATTGTAGTCAATTACAATTAATTTATAGAATTTATAGAAGAAAATTTGTTTTTTATACAGTATAGGTGAGATCACAATTTTTAAAAGTTGGAACTGTCCAAAAGAAAATAAAACATTCGGTTTTCACATTTCACTGCTTGGAAAAGCATGCAAAAGTTTCCATAGAGGCACCTTTTGCATATTTCCTCTTTGTTCTCGATAGTACACTATGTATAAAAAAACAGTTTCATAAATGGATATATGTCAGCTATTCACTTTTATTATACCTTACTTTCTTTGTTAATTTTCTTGAAACCTAATATTATAATCTCAAATCATTCATCAAAATACTAGGATATTCAAAGAGAGAGAAGACTTTGTGGAGGGATTGTTATCTTATCTGCTTAAAGCAAATGGTCTCATTTCAGATGTGAGTGAGCACAAACAGAACCAAGCTGTTTGAAGAAATTATCAAAAAGTTTTAAAAGTATTATTAACTATTTATTTAGTTTGAAAGTAATTATTTATAATTGCATATATCGGAGTAATTTTTTCAATAATATTATCCTCTATCACAATATTTTTTTACAGGATTCAGTCAAAATAGGAACAAATTTCTTTACTCTAATTTACTAATAACAATATATTAAAATATTTTGTAAGTGTTTGACTTGGAAAGGGGGATACTAACGACCCCATTTTCTAAATAAATATTTCCAATATGAATTATTAAGTCATAACTAAATAACTGTGGAAAATAGATTCATCACTGATAAATTACATGTTTTCAAGTACATGGTCTGTAATGTCATTTTACACCTAAACAATATTTCATAATGTATAACAAAATTCGATTTCACCCTCCTGATTTTTAAACCCCCTCTTTTACAATCATCTTGGTATTTCTGTTTGTTATAATCTAATTATATAAACTTAATATTTATTTTATACAAACAGATAGTTAGCATAATTAACCAGCTAAAAGTTGAGCAGTACCTATTGATTTTCACTCTCAAATTAGCAACTTTCACATTTGAATCTGAAAATTAAACTGTCAGCACTCTACTGTATAGTTCTATATAAAATCCATACATAGTCTAACAATATTAGAACAAGTATATATCAAGTATATCAAGAAGAATGTCAAGTATATAGTAATTCATTGAAGTATATTTTTGTTTTATATTTGAGGGATTCCTTTATTATTTTCTTGTTTTTTGTTCTTATGTATTATATTTGTTTTTAATCTTTAAGTAATCATGACATTGACGCCATTGTATACAATGTATACCAATGAATAAAAGATGTTTTGAATCAAATTGAATTGAATAGTCGATCTGATTCCAAAATTGTAAAAAACAAAAAACCAGCAATAATAATTAACAAACAAAATAACTCACAATTTAAAGCTCCTCCGTCAAAACAAACCTAGTACCTAAAAAAACTCTTCAAATCAGATCCAGAATCAAGTAGCCTACACACGCACAGCACAAAATAGAATCAATTTTTCTCCAACATTGCTGTTTCCTTGATATAGTAGATGTACAAGATAAATATAGAGTTCTGTTATCACTTGGGCAAATATCAAGTAACTTTATGTGATCTTTTGATGTCGCTAGTCCACACTAAAAAATATCAACTTTTAACAATAAGCTAAGAATAAAATTATTTATTTCAAATTATTATAAATTAAATATACAACATGATTGGATCATTTTGTGGAATTTTTATAGATTTAAGAGATTTTCTACACCTGTATTTTACTTCTCTTAAGCAAATAAAATCAATGTCAAACTGTGTTTCAAATAAGCTAAGGGTTTTTTTACAACCTTTGCATGGGAAAGACCGCTAAATTAAACCGTCTTAATGGCTGTCTTAATCAATCGAATCAGTTGGGTAAATACTTCCAAAGAGAAAAACACTCAAACGCTCAAAAGAGCTGTGATAGTTATTGAGTAACTTATTTTGAAGCTAAAATCATTTTAGTGGTAATAAGTTGTCGTTTTTGCTGCCAAGCCAGTATACGGAGAAAGGTATATAGACACTGCCTTTAGGCTTTCCTCAGTGGTTGGAGCTCCCCTGCAGATCCAATTATATTGAAAAAAATTAGTCTCTTAAAAGAGGAAAACGCTCTCTATATTTTGAGAATACCCTTTAGTAACAGATATTCTAGGATATCAATTACTATCATAGGATATTCATCATTCCCTTCCTATTTCTCGGTCAGGTCTTATGAAAAGTGGATCTGTCTGTAAAGTCCGTCCGTTTGGCTATGATACCCAGCGGGTTAAGAAAATTCTCAGAGCACTCACCCTCTCGCCCCGCTCGTCGGGCTGGCCGGAGACAAACAGTGACTCACCCACTGTCACAGTCCCACAGATCTGTAACTTTTTTTTAATTTTTAGTCAAAATAAATTGTTCTTTATAAATTTGAGTTCTACATGGAATTCCAAAAGTAATGAGCCCAAACGCAATCTGGACTTAATATCTTCGATTTGAAAGTAGTACAATTACTCTGTGTTGTCAACAGCATTGTCCGACTTTCAGATTGTAGATCACATCTTATTATTTTTGGACTTATTATTTTTGAAATTTCATGTTGAACTCAAATATATAAAGATCAATTTATTTTAAATGAGAATAAAAAAGTTACAGATCTGTGGGACTGTGACTGTAGGTAGGTAAACCTTTTAACAACGGCCAGCCGGGCAAGCGGATCAGAAGGGTGAGTTGAGTTCCAATAAGAAGGTTCCTAATCCGCTGGGTATCATAGCCAATTGGACTAGAGAAGAGATTGATGCAAGTGGTTTTGTACTCCATAAATGTTAAGCAATTTAACTATTTTTTTTTTAAGGGATATATAGTTCAAGGATGATACAATAGAATTATTGAACATAACATAGTTGTTTATTAAAATAGAATACAAAGTGTTCATAAAATCTTCGTACTACATACATTTTAGAAAGCTCATGTTTCTAACAGAATATAAACATTAGGCTAAATGTTAAAAACTCTAAAATCCAGAGAACTTTTACCATATATTAATTTTAAATGTTGCATTTTTTTTAAACTTGTATGACTAAAAAAATTGAAACTAAATAATAGTTTCAACATACAAAATGGTTTGTTTACATCTTGTATAACTATGTCTTTCACTCTCAAAAACATGTAATAAGAGTTTAATTAAGTTCTCTAATCGAACAGTCATACAATATACATTTAATGGTGTATAAAACAAAAACTTAACAAAATAACAAACTATATTGTACACAATAATTATTGCAAACATGAATAAGAAGTCAACCTTGATAGCAAGTCTTATTTAATAATCAATATGATAGTCTTATTATCAAGGTTCTACTGTAAGTGTTAACCGCAAACATCCTCAGACTTTCTGGACTGAAGATTGGTCTGGACTGAACTTCCACTAGGGGTCGTCAAAATCAGCCGATTTTTAATATTTTTTCCACACTATACAAGCCTGCAATCAACAGGAATAGGTTTCTGTACTCTCCTAGTCATGTCTGTTAACACTGATCGTTATAGTGACGACAAAATTTTGTTTCTAGTAAAGGGTGTCCCATTAAGAACGCCGGATTTAAAATTTGAATAAACCATATATTTTCACGCTAAATTTACGATATGAAACATGAATCTTAAAGCATAGTATCTCCGATTAGTAATGGAATATTATGTCTCTTAAATGCCCACCTGCTGCCTGCTGACAAGCCAGACATCTATTGACGAAGTTTTCCATAACTTTTTCACCCACTTCATGTTGAATTCCATTAATGGCACGAATAATTTCCTCCTTCAGGTCTTGGGTTGTTTGAGATTTATTGGCAAAAACAAGCGACTTTAAACATCCCCAAAGAAAGTAGTCACACGGTGTTAAATCGCACGATCTTGCTTAGATGAATATGTGCGTCATCGCTGAACAGCAATGCTTTTTTAAAACATGTCATTTTCATCTTGATTTCCAACCACCTAGTTTACAAATTCAAGCCATTTTACAGGATCTCTTGGCTTGATCTCTTGTTTGAGTTGGATTTTCGAGGGAACATGTGAAGGTCTTTTATCAAAATTCTTTGTACTGTGCTCCGAGCTAGGCCCAACTGCTGACTACGCCGACGAATCGATGTTCTTGCGTTGTCCTCTACACTATCATGTACAGCATCAATATTTTCAAGGGAACGACCTGCCCGACTACGCATTGGTCTTTTAATGTCCAAAACTGAGCCAATTCCTTCGAACTTAGAAATTAATTTTCAGACAGTTGACTCATTTTGTGCATTATCCCAGGCGAAAATAGCGCGCAGCTTCCGCACCGTTTCAGCGAAACATTCCCCGTACTTGTAGTGCACTTTAACTATGACCACGCGTTGATCCGTCATGTAACGATTCATGACTACAAATGGGACATAATACTGATAACATCGCTGATAATTTGGGAATTCCTATTGAAATACAGATAAGGATAAGACGCTCCTGAAATCCGGCGTTCTTACTGGGACACCCTTTATTTTAGGGTTAATTTAATGATTTGTGCTTTACTGTTTGGTTACCTATATAACTAGGGGGCAAGTTATTGTTCATGATTATATCGTTTTATTTGGTTAAACAAGGTTTTTATTTACTGAAATAACAAGAAACAAATTTTTTTACAAAACTCTACCTCTACAGTGTACCGGACAAAACAAACAATAAAATTGGCTTGTTAGTAGCCATAGCGGTTCCATAAGGATGAGAAATCTACTAAGGGAGTATGTGTTATCCATGGTTACATGTACAAGAATAAGAATATACATTATGTCCAAGTGTAGCCAAAGGATGGTGTTGCCTTAAACAATTAGTTGCTGATTACAGTATTTGGATTACTGTAAAGCTGATATCTGTACAATTTTCAATACTTATTAACAATCTAAAAGCTATAAAACCATCATGAAATTATGATAAATGTATAAGTGATATCAATACTTCTGCGCCTCAGGAGGTACAGTTTGTCCTTGTTTTTGTTGAGGCTGCCCAATCTTCTCAGCTTCCTCGATGGTATCAGGAAGAGTTGTGTTGAGAGTTTCAGGGCAGGTCAGGGTGAAAATTCCACCCAAAATTGAGATCAGGGAAAATAATATCATCGGATCAAAGTACGAACTCTGTAATAAAAAAAATAATAATAACAACAATAAAACAGTTTAAACTTGAAAGTGTTTTGTGATCAAAATTTAACAATAAAAAATTGACTACCCTTTTAGATTCTGTAATATTTAATAGAGTTACTCGATTTTACAATATTATTAATAGGAAATAACCTACCTATCAAAATATTTTATCATTAAATAAATCATCAAATAGCAGCCAAATAAACAAGAGCAAGAGGCAGTCATGGAATTTTAAATTGAATCAGGAATTATAATAATTTTTTGAGTGTGTCTGCTTTTGTGGTAATAAAAAAAGTTGCCTATTTGTTCATTTAAATACCCCCGCCGCAGCAAACCTGGAAACTAATCAAATTTCAATTTGCCTGTATTATATACTAAAATATCAGGTAAGTAGGGACCTGGCGTAGCACAGAAATGCAAAGTCTTGCCAAGAAGTTTGAAATAAGATTGGAAGAATACGTGGGAGCATTGTCCTGAAAAGCCACCAAGACTTCGTGGCCCACAAATCAGGATGCTAGCGACACACTGCATCTCGCTTGCCACGTAGAACTTGTAAGTAGTACAGTACTCTTCGGTAATGTTTTGTCCCTCAGGTGCATACTCATGATAAACTACTCCATTGTAGTCTAAAAAAAACAGTCAGCATGACTTTGATTTTGCTTCCACCACTTTTTAAAAACAATATCATCTAGAGTTCCTACAATTCTCTGTAAACTTACATAATAGCCCAAACAAATAAATACTAAAGAAGAAGTTATTAGGTTATTACTCACTAACGGAAATAATCATGGAAGATATTTTACTACCAAAACTAGACTTACAATGAGAGGTGTCTGTTGAGAGAGAACAGAGCCAACTCGTCCCACCATGGAGCAGAAGGCCAGCAGCGTGTGACGCAACTCTGTTGGGAACAATTCTGCTGTGTAGACGTACAACACCGTCAGTGTCAAAGTAGAGGCGAACTTGGACGTGAGGAACAAGAACAGGCTCAACACTACTTGACCTACGACAAAACACTTGGATAAAGTTGAGCTATAATGGAAATGAGAGGGATAGGGTGCAGAGCCGACCTCAGGCACATGCGAAAGTTGCGGCAGCTCAGGACGGCATCTCTTTTTGCTAATTTTCTTCTCAATCGCAATTAATCCAAACTTCTATACCTCTAAATTAGTAAATTTGTATTGTATAGCTTTTCTTACCCTTGCTAACAAACATGAGAAGAAAGCAAGTTACGCCACAGAGGAAGAACGACCACGCGGTGGTGCCTTGTCTACCCAGCAATGGCCAATCAGGTAGCCACAGACTGGCAACATAGGCTGGTACCTCTATCAGGCTGACCAATAGGAAGGACACGTAGCGGTTGCTGCTCTCAAACAAGGTGGTGTACTGGGAGATACCGTAGTAGGAGAAGATGGAGGCCATCCTGGAATTATTAAGAAAAGATTAGATTAGACAAGAGCTCGCCCCGTGGTCGAAGACTCGACCAAAAGTATGTATTGTGCAAACTTCTTTATTTTCAACCCACACTGTAAATAAAAGATGTGATTGGAATTTCTTTGATTTGTTTTGATTTTCTGTTTATTTTTGTTGTTATTTAGTCAGCAACATGGCCCATAAGGCCCATGTTCATTTTTAAAATAAATAACCTTAATTCATTTTTTGTGCTTTTTTTAGCCTATTTTAATTTATAAATCAAATGAAATGATTTGGAATTAAAGTCGATTACAACAAAATATTTTACGTTCTTATTTATGAATTTTTTTGAAATATAGACAAGAACAGAACTTTTCATTTGTATAACTTAGACTAAAAGGCTAAAAACAAAGTAACTGGTACAATAACATGTTTCCTTCTTCAAAAATTCAAAAAACTACTTACCAACAGAAGGCGAGGGCGATGAATCGCCCCATGATGATGCGAGATTTCAAAACCGTTGTTAGTCGGCTGGCTTTTGGGGCTTTTTCTGACTGCTCTGGTGGTTTCAGGCTTTTGTCTTTCTAGAACACACCATCCACGGTTTTATTGTGCGATAATCAAGAAACAACGCATCTCAAATACAGGTAGTTTAAATAAACTATAAAAGACCTGGGAATCTAATCCATCATTCATATGGATTGCTCCTCCTTTTAAAAGTTGAAATGGTGAATAGATTTTTTAAATATATGTACTGTAATTGGATCTCATCACAAAAATTGGATCAATAATTAGATAGTTATCAGATTAACCATCAAGCAATGTCTTTGAGAACTGAAGTAGTGAAATATATGGATGATCTATAGCCGGTTGTTTTCTAAAATAAATTAAGTTGTAAGAGTTGAAGTTTTTTATTTGATCTTTTAGTTAACTACAGCATACCATGATATTAATGGGGCTATAAAATATGCTTTAATTTACATTACGTTGTCATTGTTGTACAGAATTAAAATTAAAATGTTGATGTTTAAAAAAAACCACTGTGTACTGTACATTATTAGTGACTGTGGCTGGTGGCTCCATTGAAGTAAGATTTTTCTCATTTTAAAACTGGCACCAACATAAACTTTGGAATGTAATGTCTGCTTCATGGTAGTCCAAAGGGTGTCATGGTCAAAGACAAGGTAAGACAATAGTATTGGGTTGATTTGTGATAAAAATAATTTTGAATTAATGATATTTTTACTATCCAAGTTATATCCATGTGAATAATATTAAAGAAACTACATAGACCTACCCTGAGTGTGCGCGTTACGCAGCTGGCTCAGAACACTCGGCAACTTGTCTTCAGTGTTGTTCATTTTGGCCATCCTACTGAAGATTTTCTCAATGTCTTCAATTCTATCCTGAGTGTGCAACCATCTAACTGACTCTGGAAGCAACCTGAAATCATGACAAAACTAAAAATTGCTCACATATTCATTGTTTGAATTTCGTAGTGTTGGTACGGTAATAGATATTTCACCTTGTTTAACTCTAGAGCTCCAGGTACCTATTATTTTTTATTTGCCCCTACCATGTTACTTGTTGTTGTTGTTTTTACTTTCGCCATGTTTTTTCTCATTGAACACAAAATTAAATGTTCTTTTCAAGCATGTAGGTATTTGGGGGACACTCTCACAAAAAGAATGGGTAAAAAGCAGAAAAATGAATATTTAGAGTTTTGAACTTGAAGCTCATGAAAATTCCACACATCCAAATCCACCCGAGCCATCCATTAACCTTGGATGGTCCTCTCTACCAAACTGTGCCACAGAGGAACTCCTCATGTGTTACACACCAGGCCTGACCGATAGGAGAAAGCTCGATCTACAATGCCGTTTCCTGACTGGGGACACCGGCTTAAGCTGCGTTTTCCTACCGAAGCACTTTCTACGCAGCGTACAATGTATAGCGCTGACGTATAACGTGGTGATGGACCACACAATCGTAGGACTGAAGGAGTAAGCAGTTTAGGGTAAGTCGTTCATCGTAATGTGGGACATTTTTACATACTCCCACTACTTCATTAATTGAACTTGAAGAGATGTTCTCTGGTAAACTCTGTGCGGCAATGGATAAATCGCCTACATACACACTCAATTCTTCCGTCTGCATGCTTTTGGTACAGCTTTGTAAGACGCACGTTTTGACTGTCACCATTTACAACTGCTCACTTTGATAGAGTAGAGTGTTGAGCTAGTAGTTGAAAATGGCGAGAGTCAAAACGTGGTTCCTACGAAGCTGAACCATGAAGTGTGTGCAGACGGAAGAATCGAGTTCAAATATACGCACATCAATAAACTTAATTCCCAATTAACAATAACCCAAAATAATAAAAAAATGGACTCGTCCGTTGGGCACCTCTCCTGTCATCTACTTTGACTCGTCTGGCAGACGTTCGCATGTTTTGGACTGTTGTTTGCTTATGATAGAAAAAAAATCTCTGGAAAAGGCCCTGCAGAGTTTGTGTTTTTATTTATAACCACTCGTTGCCAAAAGCCAAATATAATCAGCTAGCGCCCGGTAAAAACTCATTACAACACAAGTAATTAATAAAACCCCATTTGATTAAACAGGCTGCAAACAGTTGTTTTCCGGACTGAATCCTAGAATGGAAAGTTCATTAAAACACACCATTCTACACTCATCCTTCACTCATATTTGGGTTAAAATACGCACCTAGGTGGCGTCCCCATCTCAATGATTGATTGATAATTGATAATTCATTCTAGTGTGTGGCAAAATTGTGTCTACAGATTTTTGTGCAAAACTGTTTTCTCACCAATGCATGAGCACCAGCAGCAGTGAAGGTATGTAGAGAACTCGCAGCATCAGTCTCCAGTCAGCCGTGGCCCACATCACCAGGGCTAGCACTACCTCTCCCAGGGCGAAGTAGACGTTGATCAGCAAACTGCCCAGCAGACGCTTTTGGGGGGCCAGAATCTCCAGACCTGCGCAGAGGCAAATGATTTTTCCAGCGTAAAATTATGGTTTACTAACTCAAATAGGTCAGATCATTGAGTAGACACAGGGATACATACCTATGTCTTTTTAGTTAATTGCTATAATGCATTTTTCAAAATTAAGTTCCTAATGTTTTGGTTTGATTTAAATTAACTCTTAAATTAACTAATAAAAATAAAACATGGTACATAAACATAAAATTTGGTTTACATAAATTTATTTTTGCCATTTATTTGGGAAAACTCTCTAAATCATCGTTCCTAATGTTATTGTTCTCCATGCCCGTTTTTGATTCATTCAAGTCAGAGTTGACTAATTGTCTGGATAATCAAGTGGTTATACAGAATGATGGCTAGCATTCAAATCTGAAGGGTGAAATTTGATTCAAAATGTAGTTTGTAGCTCAAGCTGAGACTGCAAGGACAGGGTGATATAAGTGTATACAACCATGATTCACCCTGTTCTTGCTGTAGTCTCAGCTTTGCCACTGTGGATGTCTCATCAAGAATGCGAAAAACGTCTAAACTTGGAAGACCGAGAATTCAGTGATGACTGATATGGCTACTTATGCCTACAAATGAAGATTGCTTTCTAAAGATCCAAGTCCTATAAACTATAAACTATCCCCTTACCGAGAATGAAAGCAGGAGAGTACACAGCTCCTGCCATGAATCCATCCAAACTCTCCATAATGAGTGACATTGTGTAGTTCACAGAGAAAGATCTGATAATTCCAGTCACAGCCAGAAATACACAGCTGCATACCAGTACTGTCTTCCGGCCAACCCTGTTTGAAGTTTTGAAGGTTAGGTATTAGGATATTGATAATATTGGTACTAAAGGGACTTTCAAAGTGAAAATGATACTTAAATGTATGCAATTATTTTGGAAATAAGTTTTAATTTTGCTCCTGCCTGAGCTATCCAAAGATATTGATATAATTTTTGAAAGCAGCTACTTCCTCTGTACTACCAATCTAGACCAACTGAAAAATCTCAAAAATGTGATTGGAGGCATTACTAGAAGAAAATCAAATGACTCAACCCTACAACTATTGGTTTTTCTGGATCTTAAAATATTGCAATGGCAGATCTGAGATCTTATTATATGTTGAACATTTTTAACATAATATTAATGTGATTTAGCTGATCTTAGTCAGTAACAAAGCTACACAGATCACCTCATAACATTCTACACTCGTCCTTCACTCATATTTGGGTTAAAATGAACCTAGGTGGCGTCCTTATCTCAATTAATTGATATGTTTCTTCATTGATTTAGACAATTATATGCAAGAGCTATGTGAAAAGAACGTTTCATAGTAAAAAAAATTTCATGCTAAGCAATATGTTTTTTTACTACTTTTGTTGCATAGCCACCAAATAAATTGAGGCACTTATCATAGTGGTGGCCAAGCTTTGAAATTCTTTTATGGTACAACTCCACCACTTGCAGGCTCAGCCACCCAGTGACACAAAATTGGAGTTCCTCAAACATAGAGAAGATCTGCAAGATATATATATATATATATATTTATAGCTGGGTAACTAATAGGTTGTACTGCTTGCCTAGTCATCAAAAGGTCGCTGATTCGATCCTGAGAAAGGTTAGTAGCATTTTGATGGGTTGAAACTGGTTCCAGCTGTCCTCGATCATCGGGTTTTTTTTAAATCTTGGCTATTGAAACAGCTGGACCAATCAGTAAATTTACCAATATCAGTAAAAAAAATCTAAACAATTCATCTCACATCATTCTAAACTCGTCCATCACTTATATTTGGTTTAAAATACACCCCCATCTCAATTGGTAATACATAATTTACTGCTTACCTGTCAGATATTAATCCCGCAACCGGAATGCCGATGAAGCTTGGCAACACAAAAACACTACTGATGAGTGTGAGCTTCCACAGATCACCAGGACAGAGGATTTTAAACTGAAACACAATTGTTGTACTTTGTGAATAAAGAACCTGCCTCCATTAAAATATGATTTTGTCATATTTGTTTACTGACCATACCTAAGGTCAGGAAGCGCTGTTGGAAATTATTAATTGGAATGAGTTTTCTGATGAAGAAAAATAATTGGATCCCAGGAAGATAATAAGAGACAGTAGAATTCACAATTCAAAGTGCTAACCCTGATGGCGAAGGAAGAAAATAACAAGATAGGTTAAGGTTTTATGGGTGTAGTACAAGATACATGATTGGATCATCATTTAACTTGCATGTTTTGTAGGTCCATTGGACTCCAACAAGCATTCAGCAGAGAAACTAAAAACAGCAACACAAATTTTAATTTATGTGAACAAAAAGTATTAAGTAAAATGGTTGATTATGATAATACTGTTCAATGAAATGGCGACCATACATAGTAGGCATTTTAAGCCAAGTATGAATGGAGATGAGTGTAGGATGAGTGGCGCGATCTTGTAGTCTTGTTAGTGACTAAGGCCGACATTCCTTAGACACAGCTGTTAATTAATAGCCCATAAAACTATAATGGTAACTAAAGGGACCTACAGTTTATAGTAGTGGAATCCGAACCACATTTTTCCTTGGTATATACGAATTGGTCTAATTATCAGGATGGTACTGCGGATAGTCGTAGTACTCACTCGTGCGGACGTTAATCCACACCAGGGAGTATCGCATCCACAATGCATGCCTATAAATATCCACAATTCGTGACCTCCTAGTAGCTGGATTACAGGACGACGCCATACGTAGTCATGACCGTACCCATAATATGTATGGTTTCTACCGGCGCCGTAATATGTAAAAAGTTTACAGCTTCATGAGAAAGTAATCAAAAGTTGATTGAACAAATAGAATTTTCAAATGATGATTTTGCGTTAATTCAAATTAGGAATTCAGTGTTCATTCAATTCACTAACCTTCTTTGTAGGATTAAAGGTGGTAGCATAACCCCAGCAAATACCTCAAATTATAACTTTAAATATTGTAGTGTTACACCCCCTGAAAAGCTAATTGGACCCTACCATGAACACTAAAATTCAAATTTGTGAATTCATTTTTAAATCATTTTTACAATTTGAAGCTTGAACTACTTTTTAATATATTTTATTTCAGCCCTTTTACCTTTTAGAGTAAAGCTTTAATTGGTTTCACAGGCAGTCAAAATAAGTGTGGAAAAAATATATATCAGGTGGAAAATACTTGATCTAAGACTCACCTCTCAAAGTCCAAAATATAACAGCGAATGAAACACACAAGGTGAAAATATTTTCTGCAAGTATTCTTTAAGTGAACTCACATCTGTTCCTATGGTTTTGGTCGGTTCAGAGAACACCCAGTCATCACAAGAGACCGTCGCACTCTTGTTGAATATGTCAGCAGAACACACGGTTTGGTTATTGACCGCAGCCGCAGACAGAGGTTGATATCGCAGACACTCGTGTGGAATGTGGTTGTTTGCTCGATCAGTGAAAGGAACTGCTGCATGGAGCCAGGGTGCTTTGAAGTCTGCTGTTTTGGGGGAGTCCTCGCACTCGGGGACGAGACATCTGACACAAGCAAGGCAAAGTATAAAAATATTGATTGGTAAAAGTTGTTGAAAGCTTTATCGAGAAACGCTTACTTGAATACCTTACAACTCTTCAAATTCTTTGAAATAAGTCAGAAACTTTTTTAATAGTTCTGAACTCTTCCCAGATATCCTTGGTCTAAATAGTCCAGATGATCTCAGTACGGTAAATAAAAACTGTAATCCCAGTTATTGAGCATATATTCACCACCCATCCTACGTTCATCTCCCCAAAACACAAACCCTGTTGTGTCGGTGTTAGAACTTTAATCTAATCTTTTAATAATCTTAAGCCCAGGAGTTATTAAATTATTTCATCTTTTTAAGCTACATAGTATTTCAAATTTCTCTACTCTTATGAACATGACTGCTTTGTAAGAGGTTTTAGGTATGTTTGGGGAGCAAAGATGAGGAGAAAAATTCCCTGCAAGGGAGGCGCAATTATTTCTTGGGCCAAACAGCAAACATGCAAACTGCAGGCCTGCTTATGAACCTGAAAATTATCATTCTTGTAAAAAGGGTGTCTAACTTGAAATACATTAGAGGCAGGTAACCTGGTTACCTAATGGCCTTCTGTAAACAAAGCTTGAAGGATGGCACATTTATAAGGGAGAGTATTTAAGCCATGCCATAGTATTCTCTCAGACGAGTTGGAGTAACTTAGAGCAAGCAGCATTCTTGAAATTTTTTTTGACTATGATTTTTTTATAATACTAGTTAATAAAACATGATATTATTAGAAGCCACAGCTTCAATGTCATTCAGATGTTTGATTGGTGTAAATGTTCCAACTATACCTGTGTGGTATGCTCATTGTGGTGAAGATGTACTCCGTGGACCGGAAACCACACATGATGACAGGGAACATAAGTACTGTGAAGCAGAACGCCTGGTACTTGCCAAACTGTCCCAGGTCCTTCAGCATGGAGTCCAGATCCATCATCTGAATAAACACAATCAAGGAGGTTAGAGAGCCTGTTAGAGTTCAAGGTTGCCTGTTTGGATTTGTCAATGAACTAAGGTGCGGTTATAAGCTTTGTAAGAACAGATCAAAGATTATTAATGAGAGAATCAGGGTTGGGACCATGTCTTTACAAAAAAAAATGTTACTAGTGTTATACACCATACACAGTGTTTAAATTCCTCCCCTTATTCTGATTGGAAACCGGTTAGGTACTGATAAAACATACTACATACATCTGCCATTATTTTCTTTTGCTCGTTGACCATACTTCTTACAAAACCATTTCTTATGAATGAAGACATCAAGAAACATCTGTGTATTTGCACTTCTCTGTGTGTATAATAGTAATTATTTGTGTAATTGAATCAAATTAACTCTAATAAAGAACTAATAAAGAAAAATACTGGTAATATTGAAAATGAAAATCCAAAATCCCTTACAAAGGCTTACTTGATGACGAATTTGTTTAACTTTTTTCAACTAATACTGGTAAACTATTTTGCAAGATTCAAATTTGGCATGTAATCCCCTAGTTTGATATAAATGGAAAAAAATTAATATGAGTAAAATATCTAAAAGGTACTGAGATGAGACATAAAATGTACTTCATTTTCAATTTTATTTCTCCAAAGTTATCCTAGTTCAGAAGTGAACACTTTTATCACCCACAGCATTGCCTGCATTAACAAAAGATAACGAGAAGCATGCAACCTTCAGGCAACAATGAATTAGCTAATTGCCAAAGTACAATAATTGATAAGGACAATGTATCCTACTTCAAAATTCATATTTTCGACTACAGTTTACGTTCTAAGCATGACTTTATTTTTGAGAATGACTGTTTGTTTTGGTTGAAGTCTAAGCCATTAATGAATAAAATATTTTAGTTTCTCCTCATAATGACAATAATGGAAGAAAAAGATGTAGGAATTACAAAACTAAAATGAGTAAATCATTGGATATGTTATACCAATAAGAAAATGAAAAATTACAGAAAGTCTAGTATTTTTTGCTGACTCAGAGGGAACTCGTTATGAAAATAGCTATAACTGCAATCACAAGTCATGCCTCATTAGTGATAATTTTTTTTTCAAGTGCAAAGTTTAAAATAATGACTGCAGATATCTTTCAAAGATTATTAGTTTTTAATTAGTTATTTGCTTCCACATTGTTTTATCCAAATAAACTAAATAGTGATTCAAAAACTCCAAAAATCACTAAAACACAAACTTTTTCATGTTAAAAACAGACTGTTATAATTTTTCACTATTACAATGATTTATTTCTCAAACACAAAAGTGATAGTTTTGTTTTTCTCAGTTTTCTGCAATATTATTTAATAGGCCTATATATTTTGTATTCCATTATATTGCATGACCCTTCTCTGATAAATTAAGTTTTACCTGAAGAAGTGCTTATTTTCAATGCTTGAAGGCACTTGACCTTGAATATAATTAAGAAAATAAGAACTCTCTAGAGGATATGTGCAGGATACTAGAGCCCAATTACAAATAATTTTATGAGTTTATATAAGAAAAATATATTTCTCCTATGAGATCACAGGTTTATAAGATCACTTTTCAAAAGAGAATTTAACATTAATTTTTTGCTGCTTGGATAAGCCTGCAAAAATGACTAATCCTCAGTTTTTCTTATGGGAAAAATCTTATCATTTTAGTTCCCGAACAATACTACATTATTTATGATAGTATGGACAAACAGTTTCATAAATCGGAATAATGATAGCTATTCACTTATATACTTACTTTCTTTAGTTTCTTAAAATCTAACCCAAAGCAAATTTCACTAAACTACTAGGATATTTCAATAAAAAAGAAGACATTGTGAAGGATTGTCTTTGTTATCTGCTTCAAGCAAATATGCATGGTCTGATTTCAGATGTAAAGTGAGCTCAAATAGAACTAAGTTGCTTGAAGAAATGATAAAAAAAACTTAAAGAAAATTATTAAATTAGATTATGTCAAAACAAATAGACATTTTTACACTCTAAATTACATTTACTTTTTCGAGGTGTTCTGCAGTTAATCCTAAACTGGTATAAAGCCTTTATACTCCGCGCCAAAGCTGGTGGCGGCTGAGGTATTAGGACCGCCAGGTAGGACTACATAGGTCTGACCAGCTCACCGACCTGGCCGTCCTAATCCCTCAGCCGCCACCAGCTTTGGTGCGGAGTATAGGCCTACTAGACTATTCTGAAAATTTATATTGTAAAATTACAGTTTGTCCTAAACTGGTATGCAAAAGATATTCTTAAAATTTATATTGTAAAATTACAGTTCATCCTAAACTGGTATGCAGCCTATACAAAGGTATTCTTAAAATGTATATTGTAAAATTACAGTTTAAAACAATGGACATAAACTATAACTGTTTATCTAAAAATATATTACCAACAAAATTTATTTCCTAATTCTCACCCTATTTAAAGTTTTTTATTTGTGTTCCCTGCAATGTTGATTGAACTAAAATAATACCATTAAAACATTTTGTCAACGTTTACCTTGCAAAGGGGGGATTCTAACAACCCCATTAAACAAAATTAATAGTTCAAAATATCAATTATTAAGTCATAACTAAATACGAGTGTCGAGCAACTGTTCAAAACAGAATCATCCTTGATCATTTACAAGTCTGTAAGTAATTTTAGACTTTAAAATGATTTTGTAATGGATTAAAAATTCGATTAAGCCCCCTCTGTTACAGCCATCTTGTTTGTACAGTTGGTTATAGTCTAAATTTAACATTTACTTGTAACGTAACAATTAGCGTAATTTATAAACAGCCAAAGGCAATGAAGTTAGCTTGGACCGTTATCGAATTTGTAACTTTTAAATTGAAGACTAAAATTTTAACCACTCTAATGCCCAATCGATATAATTTTAAAATAGTAAATCAGGGAAAACTAGCAATAAATCATACATGAAAAACACACAATTTACCTCTCCTCGGAATCTAGTCAAATACTTTCCAAATCACATCCAGACTCAAATACACATGCACAACACAAAATAGAATCATTTCCACTCAAACATAACTATTACCTTGATATTGTAGATCTACAAGATAAATAGTTCTGTTATCAAGTGAGCAAATATGCATGTGATCTTGTGTCGCTATCACATCCACACTACCATAACACTAACAGTATCACATCCACAGTTTCACTACCTTCATGTGACTCGTAAAACCTGTTTGCCTATCAGTCGCTGATTGTGTGAATGTCCTTCAAACGTCACATTAAAGTTTAGTGAAACCCAGTGACATCATTCTGCCATCGAAAGGTTAAATTTTCAGGTCTTTCTAGGACAGTGGTGAAAACAAATAGAGGTACTAGTTGCTTAAACAACAGAGTTAAATATTTTGGTGTCATTAAGTAAACCAACTTCAAAAACACTTCTTATCATTTTGTTGTACCTCTTAAGGGTGTTTGATGTGTGTTTCATGTCGTAAGTTTGAGTGTGTTGATAGGACGAAATATGTTTAACTTATTTTAGAGGCAATTTTACAGTTTGGATTACTTTTGGAATGTAATATCAGAGGACAAGCAAGATAACCTTAGCTCCACCATTTTAGTTTATGATTTAATAGGACTTATCCAAAAATTAATAGAATACATCAACCACTGCTCCTAAATATTACCTTAACAGACATAATCATTCTTTGATAATCTATGCTGGTGAAAAAAGAAGGCATGTTTAATTATGTGCTTTGATTTTGTTCAAATGAATATATGGTAGTTTAAAAAACTTAGGAGGCTAGGACACTAGCTAATAAATAATTCCATTCCTTGTCGATACTACTGGGGCTGCGGACCAGATGTGTTTACTGAACTACCTCCGGGTCTTGGGCCAAATTCAGGTCGGTTCAAAATCGGGTTGCTATAGAAAGAAAGAATATCGATTTTCGAGTCGAGCTCACAGAGCAATATAACCTCTGTTATCGAGCCAAGCTTGGCCTACAATTTTGAGAGATCTAGCACAGAGTAAGAAAATCGATCTTTTACGACCGCAGAATACGTCTGCGAGGATCATGTCCACGCAATGGAAGATTCACGCTTTTGCCGCGATCGCGATCGTCGACGAGAACGATTCCCTGCGGGTGACGAAGAAGATGTCTCCACGGCCGCGTAGCACTTCATTGTTTACAACTGGTAAAAATTGCAACTGTCGTTTTTAAAGTAGTAAATGTTAAAGAAGTCTTAATTCAACTAAGTTAGTTCCAGGAAAACCAAATAAATAGGTGCAAAAACTTAAAACTTTCAACAATTAAATATAAATTGGAGGTTCTAATGATTGTTTTAGTTGTAACCAGAAAAATAGCTTATAGGAAACTTTGTTAGTTAAATTTGCATGAGACTTTTTTTGTTTAAGATAAATGAACTTCTTTAAATTGACATATGATATCAATTACAGTTTGACCTTTACTCTACGGACATCTTTTTGTTTCTAGCTTGTCTCACGTTATCAACCTACTGTGTAAATATTTCTAGACAAATATTGAGATATCTTATGCAATTTAGTAACTAACCTTAAGGCCGTACATTTTAGCTACAATCGTGTATGATTAGTATCTTTATATGTTTTTACATAATTATAAAAATAAAATATTTATATTCCAATTGATAAAATGTTTATTGGGTAGCTGTAGGCCTAATCCAAGAGTTTAAATTTTGCAGTTGCTACCTGACAGATAATGTTTTGTAATAAATAATTCTATTTATTTATTTTGACGTCTTTAGGACACAATATGTAGATACTCCATCATTTTTGTAAACCTAAACCTTTGAAGTTCACACTTTTGTATTGTTTAAACATTAACAAGATTGTGAATAACGTTGCAGGATTTTCTTATTTATCGATGTATTCCTATCAGTTTCCAATGCAACTATAACAGCAAAATGAAAACAGTAAATGATAAATTTTACAAAATGTTGTAGATTTTACAATTTAAGTTATATACTTTATTTTTAAAGATTATCAAGACAACTTTTAATAAAATAATAAACTCCAAACAAATTAGGAATGACAATTGTTTACAAAAATTATTGTCAACTACTATTTAGTCAGTTTGTTCAGCATCAGCAATCGTATGTTGTTAAGATAGGCCTAAACAACTTTTCGTGATACTGCAGCAAAAAAGTAGTTTTTAATACGTCATCAGCTGCGGGTCTGAAGTAGCTCTTAAACTCCCTAGGGAGTACAAAAGACTTTTTTTGTCCCAAGAGAGAAAATAATAGTCAGCTGATGTAAACTCAGTTGTAAACTAAACAAATCGAAATTATGTATATCAGTTGATTTAATCGTTTGTAGCTTATTTTTGCATTTTGGTTTAAAGTTTGACATATCGATAGTATAATACACGAACAAAATATTATTCGTATTGATTAAATTGCTTACTGAACAGCTCCTTTTTTTCATTAGCAAAATAAAAATAAAAGTTTAAAGTGGTTTTGAGAGGTTGTCTTTGCATGAAAAATATTTATTCACTTCTAACTTAGTTTGCTAAACAATGTTGCAATACGAAAAAAATAGTTCATCACATGGTTGTTTATTTACAATGCCATGTCGTGCAGTACATTTGGTTTGATCTGATATCGTTTGATAAACAAATAATTGTGAATGACTGAACAAAACCCACCAACATTTACACACTAACATAAACATAATTCTGTATTTTGTTATGTTTAAATTGGTGGTATAATATTGGTAACTTACACAGGATAAATTTAACGTATTTTAATAGTTGGTTTAAATTATATAATTTTCATCGTTTACAAGTCGAATAGCAGGCACATTTAAAATGTACACTACCGTGATAAACCAAATTGCTATAGTAAAATAATTTTGAAAACACTTACCTTTGAATGGCAGAGGGAAATAATTCCCTGCAAAATCCTCTGGCAGTGGTCAGGATCAGCTGTGTGGAAAATCAGCTGTGCTGCGGACGAGCGTCGACGATATACAGAAGGCGTTGGCAGCGACAACTCGCAGGGATTATCGCGCTACAGAAGGCCTTGGATATTATCGCTCGAGCACAGGCTGTCCTGACTACACACCATCGCTTCCAGTCCTGCCACAGCCTTCTAAATACAGAATCAGTTCAACAGGTCATTGCACAATTACTTTTGGAATACTAATTTGCAAAGTGAAACTTGATTCGGTCTCTAGGCTCTGAGCGAAGCTTTGTTATTGCATAGTTTGTTATTGTAGCAAGGAAGGTATTTATTTGCAATTATGTTACAACTACATACACGCTTTCCTGTTGCTAAATTATAAACAACAAAAACATTCTTAACTCCTATTTTGTGTAGTTTTTAACTCCAATTCAAACTCAAGTTGGATTCGTTAGGGTGGCCATTAAGCGTTTGAGATGAAGGAGTAGGTAGAAGTATTTCTCTGTAAAGATCATACATTACAACAAATAATCCATGATTGTTTGAAAAAAAATTGTGTTTATTGGTTTGAGGGACTATTTCGGACATTCACGATCTGTAAAAACAAAAACAAGTTTTCACAAGGGTTCTTGATCTGTAATCTGATCTCGTCCTCAGGTTAGATTGCTTAGCACCTGAGGACGAGATCAGATGCCCGATCCCGAAACGTTTCTCAAACACCATAAATTCATAAGATTCCCACAAGCTTGATTGATGAAAATTATTTTTACTTTTTACAGTTTCTAAACAGTATTATCATGGGGAATGTGAAGGCTCCAATCTAGCCAAGCAAAGGTAGAATACCATATTAAAAAGAATTGTTTACTGCAAGGTCTTCTCTGTAGTTAATTGCAACATTGTATCACTATTTTGTAAATTATAAATACTGTATACCAAAACGTCGTTGACCTGCACTGGTAAGTGATCCAATTCACTCACCACATAATTTTATTATGCTGCTGTTTTTAATATTTTTCGTCATACTGCATTAAAAACAGCCGTTTTTATGCATGCGTTTTGCAAGTCTAAAGTAGTATTTTTGTTCAGTTTTCAGCCCCTAGGGAGTAAAAGTCATCTCAATTGTAAATATTGATTAATAACAATTGCATGTATATCGATTGTTCAATCAATTGTAGTTAATTATTGTCTTATTTTACTCATCGATGTATATACTTCGACATATCGATAGTATAGCACTAACACAATTGTAATTGACAAAACTATTGAACCATTATTTATCAAACAGTTGTTTCTTTCCATTGGCAAATCAAATTGAAAACAACTTAGAAGTAGTTATGAGAGGTTGTCTTTAAATTAAAACTAGTTTAGTTTGTAACATAGTTTATTCAAATATGGTGCAATATGACGAAAAATATCACACGAGCAAAAAGTGCCTTTTCAACCCTCACTCATTTTCAATTTTCAAACCTCTGCTCGGGTCGAAAAGAGTCACTTTACGCCCTAGTAATGAAGTAACTCCTCTGAAAGCGACCATGTGATTGTGATGCATTCCTAAACTGTACGCCTTCAAGTTTTTGATACTGGAGAAACACACAGGTGGGTTGATGTTGCAGTGTTTTACGGTAGGATCTTTTATATGAATCCTACCAGTTTATGCTTTATACGCTGGATGTCCAGTTCACACCTGTGGTCCGATTTTGATTAAATTCGGTATGTGGGTATTAATGGTATCCCCAGGCATATTTTAATTTTTTAAATCTAAATTCATTATAGTTATTTTCCTACGAAATCTCATAAAATAAACGGAAAACTGTATTTTCACAAACAACAGCCAACATGTATTTGATTAAAAATTAATTGTAAAAAAAATAATTAATTGTTGAACTTGTAAAAATAAAGGTTCAAAAGTTATTGTAACTTTCAAGATTTCCCCCCCATAAAATATCATAGTTACTCCCTCCGCTTACTTATGATGAGCGTTGTTAAGGGTTGTTGCAAGCTAGTTAGCTAACTCCAAGCTGAATGGCCATACAATAAATAAATATCAATTGATAACTCAATGTGTTTCATATTTTCAGCATCTGATAACTTACTTTGTGGCCAGGTGCATAACTATAACCATAGCGAACCTTCTCCGTGAGTTTATCGAAGGTATCTATAATTTATTTTGTAACACGAGCATAATTACCTCCTTAATGCACCCACGTTCCCCACTACACATCGTTTATAGACGAATGATCACTTAATCACTGGTCTTAAATCTTTTCATGAGAAATATTATTTCAGTACCACCCAATTCCTAGAGATATAGTCTGGTTAAACCGATATGCTGATAAGAACTGTCTAGTTCTCACAGCACAGAACTGTATTTAATGATGTAAAATTAATTTAATTTCCTATGGAAATTTGAAATTAATTTATAAAAAAACTTAATTTGTCTTGTTTGTTTTTATTGGCTCCACAAGTAATCAGAAATAAAAATGACTCAAGATTTTATTACTTCTTGAACCTTTTGGGCCTTGAAGAGCCAGAAGGCAACACTGCTGATAAGAAATGTAAATCTTGTCTTGGTCAGGTCTTATAATAAACTGACCTGTCAGTAGGCAGAGATTGGTGAGGGAGGCTTTGGACGCCATAAATTATTTAGCGGTTTAATTATGTCTATTTTTATTGTTAATGGGATATACTGCAAGGATTATACAATAAAATTATTGAACACAACAAAGTTGTTTATTAAAATAGAGTTAGAGTGTTTATAAAATCGTTATAAACGCAAGTACTATATCTATCTTTAGATACCTCATGTGAAATAATGTTAGTAACAGGAATGTTTCAAAATTCTAATATAATGAGATTTTTTCCTTTAATTATACGTGTTAAATAATTGTAATTGTTGAATTCTCTCTAAACTTCCATGACTAAAGTTTTTTAAACGATATACAGTAACAAGTTTCAACATACAAATTTGCTTGTTAACTTGTTAACCATGTCTTCCACACTTAAAAACATGTATCATTCAATAAGAGTTTTAATTTACTTATCTAATCAAACAGTCGTACACAGTATACATTTATTTAAAGTTATATCAAAACAAAAACTTAACAAAATAACTAACTATACTGTAACAATAATTGTAGCAAACCTCAATAAGAAGTCAAACTTGATAACAAGTCTTGTTTAATAATCAATTCTTGTTTTATAATCAAGGAACTACTGAATTGAAAATTATGTGAGTAGTCTACGGAATGGACTCAGCAACTTGTTTTGTCATAAAAATTTTTAGGTATAAATAATGCAACCTCAAACATCCTTAGACTTTCTAGACTCAAAGATTTTACTAAGTTACCTTTTGTTTTGTAGTTGTCTTGAGTTCTTGAAGTGTTAGTTTCCCGGTGTACATTTTGCCACTAAGTGTGGCATCTTCAGAGGTCACTATTTTATAATTTACATAATATAGTATACAGAAGGGGCAAAATTATGGACCAAAAACTTTTTAATGGGTTACACCAGGAAAACCAAACTCTGCACACCTCTATGGCATAAATGTGCACTTTTTTGTTGGTACGGTATCCCAATTTCTTCCGTAAACGTACAATTGGTTATTTTGTGGGCATCTTAAAGATTTTAAATGTAAAGCCCCATCAAATAACACATCATTTTACATGCTATTAGTTTAAAAAGATATTGACAAAAGAAAACTAAGGGTCTCCATCCCAACCCATTACAGGATGGCGGATAGGTTTTATTTTTTCATCAGCCTAAGAGATTCCATGAAAAAAATGTACATACACCAATCTGTTGTACAGTGTACATTAAGGTCATTATCACTGTAACAAAAAACTGGAAACCAAAATGGGGTATCTTGGGGTGGGGGCAGATGGCCGCCATTATGTAACAGGTTCAGATAGACCTCTTGTTTTTGCCAATATTCTTTTAAACGAATGAGGTGTCACTTGATGGAGCTTTACTTTAAAAATTGTTGAGTTTCCCCCAAAATTGGTCATTTTGGTTTAAACGCTCTCAGTGACAGTTAAATATTCTAATAGTTTTTTGTATATAGTTTAATTTTTTGTTTCTCTACTGCCAGTTTGTACTCTTTTTTTTATTTAAAGTAAGCCTGCTATCCTCACAAAAATCCTAGGCCCACGCTTTATGTTACATCCTCAAACTTTTAGTAGGTAAGTTTTAAATGATGATGTTATGTTAGACTACAAGTCTAAAATACCAAAATACTTATTATAAAAAAAGTTTTTTAACTGGTAGTATGGTAAAAGTTACCATACTGACACAAATCATCAAGGTGTTATCAGTACTCATATGAAATCCCACTCATCGACAAGCCTCGCGCAGGAAAAATCATGCTCGTACCATAAAAACCAACTTCCCTGCCTTGTATCGTAATATACTATTTCTTTTCTTTATTGTGCTAGTGTTCTATTGTGTGTCTACGGAAATGTAGTTTATTGAGACTTAAAGATTACATTGTTCAACTCTGAAGATAACAAACATAATTACATGTACAGTACTTATGTCCATGTGTAGCCAAGGGAAAGGATGGTTTTGCCATAAACTAGTTTTGCTGATTGCAGTATTTGGATTGATGTAAAGCTGATATTTACACAATTTTAAATACCTATTAATAGTCCAAAAGCTACAAACCATCATTAAATTATGATAAATGTGTGAGTGATATCAATATTTCTGCGCCTCAAGAGGTACAGTTTGTCCCTGTTTTTGTTGAGGCTGCCCAATCTTCTCAGCTTCCTCGATGGTGTCAGGAAGAGTTGTGTTGAGAGTCTCAGGGCAGGTCAGGGTGAAAATCCCACCCATAATTGACAAAAGGGAAAATAATATCATCGGATCAAAGTACATACTCTGAAACATAAACCAACAACAGCAGTGACATAAAAAATAACAATAACAACAATGATAACAATGAAAAATCTTTAAACTTATTGGAAATTGTGTTTCACGATCAAGATTCAACAATAATAAGTGTTAATTAAATTATTTTGTTACCTTACAATATCCTGTTAGTGTTGGTAGATAACTACATGTTTCGTGGCGACTGCCACATCCTCAGGTTATCCTCTTCTCAGATTCGATCAGATAAATAATTTAATTAATATAAAGCAATATCCAGAAGTAGGACAATGAATTCTGAATAATAAGTGTACTGCCCTTTAACACGTTCGCTACCACAATTATATGGAATTTACGTTCGCATAGACCAGCGACGCAATTGTGCGTCGACTCGTTTCTCACAATAGACCACCGACGCATATTTGCGTCAGCTGGTCACATTGAAATGGACTAACGACGCACATTTGCGTCGGTATTCTAATGTTATTAAACAGCGTATTTCTTAGCAACGGTCTATTTTAGAGCCCGGATTTTATCATATCGGTCTAGAGGGATATCTGCCGCAAATGTGCGTCACTTGGTCCGTGGATATGACGATTGGTTACGTCACACAACAGTTGGCAACATTGTTGTTTACATTGTGTATTCCGCGACATCACAGAACAGATGTAAACGTTATAACCTTTGCAGTTTTGGCTAGTGTTTAGTGGAGTTTCTTTAGTTGTTTATGTAAAAGCTTGAAACAACCAAATTTACAACGACGCTTACGTGCGTCGCCTGGTCTATTGAAACGAAAATGTAATCTTTTTAACTGGATTTCGTTAAATAGACTGACCGACGCATATATGCGGCGTTTTAAAATTCGCTCATAACGAAAAATAAAAACAATATTTATTGCTTACTAATTCACTTAAGGTTATTATTAAGTCAATTAGTCCATTTAAACGATATTTCTCTTTTGGTCTGTCGGCAATGTTATTCCTATATCACTTGGTCTGTAAGCAACGTCATGATCATTCCTTTTAGTCTGTAAGAGTGACCGGACCGACGCAAATGTGCGTCGCTCGGTAGCGAACGTGTTAAACCTAATTTTGCCATATAAGACAATACTTAATAGAAAATAACTTACCTATCAAAATATTGTATCAATAAATATGCACAAATAGTTAAAATTTGTGCACTTTTCAGTTTCAGCATCCAAACAAATCAGAGGAAGTCATAGAATTTTAAATTGATCCAGAGTGACTAATTGTTTAAGTGTTTCTGCTTTTGTAGTAAAAAAATACACCTGCCGCAGCAAACCTGCACACTGAGTTAATTTCCATTTGCCTTATTGGATTCATAACAAAATATTTACATCAAGAAAACCCTGGTGAGCAGGATTAGACTGATGAATTTCAGTGTTTGTCCTTGGCTCTTGTGTATGGTCAATGTGAATGCTTGACGTATAAGACACTATGGTGGTGCTGCATTGTATTTCCAAGATGGGACTTGCTTGAATCTAAAGTGATTTTTGGAATGTTAACAAATCTTGCAGAATGCTCCCCAGTGATTATTTTGTTCTTAATAATGTGCTCTCATGGTTCCTTTATGATTAATTGAGTTCCGATGCACATTCCTTCAGTAATGTCCTCGTAATAGCAAAAAATTATGGACGTTTGTTTATGAGTAAAATAACAAGTAATAACATGAGTCGAGTCTCGGCATGCGATCAGATCTGTACTATGTTGTGACGACCGTTTACCATAAATTAGTTAGTAGGCCTACTTAAATGTATTTTTGTCCGTTATTGTTTAGTTTGTGTGTGTCGGAAAGACTATGACGTGACCCTTATGGTTTAAACAATTTTGTAGATTTGACAATGGCGCATTGACGTCGAAACGTACGTAATCCTAGTTTTGGACTACATGGATCACTTGGCGATTAAGGTAATGTAACCTCATATATATTATAACTCAGTGATTCAGAAAAAAACAACATACAACATGAAGTAAAATAACCTTGCATACAGCAGATTTATAAAACATAACAATTATTCTCTTAATTATTCTCTTCCCATTGAGAAGCACAGTTTTGGTGGCTATATATGTACCGACGGTAATGGCTACTTCACTATAGGGAAATCGCTAAGAAAATATAATAAAAGACTTACAATGAGAGGTGTCTGCTGAGAGAGAATAGAGCCAACTCGTCCCACCATGGAGCAGCAGGCTAGCAGCGTGTGTCGCAACTCTGTTGGGAACACTTCAGCTGTGTAGACGTACAACACCGTCAGTGTCAGAGTAGAGGCGAACTTGGATGTGAGGAACAAGAACACACTGAACACCACTTGACCTTCGGCAAAACACTCGGATAAAAAACCAATTTTTGCTGCCTTCCTTCATATTACAATATTCTGTTACTCTAAATAAGTAAGGATTTACTGTATGACTCCTCTTACCCTTGCTAACAAACATGAGAAGAAAGCAAGTTACGCCACAGAGGAAGAACGACCACGCGGTGGTGCCTTTTCTACCCAGCAATGGCCAGTCAGGTAGCCACAAACTGACTACATAGGCTGGTGCCTCTATCAGGCTGGCCAATAGGAAGGACACGTAGCGGTTGCTGCTCTCAAACAAGGTGGTGTACTGGGAGATACCGTAGTAGGAGAAGATGGAGGCCATCCTGGAATAGATAAGATACGATTAGATTCTTATGACGCCAACAAAATAGGTGTGTGATTTTATGACGAAGATGAGCAAACAAGTTTTGTGTGAGTTTTGTGTTAAATGAATGAGATGACAGCTTTGCTAATGACTAAGATCAGCTGATTTTATAAAATGGTTCATTCATGAAAAGCCTAATGGTTAAGAACAGGTGGGTCCATTTTCAAATTATTTAATAGTTTTTTGTGTAACAAGTGTGTAAAGAAACTTTGCGCTCATGTTATACAATATATTTTTCCTACAGTTACTATAAAGAATAAATAATGGGGTATGTATGGTTGGGATTGTGGCGTCGTCTTGTGATCCAGCTACTTGGAGGTCATGAATTGTGAATATTTATAGGCATGATCTGTGGATGCGATACTCCCTAAAAGCTGAAACAAATTAGTAAAATAATGATAATGTAGAATGTTTTTTTTTCTTCAAAACACAAAAACTACTTACCAACACAAGGCGAGGGCAATAAAACGACACATGATGGTACGGGATTTCCAAACTGCCATTAGTCGGCTGGGTTTTGAGGCTTTTCCCGACTGTTCTGTTGGTTTTGGGGTTATGTCTTTCTAGAACACACCATCCACAGTTTTATTGTGTGATAATTAAGAAACACAAAATCATCTCAAGACAGTTTAAAGCAGCTCTAACAGTTTAAAAAATTGCTCGAATCATGTTAAAAAATGAGACAAGTCATATTCAGCACTACCACGAGCCCTCGGGTGTGTGGTAGTGTACCGCTAGCTAAGGGATTTTCTGAGACTACTACAGCAGTAGTTTTGTTTTGTGCATGCGCAGAGATAAGTCTCAAAGAATCACATTATTAGTACTAATAAAAATAGATTTAAAATACTGATTTATATGTTCTCCTCTCCATATCTCTATATAAAGAATAATCCCAGCAAAAAAGTGCATAGGATGTTTCTTGTAGATAATATTTTAGAGTTATTTACGAAAAACCTAAAAAAGGACACTTAGAGCCCCCTTTAGCTTCACCATAGCGGACCATTAATTTTATTATGTTTTTAATGCCCCTTTCCCTACAACTGTACCAAATTTTGCTATTACAGGATTTTTTCCTTTATTTGGTATTGTTTTTGTCTTCCTTGCCTAGACTACTAGCAGTAGACAAAATTCTAAGAGACAGCGCTGGCCCCTCCCACCACAAAACTCCTGCGCGGATGAAGTCCTACTTTTGGTGTAGCAAGACTCATGGTAAAACGTCCGCATGATACTGTCACTCTGGGGTAGTGGCAGATGTCGGCGTGCCTTTAAATCACGGATAAATAAAAGCTGGCTTTACAACTACCACAACTAAAAACAAACACAAAAAAAAATATCTTATAATAATGGTAGAGGCAATTTTTGTCAAGTAACTTTTAACCAAAAATCTACCAACTTCTTTGCTAATTGTGTTAAAAGCATCTGCAAAAACCATGAAGTAGAAAATTTATTTACTGTTTTAACTGGTTATAGAGGTGTATAAAGTAAACACACTTCCTTAAGTGTGTTTACTTTATTGTATAAAGTTTGTAAGTGTGCGTAGTGTGCCTTTTTACATAATCTAGTGTTAATACAGTTAACATTAGGGTTTGTGATGTGTTCCGAATAAGTTGTTTGTTGTTTTATTGACTAAATCCAATAAAACTTAATGTGATAAATATTTACCCCACGTGATCTCTCACGTTATAATTATAGGCACTCTCTAGGGATAAATGACATTTTGATTATAATTTTTTAATATCTTTGTGAATAGTATTGAAGGAACTACATACCGGTACCCTGAAAATGTGCGTTATGCAGCTGGCTCAGAACACTCGGCAACTTGTCTTCAGTGTTGTTCATCTTGGCCATCCTGCCGAAGATTTTCTCAATGTCTTCAATTCTATCTTGAGTGTGCAACCATCTAACTGACTCTGGAAGCAGCCTGAAAGCATAGCAAAAATAACTAATGACTTGGCCACGACATGATTATGGAACAACCATGCACTTTTAGCTCGGGTATGGTGGGGCAGAAAGATGCTAGTTCTGAGCGAGATGAACCTGAACAGCTATTGTTTACAACAGCAGTTGTAGCGCACAGGCTCTTCCTACAGCATGAGCGCTGTAGTACATGATGGTGAGGGGGGATAGGAGAGCGGAAGGGGACGACCAATAAAATTTGCACTAGACACAGGCGAGTGGCGAGACTAGACAACTTAGTGTACCATTGAATGTTTTCTCTGTATCTTAGTACTCTGTTGTAGAGCAAAAATCTGTTTACATAATTTTGTGCAAAAAGTGTTTTCTCACCAATGCATGAGCACCAGCAGCAGTGAAGGTATGTAGAGAACTCGCAGCATCAGTCTCCAGTCAGCCATTGCCCACATCACCAGGGCTAGCACGACCTCTCCCAAGGCAAAGTAGACGTTGATCAGCAAACTGCCCAGCAGACGCTTTTGGGGAGCCAGAATCTCCAGACCTGCACAGAGGCAAATAAATATTTCAGAGTAAAATTATGGTCGAGTAGCTCGAATAGGGCAGATTGCCAGTCAGATCATCGAGTACGTGTACACCCACGGAAGTATACCTCAGACAGTTGGTTTAGTTGCTGTAGTGTGTACTAATTTTAAAATTAAGTTTGCAATGTTTTGGCTCCACTCTATAAAATTCTGTTGACACTTGACACAGTCCTCCAACAGATGAAATATTGTGTTTGCTGAGTTTTCTGTGTACTATTAATGAATAGATTAGCCTTCTAAACTTTTTGTATAGTAAGCTAAATAGTGGTTATCTTTCTTCATTCTAAACATCAAAATCATTCTCCTATCAAACTATCCACTTACCAAGTATGAAAGCAGGAGAGTACACAGCCATGAATCCATCTAAACACTCCATAATGAGTGTTATTGTGTAGTTTTCAGAGAAAGATCTGATAACTCCAGTCACAGCCAGAACTACACAGCTATATACCAGCACTGTCTTGCGGCCAACCCTAAAGTGAAAATGAGTGAAATTTTAAACACGTTTTAAACAATTGTTTTGGAAATAGGTTGTAATTGGTGCTCCTGAGCTCTACAAATATGTTGATATATACTATTTTAAATTATAGCTCTACTTCCAATCCAGTCCAACCAAAAATTCCCATACATGTGAAAGAAAATCAGGAGATTCATCCAATGAATATCTTAAATAATAAAATAATTGTATGGCAATTAAGGAACATTGTTTAGCATAACATTATTGTGATTTCTTCATTGATTTAGACAGTTATAAACGAGGGCTATTCAGAAAGTAGGGAACGTTTTGTAGTAATATAATACGGCTAGAGTTTGCATGGTAAGAAAATGTACCTGACACATTAAAAAAATTAACTAAAATACTACTTTTTTACCTAGCCAACAAATGTATTGAGGCACTTATCATAGTGTGGGATGCTTTGAAATTGATCTGTCATATAATTCCATAGCTTGAGAGCTCAGTTACCAGGTGACCAAGTGATTAGAGTTCCTTGCCGTCATGATGACTGTGCTGCTAAGTGTGAACCAAGTATTTATTTTGGGAAACAAGTGAAAGCCACTTGCAGCAAGATATGGACCAAAGGATGGTTGAATACCAATTAGCCATGCAAGTCAGTTGGAATATTTTGCACGGCAATTTTAGTTTGGCAATTTTGAAACCTGCATAATTTCAATTGGCTCTTCTAACTATTATATAATGCTATGGCCAGATAAACCGTATCACAGACTGCACGTTTTGACCAACGAGATTTTCAATTGCAGCACACTTAAACTTTGATTTTACAAAATAGTCAGCACAACAACACTTCCGCTGTGACAGCTGGACAGTCATTGAGTAGGGGAACACGTATGTACTATAAAGTGCAAAATCAGTGGGAGCCTATCGATGCTGTACAAAAACACTCCTTACTTGCTGAATAGCCCTCGTATTTGAATAGTGGTCAGCAATGTCCTTAAAATATATACAAAATAAAAATGTGATGATGTTTGTCTGAATCATCTAAAATAAATGCTGTGATTGGGATGCATTACTTCCACAGTGCTTGTCTAGTAATTCAAAGGTTGCTGGTTCGATCCTGTGAATGGTTAGTAACCTTTTGATGGTTCAAGACTTGACCCAGCGTGTCCTTGATTGTTGGGCTTTTAATAAATGGTCCTGGCCTGAATAATGAAACGGCTTACTTTGGCCGTTAATAAAAGGTATACAAGGCACTTCACACTCTTCCATCACTCATATTTGGATTAAAATACATCCCGATCCCCATCTCAATTGGTGAAATATAATTTCCTGCTTACCTGTCAGATATTAATCCAGCAACCGGAATGCCGATGAAGCTTGACATTACAAACACACTACCAATGAGTGTGAGCTTCCACAGATCTTCAGGACAGAGGATTTTAAACTGAAACACAATTGTTGTGCTTGGTGAGTAAAGAACAGAAGTCCTTCCATCAAAATATTGGTCGGTTTACTGACCATTGATTATGGGAAAGTCTGCAGCAGCCAGGATAACTGTTGGAAATTGTTGGATGAAATTCAGTCTTCTCAGGATGAAGGGAATAATGGTAATTTGGGAATATATGAATAGACTATTATAATCAACTATCACTATTATAAGTGCTAAACTGTTGGTATATGAAGAAAATAACAAGAGATGTTAAGTTTTATGAGGGTGTCCAGTGACAAGATAAAAAATACTCCCACAGCACAGCAAACCTGCTCAGACTAAGCAAATTACCATTTGCCTTGAATTTTCACTAAAGTATACCTCCTTAATACTTCCAGATGTATTTCCCTATGTATATAGCATTATTGTTATATTTTCTTGGGTTTGTTGCTACAGGGAAAGCAATTTTGCGTATTTTAAATAAATAAACTTTAAAATTGGATCAAAATTGTGTTCATAAACAAGCAGAATACAACAGTTTACTATATTCTCCATTAGATTAACATGGCAGTTTTAAACTAACAGTTTTTTTTTTTATTTTTCCTCTTAACCATAATAGCCTATAATGCTTCGATGTACTAAATTATTTATTTGTTCAGGTTTTACAAAATGGCTTGGGAAAAATTTTAATGACCTAAATATAACATTATTGGATGAAACTCAGAGGATGAAAATCAACAAGCTTTCTTGTTAGTTAACTCACATCCGTCCCTATGGTTTTGGTGGGTTCAGAGAACACCCATTCATTGCAAGTGACCGCACTCTTGTTGAACATCTCAGCAGAACACACAGTTTGGTTATTGACCGCAGCCGCAGACAAAGGTTGATATCGCAGACACTCGTGGGGAACGTGATTGTTTGCTCGATCAGTGAAAGGAACTGCTGCATGGAGCCAGGCTGCTTTGAAGTCTGCTGTATTGGGGGAGTCCTCGCACTCGGGGACGAGACATCTGAACAAGCAAGGTGGGTAAGGATAAATATATTGATCAGTAAAAGCTTGTTAAAAGCTTACTACAAAAACCTCATTCTACAACTCCTTTGAAGAATGTTGCTTCGATGTCATTCAGATGTTTGATTAATCTATATTGCTCCAACTATACCTGTGTGGTATGCTCATTGTGGTGAAGATGTACTCCGTGGAGCGGAAACCACACATGATGACAGGAAACATGAGCACAGTGTAGCAGAACGCCTGGTACTTGCCAAACTGTCCCAGGTCCTTCAGCATGGAGTCCAGGTCCATCATCTGAATAAAGCACAATCAAGAGGTTAGAGAGCCTGTTAGAGGTTGCCTGTTTGATTCTGAAAAGGATTAATTCAAACTTAAAGGCTTGTGGTCGAAAACTCGACCAAAAATATTTAATGTACAGACTTCTCTATTAGTAAAAATGTAAAATAGTTCATATAAAACAAATTCTCAGATTAGACTTGTTATTTCAATTTTTTTCCCCAAAATTGTATCTCAAATGTAAACACTTTTAACCCACCACAGCATCTTTGTCCTACATTAACAAAAGATAGCCTCACTATGAAGCCTGCAGCCTTCAGGTAACAAAGAAGTAAATTAGCTAATTGGAAAAGGCAAAAGTACAATATCCTACTTTAAAATTCATATTTTTTAACTACAGTAATTATTTAAGTTGAAAACATGACGTTATAAGTGGCAAAACTCATCCACTTAAAGTGGATGAGTTTTGGTTGAAGCCTAAGCTATTTTTTCCCTAGAACACTATTAGAAGCCTAATAATTAGGCTATTGATAGTTAACATGTTTATGAACAGTTTACTCAATAGGTTTTAGCTTATCAAAATTAATATTGACAAAATATATCTTATTTGATAGCAATATATGAACAGGTATAGTTTCTATTTTCAATAGTTTGCTTAAAATGTCATGCATATTAGTTTTCCTCAAATGAAATCCAAAGTAATGTGTATTCGATTCATGCTGACATTTTTAAGACCTTCCTAAATTAAATTTCATGTTGATGGCATGGCCCCTGGATTAATTATATGACTTATATGGTACAATACCTCGGCGGCATGTTTTGTAACCCTGACGTTGAAGCATTTACTGCAAAACATGTAGGTCACCTTACATCAAAATTTGGATTACTTGACGAGGTATATTGTACCATATAATTATTAGTCTTTCTAAATTATTCACCAGAAAGGTTTGGACGAGAAAAACAACTAAATCCACTCTAACTAATTCCGTAATTACTTAAATACAGATAATGATGAGATATTATTCAGTTTAATAAAGTGTTAGGTAGAATGTTATGTCATTTTTAGCACAATCCACAAATATTCAATTTATTATTGGAGGGGTACCTAATGACTGACAATATATCATATTATTATCTCTCTTCATACAAAAGAAAAATAATTTAGCAATTTATAAACTAACATAAGTAAATTTTTTAGTTTTTTGGTACCGTACCACTAAGAATTATAGAGATGATTCTAGCATTAGTTGACTCAGAGTTCAAGCTTGTTATAATAACCGTAATCACAAGCGTCATGCCTCATTATTGATCACTCGTTTTTAAGTGCAAAGTTTTCATATCGAAGTAGATATATTTAACAGATGATTTTTCGTAATGAGTTATTTGTTTCCCGAGTGTTTTATAAAAATAAAATATTCATAAAAATTGAAACAAGGTTAAAAACAAATGTACAAACTTAGTACAGTGAGATCCCTATAGGTATGCTAATAATTATTTGATTCGTTTTTCATTTTTAAACACACAGGTATTATAGTTTTGCCACGGTTAAAATAAATATTATGTTTTCTAACATTACCAATCAATTAGCCTATCAATTATTTAAATGGCCAGATGGGGACGCCACCTAGGTGCGTATTTTATCACAAAGGAGTAAAGGATGAGTGTAGAATAGTGTGTGATTATCTGTGTAGCTTCGTTACTGGTTAAGATTAGCTGTTTGACGTATTTGACAAAATTAACATTTATATCTGTTTTAGGCCTATTATTTTGTGGCTTTATCTAGACCATTTAATTTTTTTTTGTTACACCATTTTTACTCAGTCCTTATTTGTCTTCATTCGTGCATATAGGTATCAAGTCATTTGTTTGATAGAAAATAAGGAAATAACTATTAAACCAAAGGAAAAATAAAACTTATGATAACATGATGACTCTATTAGGCTCTTAATGATCCATTGGTTTGAGTATGAAACAACTGGTCTTTAAAACAAAATCCACACATTAAGCATTCATACTATTACTTTCCTTGGCTAAAAACCTACATTTGCGTTGTTCCTTTATTAAAGTGATCATATGATTTAGAAAATATATCAAAATTGAATACTATGGAGAATAAACTATTGCCGTAGTTATCATGTTAAGATCTAGACCCGGGACCGATTTACTTTTTTGTTTTGAGATCCCCAGGAGGGAAAAACACCCGCTCAATGTTCAAATGTAATACATATATATATATTTTTTAATTGGCTATATATATTTTATTTTGCTAGGCCTCTATTATAACTAGCCGCTTCACCCCTTGCCTTGCAACGGTGTGAGGATGCCGAAGAGGTAATGTTGGTTCTTTGAAAATGCCGTAAAAAATGGTTTCACATCCACCATTTAATTTAGAAACTAAATTCAACTGCCAAATACCACATATCTTGATAAACGTGTTTTTTGTTAACTCAGATGGTGCACACTTGTTTATGCTACCTGGGATGATATAAAAGTTGTGCCAAATCAACTATAAAAATATTATTTAGACCTATATATGATTTTATGTTTAAGAGATACGCTTACTAATGAGTGAATTAATTTTTTAATATCAATATTCAAAGTAAATTGTTAAGTTAAACAAATTTTATTGTTTTTGACATCTTATTGTAAGATTTGTTTTTAATTCGAAATATGTAAAATTAATCCATTACACAGATTTAAAGATGTTAATTTGTTTATTCAGTTATTTACAATGCCATGCCTTACATGCCTTACAGTACATCATTTGGTTTGATCTAATAGTGTTTGATAACAAATTGTGAATGAATGAACGATATTCACCTTCACCAACATTAACAACCTTACATACTGTATTTCTTATCTTTACATGGGTGGAATATAGGTACACACAAAGTAATATTTAGTTTATTTAATGTTTATCGTTTATTTAATCCAATTTAAGACATTAAAAATGTACACTACCTTTAGAACACCAAATTGCTATAATAAAATCATTTTAAAAAACCCTACCTTTGAATGTCAGAGGGAAATAATGAATTCCTTGTAGAATCCTCTGGCAGTGGTCAGGATCAGCTGTGCGGGAAATCAGCTGTGCAGCGGACAAGTGTCGACGATATACAGAAGGCGTAGGCAGTGACAACTCGCGGTGATGATCGCTCGAGCACAGCAGGCCTTGGATATAATCACCCGAGTGGCGAGTACATGTGTCCAGACTACACCATCGCTTCCAGTCCTGCCACAGCCTTCTAAATACATACAGAATCAGTTCAATTGCAGAATTAGTTTTGGAGGACCTACTTATTTGGAAAGTGAAACTTGGTACGGTCCCTAGACTCTAATTGAAAAGGAAACGTTGTGAAAACTTGTTTTTGCTAATGGAAAATCTCCCTATTTATCCCTCACACACCATAAAATCCATCCCAAGATTCTCAAAAGCCTGATTGATAACAATTACTATTAGTTTTTTACCGTTTATATTATTATTGAACATGTTGAAGACTTATTGAAGACTTACAAACTAGCCAAGCAAACGTAGAAAGAATCCCATATATGAAAAGAAATTGTTTGCTGCAAGACCGTCACTGTAATGAGTCATTGTATCACTGTTTTGCTGCGGCCGAAAAATAATCAAATTTATGATATTTGATTAAGTAATATACAGTATCTGAAGAACTTAACTGATTCAAACAATCAACAGCTCAAACTAAAGCCTATAATTTACTGATTATTTTCAGCCTTAAACATTAAAAAAAATAAAAAAACTATACTGGAGCTATTGATTTTTATTCATAGAAAACCCTTATAAAAAAATTTTCATGTTGGTTGTTCACCTAGTGTTTGCTTGAGACTCGTCTGATTTGAATAACTGATAGCTTAAATGAAAGCCGGTATTTCACTTTTGTCCAAAATATATAGGATTAGGATTATATCATTATAAATGGCGAAATACATCTTAAAATGAAGAAAGAATTTGAATATAAATCAAATTTATGTTTTTTGTTGAGTAATACAGCAGATAAAGATATGCCGATGCTTGATGTGAAATCTGTGCGTGCATACCTTCAATTTGAGACCTCAGTAATAACAATTGGTCGTGTAGGAGAACCAAATGGACTCGGAAAAGAAACCCCATTTTTTTAAATATATCCATTCACTACTACTGGTGATCCATTCACTACTATATAGTTTTATTATGGTGCTGTGTATAGGCTAAAAATAATTTCTTCTAAAAGCTACCATGACCATATGATTGTGATGGATTCCTAAACTGTACGCCTTCATATTTTTGATACTGGAGAAGCACACAGGTGCGTTGCTATTGCATTGTTTTACAGCAGGAGCTTAAATATATGAATCATTAATACACTACATATGAATTGTTATATGTCGGCTTTCCCTGTTGCTCGCCGATTTTACTGAATGACAATATACATATACATATATTGATTTCATTTTTTTATAAACCACGTTGTTAGATCATAAAATACAAAGTTGTTTAATATTTTTGGTTAGATAATTGCTTAAATACTTATTTTTAAACTATTTTTAGAATTTTATTGAAAAACACGTTATAATTCTTTATTTTAAATATTATTGCAGTGTAGTAAGAATGTATTTATGTAATTTTTATCGTTTTCTATAAGTGATGTCTAACTTAAATCCATTCATCGGCTGAAAAAACCCCTTATTTTATACATGACTTGTTTTACGTCTAGGTATCTGCGTATTTCAAAGTAAAGTATTAAAGTACAATTAATTAATTGAAGACGATAAAAACATTACAACTGTTTAATATAGGATCGACTTTAGCAAAATAATAGAAGGCACATTAAGTATTATACAATTCGTCTTTTCTACAATTCATTAAATAAAACTTTAATACGATTAAAATAGAACGTACTTTTTTCATATTTGCAAAAAAACTAAATATTAAATTTAGTTGAGTGCGTGTGTGTGTGTGTGTGTGTGTGTGTGTCCTTGGTTTCACATCTGCTCATGGTAATTGAAATCGATTTGATTAATAGAAGTTTTTTTAGTTCCTTTTTAATTATTTTTTTAGAGGTCGGCGGCCTCTACTACTCTATTCTATGGATGAAGGTGTGTAGACCAGAGAGCACAAAAAGTGCTTTCTGGTAACAACTACGGATTGCACAGGCTATCTGCAATCTACACTTAACGCAATTCGATAGAGGTTGTTCAGGAGGCATGAACAGCTGTTTAATTCTACACGTTTCCGCTCAACAATGAAAGAAACACGTGGTTTGTAAATGAGCTAGTCTTAGATTTTCTGGATAGAAGTTAGACATCGCATTAACAATGTATAAAATGTTGTACTGTGCTGGCTCAGGTAAGTGATTCAATTAACTTATCACATAATTTTATTATAATACTGTTCATAATAATTTATTAATAATAATTATTTATTAAAGTTGTAGCTAATGTTGATTAAAAGTTGACAGTTGAATTGAGGCACCTCAATTTATTGCGCTGATGTCTCTTGGCTCTACTGATTTATGGTGTTTTCATAAACTTGTTCAACTACCTTACCATAGTATCAAACACTAAAGATGGCAGAGTTTTAACAGTAACGCACCTTTTAATTCAACTAAGTATTTTAATTTTTTACAGTTGGTCAATATAGATGGGAATTCTATTTTGGTATGCATAAGCCAATACTCATATTCATAGTTTTTTTTACACAAACCTCACAATCACTTCGTTAATATTTTTTACTAACCCACTTCAATATTGTAATAAAATTTGCTAGCTACAAATTGATTACAACTTCCAAATGATGGACTTATGAAGAAGTTCAAAATTTAATAAATTTTCAAAATTTATGAGAGTGTAATGGATTAAATTTAGTATTACTTTTCCACCGTTTTTGGTTTGGGAGTTTTAAATTATTATATTCAATTGAGATTAATTAAAACAGTTTTCAAATCAATCAACATAGTTATCGTAATTAGCACACTGTGAGTAATTCGACATGTGGTTTCTTAATACAAGTTGGCAGCCGCTGGTCCATACCGCATACTTCAGTATCCAAAGGTCAATGCTTTACAATATTGTCAAGTAGCTAAACAATTATGCAAACTATTTTATAAAGATTAAAATATCTTTAAATGGAAGCTTCACACAACTATCAAATTCTAGAAACTTTAAGGGACGAATACGAAGATACAAACGTATTAATTAACTACTTTCAGTAATTAAACCTCAATAATTAATCTCTCATCAAGTTTGAAGCTGTAGCAATAAACGGTAGTCCGACATTCAGCTATTAAACTGCTTATTATAACCTTGGGATCAACAATGGAATAAACGGAGACGGAAGGTCGCCGCTTGCTCGCTAATTACCAGCTGATAGTATGAGAATGGGCACATCAGCTGATAAGCAGGTGCAACAACTGAAATAGATGATGACCACCAGTTGTGGCAACAGTCATATTTTCAGAGATGTGTAAACGATTTGAGGATTGGGAGAACTGACATTTTAAAGTTAAATTTAATTAAAATATTTGTAGATTTGCAAGATCAATGGGTGAACATTTATTTGAAATTTATTAAATTTAAATAACTACAGTTACAGAATCGAAAGATTTAAGTCATGTTAAAGTTGAACTCTATGAGGTTAAAGTGTTAATTTTATAGTTTTTGAGAATTTATTACTGGAATACATATTTGTCTTCAGAAGCTGGCGTGGTAGAGTTTAAGATTCGACGAAAAATAAAACTATACATTTCATTACTATCTTAAAGCTGTAGCCAATAAAAAAATAACGTAATTGAATTGGGTCGCCAGAATTTCAACCCCTGAGAAAATCTGACTTCATTAGCAACCTGGGCGCTCTCGAGTGGGAAACGGACTTTCGGCCTGGAGTTTGTTTGCGAGCGGAATTTTACCCCTGTTGATTTGGGAGTAATGAAAATAGACAACGTGATAAATTAGATTATGAATAAAAGCCGGAATTGTACCCCTGCGACTATAACTAGAGTTTGGAAAAACTGTAGATGTAAGTCCTGGAATTTTACCCCCGAAATTACGCCCCCGGAATCCCCCCCCCCTGATATAGAACTTTGTGAGAATTGTTAATTTTGTACGTAGGACCAGTGGCAGTGGACCAGTGGAAGACCCCAGACCTCAACAATAGGTTACGAAACATAACCTCAACTGAGGTGTTTTCTTCGTTCTATTCTTCAATCATTGCAAACATCCTGACATTGTCTTGGGTCAGAAGTCCAATTTAACAAGCAACTGATCCTGGACTGGACCTAGGCTGAATCTATGATTTGAAGAGCGATCGCTTTCCTTTAGTTAATCGTAGATTCAATATCGTTATTTATATTGAAATACGCCTAAATTATAAAGCATATCTAATGGTCACTACTTGTCTCAATTTTAGTTTCAATTCCAAAAATGTTAAAATTAAAATTTATCAACAATTTAACATAGCTTTCAAACATTTAAAAAAGAGTAAAATATTTACAATTGAATATTTGGAGCAATTAGGGCCTAAAGGTTAAACATCGGTATATTTACAAATTATATCGTCACCTTACCCAAAAATGTAAACTCCTCCTCCAGGAAAACTATGACGAGAAGATTTCCTCGTTTTAAAATCATAGCCGGAAGGTCGAGTTAAAATAGTTACCTTCATAAATATAATAATTGGGACTTCGTGGTTTATAGTAGCAGACGTAATTAGTTAACCTAGGTGTGACCTTTAACCTGGTTGCTGTTGCCACAGTGTCACTGTCATTGCATACTCAATGTTAAATAACTAACGATACTTGGCTGAAATAACTAAAACCAAACTGTAAACAAAACACGGCTTCTACCCATTCTACCACGGAGCACCGGAAGCACTTACATTACAATAAAATTGTCTTCAGCTGATCCATAAGGTTGAGAAATCTACTAAAGGATTATTTGTTATCTATGGTTGAGCACAATTAATTGAAGATTAGCACATATGTAGTATTGAGTTCGCGTCAGTTGAGTTATCAAGTGAACTCTACTGTAAACAGCGTGGTTTCTGCAGAAAACTAATTCAGGTCCGGTAACATAGAATAGAATAGAATATATATTTATTTTTTCAAAGAACTTACAATACATTGTACATGTTTCACAATTATTGTACATTAATTTTCACTTATGAAGTAAAACAAAAAAAAAACAACTTGGTTATAATAAAAATAGACTTGAAATGAAATAAAAAGTCCGTTGTTCTTACCAGGCTGACAAAAGACAAGTTACAGTGATCTGAAGCACAAAAACAACCATACTGTATGTACAATAAAAGTGACCTTTAAAATTTGAATCTGAGAAAATAATTAGGGCCTCATTAGGCAAAGCCTGTGTTTGAGGTTCCTTTACTTACAAATTTAATGTATACACAGAGCGATCAGATAGATATAAAAACAATACTAGTAAAAAACACAATGGTCTCATTCGAAATCTAAACCTAAAAACAATAAATGAGAAAGACAAATGATTATTCAAAACACCTGCCACATATGTTTGATTCTTATCTATCATGTTTGTTATCTCTGGTTTGATAACTCGAAACCACGCACTGCACTAGTGCCACCAGGCGGCTGATAGCCCCAACCCAAGGGCCGTCATAGCACACTACATACAATGTATAGACCCTGAGTGGCATAGCCCGCCAAAGTGCGTCCTTAACTGCGTCCTTAACATCACAGACTATATTTTAGTGTCTACACTTAAGGTATTTTAGTGCCTATAAGGTTTTGTCAGCTGCATTACGTTATACGTAACGTCAAAAAAATTAAACTGTAAACAAGATGGTTGCTGCAGAAAGTTTATTACCATTGGTCATCACAAACTAATTTTCTACATTAGTGCATCTTACAGTTAGGTTTGTCTTAGTTTGCGATGTCTCTAACTGATCGAAACTCAACAAATGTGGTTGTCGAAGGAAATGAATTGATTGCCACCTATAACATTACCCACTACTCCTACACTCTACAGTTGAGTTTGCAGCATTTTTAAGTCACAAACTAAAGATAACTCAATTCTAAACGGCATTGTTGCTGCAGAGAACTAATTCCATGGGTAACACATATAGTGGTTACAGTTGAGTTTGGCTCACTTGAGGTGTCCCTAGCTGATGAGAATTCAACTGTAAACAGTATAGTTTCTGCAGAAAACTAATTACATGGATAACATCACACATTGCAATGGCTACAGTTGAGTTTGGCTCACTTGAGGTGTCCCTAAGTGATGAGAATTCAACTGTAAACAAGATGGTTGCTGCAGAAAACGAATTACATGTATAACATCACACATTGCAATGGCTACAGTTGACTTTGGCTCACTTGAGGTGTCCCTAGGTGATGAGAATTCAACTGTAAACAAGATGGTTGCTGCAGGAAGCGAGATGATCGCCAGTGCGGTAATTTGTCGGTTTCCCAGCGACTCCTGCCACTTGTAGAGGTCGCGACCATCCTCGGATCCTTCACCCGTTTCCTCAGGACTTCTCTGGTAGAGTGGTAGACTACTGACTCTTCAGTCTGTGCCTATGGACCATGGAGTACACCTCCGCCGCTGTTGTCTTGCTCGGGATCATCTGTGAGTGCTTGGAATATGCTGTCATATGTTTTGGAAAACTGTTCTTTTGCTATTTTGTGACTAAAATATGATATTATTCAAACAATGTATTTTTAAATGTGCGTTATTAGTTCGTAGCTATCACGGAATATTTCGACGGCCACCATGGTTAATTTTAAAATTTAAGCGTGCTGTTACCCGTAATTCAATAAAATGTTAAGGGGTCTTTTTGGTTGTAGCTTTGTAGCGGACCTTCGCGTAAAGAGTCTTTTACCACAGCTTAAATAGATAACAATAAATGTCCCAGAAAACTTAGACGTTTTCTTTGTAGTTTGAACGTATAAAATTCATATTAGGTTAGGTTTCAGGGTACTGTATAAGCAATTTTCGGAACTTTAATCCAGTAATAAAACTATTTTTAAGGATTTCAAAGTCAAGCTTACAATATTCCATAATATCAATTATTGAACTTTGTATTGGTTTCGGCAACTGCAGTTAGGCCTTGTCAGCTTAGTTTAGTACGAAATACTTCAAATTTTAACCCATTCCTGTAGATGTATCCAATAATTTCCGTTTTTATCCAACTTTTAATTTTTTTATGTTGCATATGTCCGGGAGATTTCAAACAACCCACACAACCCGGCTTCGGAAACACGCACGGAATTATTGTCGTTCAGTGTCGATATGATGTTAAACAGAACAGCTGATTAAAAGAGTACAGTCCAGTGAACACACGCAAGCCAACCGTAAACAAGGTACAAAACAAAGCAAACAGCACAATTAATTATACTAAAGGTCGTCCAGTGGTCGAAAACTTGACCAAAAATGTGTAATGTACAGACTTATTTATTTTCAACCCACGCTATAAATAAAACATGTGATTAGAATTTCCTCGATTTGTTTTAAATTTTCTGTTTAGTTATATTGTGTTGTTATTTCGTCACCAGCGGTAACCCATAAAGTCCATGTTGATTTTAAAATTTTAAATTCATTTTTTTTTTGCTTATTTTTTAGCCTCTTTTAATCTATAAATGGATTCTACGCACCTACAGGAAAATATTTTTCTAACGATATGCGTAGATTTTCCCTGCGATGTACACGAGCTGAGAAAAAAAGGTTTTAGAAACACGCTTGCCTATTAATATATAGATATAGTAAACACGGGCAGATATATTACACACGAGTAACTGTATTTCCGTATGTTTATGGTTTCGGGTTGATTTTTGTTTGTCCCTAGGTTATCATCAATAGGACACGAGTGAGGACTGGAAAGATACTTTTGGCTCTTTTAATGGTTTTTATTTCCACCGAAATTTTATTTTCCATAGAATTCTTTTGCATAAAATAAACGTTCGTTGTCACTGAAGTTTTAGGCCTACTGTTTTGTCTGCCGATTGTGTTACTTTTCGAGTCAACCATTTTAGATTTTCAGGAAACAAATCACAAAAAACACCGCGAACCACGAACAATGCAACATTAAATTACAATCAAGAGCAATTATTGATCAAAAAGCTGTTATTATGTAGTTTACAAAGAGGAAAATGTGCATACAGCTGATGTCCTTGAATCCAGCTTATTCTGTTTCAAACAGGTTAAAAGATAGACACGGTATAACCCCGCAATTAATAATAACGTGTATGGAATAGAACCGATTTGGCAACGGTATGATAAAAACACTCTGTCAAAAAGTTTTCATGAAAGAAATATTTTGGTAACTTGAATTAGTTTCCGGAACAGCTGATTTCTCAATAGTTTGCAAAGCAACTAATTTCTTATTCAATAAACAGCTGATTTACTTTGTCAACTACTTTGATGAAGACAACTTGACAAAAAAATAGGCCCTTTTCAAAATTGTTTCTTTAGAACAGTTAGGTCTGAGATTTAGATAAATATGTGATTTAAAATTACACCGTTTTTCATTATGTGTTTGTACACCATTGTATTTATGTTTATTACTTGCTCCCCTTATACATAATATATGGAGACAGTATTGTTTTCGTCAAAATTTTAAAGTTTGAGTTTTGAGTGGATATATCCGTTTTGGGTCCCCCCTGAACCCAAAAAAGTGGTTTTCGAAGTGATGTCTGTATGTGTTTTGTGTACAGAGCTACAGGCCACACCTCTCGTCCGATTTTGATGAAATTTGGTACGTAGGTAAAATTCATTATATATCCGGGCGTTTTTTTTTATTTTTGCAAAATCTTTATTTTGAACGGTGGTTTTCCCATAAAAACCCATAAAATAACGGGAAAATCGGATTTTCTCAAAAACAGCCACAACGATTTTGATAAAAATTTAGAATGTTGTAGTCCTTTAAATTCTGAACAAATGGTACAAATTCCATTTCCGCTAAAATTACGGTTCCAAAGTTATTGTAACTTATGTTATTTCCCCCCCCCCCAAAAAAAAACCCAATAAAAACAAAAAATTGGATTTTTAAAAAAAGATCGGTTTTGATTAAAATTAGAATGTTATGGTCCTTAAACTTTTGAACGAAATGGTACAGATCCCATTTCCCTACAAAGTAGGCCTATGGTTCAAAGGTTAATGTAACTTATCTTATTTGCCTTAGAAGGTGGTTTGAAATAAACGGACTAAAATTAAACCCAGAAAAAAAACACGACTGGTAAAATTTAATACGATACAATCCCGAAATTTCACAGATAAAACAAGAACCAAAACTGTCAAAGGTACTAAACTTGTAGGTTTGCATGTTGATTCAAATTTATCCTGGGCCAAGTGCATTGAAAACAATACACAAGCTTAATTCTGTCTGTTTCCAAATGCTTTGTTTGAGAAATATTTTAGATATGAAAACACGTTTAATGATATATTATGCATATTTTTATTCAATATTGCATTATGGGATTGAATTTTGGGGATTCTCATCAGAAATGGAAAATATTTTTAAAGTAAAAAAAAATACTTAAGAATTATGACATTTGCTAAACGGAAACATTCATGTACGGTACACCAATTTTTTAAAGAACTTAATGTAATGGATGTACCAAGTTAAATCATTTTTAAATCCTTATTAACGGTACAGTTGAATTTTGAAAACTTATATGCAGAGAATTTTGACCATCCATATAACACCCGTTTCAAAAAGAATTTTCAGTTTCCGATTCACAGATTAAAATTAATAGAAAAAACACCAAAATATATGGGAAAGACATTTTTCCTACAGTCACCCGACAAAGTTGGCTTCCTTGTACTGTTTATAGTACAGAAAGCTGCTAATTGCTGCATATTTATACTTTGCCGTACGGTTTATACTTTGCCGTACGGTTTATACTTTGCCGCACATCAGGATTCCAACGAAACAACACAAAACAGCGTGGTTCTATTATGCACGTAATCCGTGTACGCTTGGAAATAGGTTGGCAACACTTAAAGATAATAATACTATGAGCAGCTGATTGACTATTATAACTACGATTTAACCTGTCATTTCGTGTTTATAGTTTCGGTATTTCTGAACTTTCTGGGCTTTTCTTTTAAAGGTTTTTAAAACATTCCTACGATCTTAATAAACAAAAAAATACCTTTAAAGCATTTTTTAAGGCGCGGAAACCACTTCAAATTACAAAAACATACGGAACTATATTCTCAAAACGCGGAGCACATTTCTTGCCGAGGAAAAATAGCGGAGTGATACGGACCACGGGTACTACTTTCTCTAAGGCACCATTTGTGTTGCCAGCTGAACCTAAAAACGTGTCGGATAGTGTTTGAAAGACTAATTATTTATATGTTTTATAGTGACTGTAGGAAAAATATAATGTGTAACACGAGTGAAAAAGGCCTTTGCTGCACTCGAGATCATTCCGCACTCGCCTGCGGCTCGTGCGTAAACATTGCTCTCGTGTGCAGCAAAGTGCCACTTTCACCACTAGTTACACAAATAACTATTTAATAAACTGCAACCAAAATATAAAGATTTAATAAACAAAACGTCTTTTAAAAGCAGCCTTTTGCCTCATTTCTTGTGAACAAAATATATTACAGTATTGATAAATTTTTTGAATGGTGGTAATTTTTTAAATTAGTAAATATTATGTTTTATAAAATAACCCAAATAAATATTTCTAAGAATCTTTGTTTATTTTTAGTATTTTAGGTACTTATTATGATATATTATGATTATATTGACAATGTTACCTGTTTTTGTAGCTGTAAAACGTTTATGTGACAATAAAGATATATTTATTTTTTTATTTATTCCCATAAAACCCCATAAAATAAAAAATATTGGATTTAAGGAAAAAAGCCGGGTTTTATTGAAATTAATTTGTTATAGTCTTTATAATTCTAAACAAAAATATTGAAGCCCCCCATTGCTGTAACAATTACTGTTCAAAAGTTATTGCAACTTTTGTGATTTATCCCAATAGAATAAATAGATCATAGACACTACCACCGCTGATAAAGATTGTTTACAAGCTTATGGGAGAAAGTGTCAGTTTTCTGATACCTTATTAATTTTTGTAACTGCAGGAGTAAGATTTCTTACTTGTCGCAGTTGCATAATAACAACTGTAGACAAAATTGTGCAATTCGTGTGCAAAAAGTCTATCTCAAACTCGAACAAATTTAAGCAAATGGAATCCCTTGTTCTTCAAATTTTCCCTATTTTAAAAAAAGAGCATCTTTGAACATACTGTTAAGACCATAAAAATGAGGCTGTAAAAGGTTATTCTAATTACAAACCAAGCTTGCAGATCACTGTAGTGTCACTAATGCAAAACTATTATAGCCAATAAATTCACGCATTAATATACATATAAAATATTTAGATTTAGTTTGTGGTTCATCTCTTCAATATAAGCCTAATACGGAGACCTTAAGCCTGATAAACGCACACATTTAGCTTTAAACAATTCAACTTCATTAAACATTTGGAAGCGAACGTGTTTGTAAGTTTTAACAATAACTTCTAATTAGCTCTTACATTTTTAATGTGTGATCAAAATTAGGTAATTTTTGTCTTTGAGTACTGTTTGTCCCTTAAGGTCTCCACCGAGACTATGTAGCCAGTCAGGCTAAGATAAAATCTGAGACCAACATAGAATAATATAATAACAGGTTAAAAACATACCTTTTTGTTCGTCAAGGCTTTTAATTATTCTGGTGTGACTAGTTCGACAATTTCACTGGGGAAGACTAAAGACAGACAAAAAGGTACGTAACCTATTATATTGTTCGTACCAGTCTTGGTGGAAAAAATGCTTAAACCATAAACCCACACAGTGTTCCAAACTTTACTTAGTATTATTCTATTATTCGTTCATAATCCTTGTATTAGGCATCCAACTTTTTGCAAGTTCTTCAAAAGTTAACTTGTGATAAAATTTTTATTTTTTTTATTTTCATGTTTAACAAAAGGTTTTTGAGAATGGGATGGGATGCTCAACTAGTTTACCTGGGCAAATTTTAAGGGATGATAGATACACACTAAAAACTCAGACACTATACAACGTAAAACGTCTATTAATATCTTTCATGAATCGATGTAATCCCTGAAAAAGTAATTATTGTATAGGTGTGTGACCTTTTTGTGTCTCTAACACCATAAACATTATGTTTTCAGGTAAGCTAGCCAAACTCTTATCCTTAAAATAAAATTCTAATTGGCCACATGGAGTTCCCTCAAAACATAGACAATAGTTATTTGTGCAACTAGTGAGCAAAGTGAGCAATTGCCTCACTCATGAGAAATCCTTAAATGGTTTCTCGAGTGAGGCGATTGCACTTTGCACTCGAGTTGCACATTATATTTTTCCTACAGTTACCATAAGAGAAATAAATTGGTAAAGAAACGTGCCTTCACGTTGCAAATCTGGAGTGAGACAATGTTAACATTGTCTAACTGATGAGCGAATTGGCTACTTTGCTTTCTCAAATCAGTGAGAGAACATGTACATTGTTAGGTAACTGTAGGAAAAAGAAAAAATACCACAACTTTTACATGTTTCAAAGAATCATCGAGGGAACTTTGGTTTCTCCTCTCTGTTTGTACAGGTTTGCTGGTGGTCCGTGCTGAAGAGCCAGTTGCAACCAGCCAAGTCAGCGATCGTTCCAGGTACCATCAGCAAGTAGAGTTCATCAGCAACTACCTACTTCAGGCTGCCAACCTCTCTATCAGTGCTGTCAATACTTCATCAGCTACCAACGACTCATCAGTCAGAATCCAGTCACCTTTTGTAGACAAAAATGGAACATCGACAAAAGACAATAACACGACACCGAATGAAATCCAAGTGATACCCGTTCCAGCTGCAGTGTCTTCTGCTATTGACACACTTCCAGTCCATCCTCGGATACCGAGGAGATCGTCAACAAGGAGGAGTAGAAACGAACACAGACACAGCAGAAGGGTGTTTCAAGGCCAACCTGTGAGATTTCTCCTTCCTCCCTTCAAGAATGAAATATTTGAAACAGTTTCGCTAACTACAACATCTCCTCAGCCGACCAATTCAATATTTACCACGACAGAAAAAGAAGTGAGTTCTACCACTCAGGTTGCCAACTATGAACAGCTTGACGAGAATAAATTGGAACTGAAAGAGTTTAAACAAAACCCTGGACCGCAACATAGAAGGGTGTTTATTCCTCCACCCTTGAGGTATTTACTGCCACCGTTCTTTTACGAAAATTATATCAACGCACAATCCTCCACCTCACCAACTGTCACACAAAAATCGACAGAGGCTTTCACACTTTTAACGGAAGATTATTACTATACAACAAATTCAAGTGCATATAGTCAAAATATTAGTTATGAAAGTTCCTCTTTAGCACCGATCATTGTTATAGAAACAGCATCACAGCCAGATGATACGCAAGACTGGAACTACCCTGAAGAGTATTCTACTGCTCCAACAGATCTAGCTTACAACGAACCTGAAAAAGAAACAGAGCTCAGAAGTTCACCGAACCCTGTGGTTCACCATATTCCATCTAGCACTTTAGCACCTTTGAGGTATCCTGAATTTTTCTTTAAAAACCCTCAGCAGGATGATGACTATAGTGATAACAATGAAAACAGGTGGTCGAGTCCAAAATCATCCTTGACATCAAAACTGCCCCAGTATTCTTCAACAACAGCAATTCCTCAGACTAGTGAATCGTCGGGATTTGTGTTTGGTAGGTACAAAACTAAAATTGACAATTATGCTTCTAGATCAACAGCATCTATTTCATCCACTACCTCCACATCCACTCCATATCCTTTCTTGAGGGGACCAAATATAGAACAGGCGCTGTTTGAAACTGGAGAGTTTCAAGCTGTGATTGAATCAGCTGACCAGAATCGCTCCTCTAATGAATCAGGAGACCCCACTCTATCTATGATGGATCGACCTCTTCTTGCACAAGAAGTGGCTCAAGCCGGTATGAAAATAACTGCACACATGAAGAAAGCAAAAATGAATAGCAATCTCAAAAGAGGAAAATCTAAGTACCATCATCTTAATCAGTTCAACTTTCAGACTGAGAGCGACTCAAGAGGTACTTCAAAGTCTTTACAGCTTGCAGTGGCAGAATCATCTTACTATGATGGCAGACGAGCGTCGAAACAGATTGCAGAAGAAGCAGGTAGGAACTTATTAATATGTCCAAACTATGGGTTAATCTGCTTAGGGATACGACAACACTGTATTAAGAGTGTCACCTCAAGCACATATAAAGAGCACACCACTTTTTTACGAGCCACCTCTTTGTTGTTTAATGATTTGTGAATCCCGAATATTTATCTTGTAGCAATTGAGTCGGTGAAATCACATAAACTTGGCGCAATCTTAGAACTTTAATAAACATCTCTATATTACTTTACACATACGGCCACTTTTGCCTAAGAAAGGACTATAGAATTGCACTAAATTATACATAACAAACAACCATTTTATTTAATACTTCCAAAAATCAAGATAAACAGAATGCTTGATAACAAACTGATAATTAAACAGCTGACTGATAATTAGACCAGCTGATAATTAAATTCCTTATTAATTCAACTATCTAAGATTCTCTGGTAGCTCTTCACCATCCATACGTCTTGGCATTACATTTGAAACCCTTATCTCTTTCGACATTTTATCTGTCCTTTGCAGTCTATTATACAGACTGTCCCAAAAGTCCCGGACCGGTTTAATATTTTCCAAACGACAACAGATAAATCAATAAGATTTGGTACATCAACACCACACCTAAAAATCTACTTTTTTAAGGAAATATTAATTTTCTGTCACATCATGGGGACGTCCCGCAAGGAGTCAGAAGGAAATCTTAAATAGAAGCATAGGTTGACATGTACATCAAATTAAAGGTCTTTACTAGCAGAATATAATGCCACAAATTTGAACTCAAACGAACAACCGAGTCAAGAATGACAGTGGTTCAAAGATTCATTTAATTTGCATTGCTATTATACGCTTACTCCTCGGGGGGCACAGCCCTAGGAATCGGAAGGAAATTGTTAACGTAAGCATAGGTCGATATGCACATCAAATTAAAGGTCTTCACTAGTAGATTACAATGCCGTAAATTCAAGCTCAAAAGAACGCCTGAGTAAAAAATGGCAGTCGTTCAAAGATTCAAAATGGCGGATTCAAGCAATCTTTGAACGGCTGCCATTTTTTATTCAGTTATCCGTTTGAGTTCAAATTTGCGGCATTATATTCTGCTAGTAAAGGTCTTTAATTTGATGTGCATATCAACCTATGCTTCTATTTAAGACTTCCTTCTGACTCCTTGCGGGACGTCCCCATGGTATGACAGAAAATTTATAGTTCCTTAAAAAAGTAGATTTTTAGGTGTGGTGTTGATGTGCAAAATCTTATTGATTTATCTGTTGTCGTTTGGAAAATATTAAACCGGTCCGGGACTTTTGGGACAGTCTGTATGTGACTTGAGTAATTTTACTTCTTTGGATTGGTGTTATAATAAATGGGAATATTACATGTATACATTTTGATAACTTTGTAGAAGTCCAAATAGCCTATGGATAATTTTTATATTCCAGATATTCGAGCAATCCCTGGCCGAGCAGGTAGGGATTATCCGACATTCACTAAACCTCCTGCATCAGACTTCTCATGCAACTCTGTCAGTTACCATCGTGGATATGTTGCAGACCCTTCAACTGGCTGTCAGGTTAGATTGCTTTTATAAAAACAAAAACAATAGTTTAAAACTAAGCTTAGATTTTTCACTGATTAGATGGATACTGGAAGTTGATGAACCAGTTGAAACTAATTTTTATACCAGAACAGTTAAATTATTATTCCTACATTGAGATTACTACTAATGAAGTTCTTTCTAAGTTTTTCATACAGACTTAGGAAAGTTTATGGTAAAAGATGGGATAGCCTACTTTAGTGACCTTCAGCTTCGTCATGACAAAATAACTAAATTCTTGGTCTACCGGAGAGAACGCGACTCTCCTCACTGCACAATGACACCGGCTCCTTAAGATTGAGACGGTGCCTAGGGATGAAGATTGATAAAAATAAGTTATGAAAAAGGTTAATAGAAAAGGTATTATATTATACATACATAGTATACAGGGTGACAAAAAAGTCTGGAAACGGCTTGATATCGTTTTAACTAAATTCGTTAGAAAATTCAAACTTTACACATCAACTTATATGTATGAAAACTACTTTTTGCAAGCAATACCATTTTTTGAACTTCACCAGGGGACGGCCCATGAGGAGTAGGTGCATAATCTTTAATGTAAGCATAGGTTGATATGCACGTCATTTTAAAGGTCTGGTCAAGTGGAGTTCATTGCCGGAAACCGCGTCAAAAAAGGTTCATCCGTTACAAAATGGCGGCAGTCCAAAGTTCTTGCGGAATACCTGCAGAGGCTTTAGAATTGGTAAATACTCATATTCAACATTAGCCGGGAAATCTGAAACCCGTTTAAATTTGTTTTGAAGATTGAATAATATTAGTCTATGAGCTAGTTGACTTTAAAATACAATTTTAGCTCTCAAGGTTATGTTTAATACGAGTATTTACCAATAGTAAGGCCTGTACAGGTGTATTCAACAAGAACTTTGGACAGCCACCATTTTGTAACGGATGAACCTTTTTTGACGCGGTTTACGGCAAATAACTCCACTTGACCAGACCTTTAAAATGATGTGCATATCAACATATGCTTGCATTAAAGATTATGTACCTACTCCTCATGGGTCGTCCCCTGGTAGAGGTAAAAAATGATAATTCTTGGAAAAAGTAGTTTTTATAAATGTAAGTTGATGTGAAAAGTTTGAATTTTCTAACGGATTTTGTTAAAAAGATATTAAACCGTTTCCAGACTTTTTTGTCACCCTGTATATGTATGTATATGTGTTGCATAAAGAAGTGTATTTTATTTTGTTTTAGTGCTCAGAATGTTAATTTATGTGGGACAATTTTATTAATATTCAATGGACATATGCCAACCCAGCAGACGGTCGTATGACCATTGTTGTATGTGCATGTATCAATCTATAGTATCCATTTCATGTACTATGTACTGTACATAATATGTAATGTATTCATTAAAGCACTTTTCTATTCTATTCTATTCTATTAATAGAAAGGATGTGAGAGAAAATTTCACAACAGCACACTGATTCAGGGTCTCATTTAAATTCAGTTTCTTTTTTATTATAGAACTGCAACTAATTAGTTCTATAGGGACATTAATGGGGAAAATGTTTTATTAGTTCAAAAAGATTTTGTTATTCATCACATATGTACTCCAATGTTTCAATTCAATTTCATTAATGAACCAAAAATGTTGTTGCTCGTCAAAAATTTACTCTTTGGAACTGACTAACTCTTTAAAGGCTGATACGTTAGACTCAAGAGCAACACATCCAAACTTCTACTTAAAGCTGTTTAAACACTAGTACAATGGAAAATACAAGTAAAAGAAATATGTGACATGTGTTGTAATTTGGGAATCATATTTAGAACTGTAACGCTTAATCTTTTGGTTGGCCATTGTTAGTGCACTAGACGGAAAGACCGTTTAGTCTGATCAACAGTCAGGCGGTTTAAGGCGTTGTCTCTTTCAGGAGACATGGATTGAATGTCGTCTGTTCAAATACAGTCTCTGTCAAATCTGCTGTGCAGCTGATAAGGAGTTCAACTGTCTGCAGCAGAGCTTTGTCGGAGATGAGGCCCACATGAAATTAAGAATTGATGACTCAGGAAATTCGCTGGACAGGTTCTTTGTGGGCTGCACCCAAAATTATGAAACTTGCTACTTCTTGCTTACGCTTATTGTGCGTGTGTCCACCAAAAGACGTTTGATTATTGTGTTCATATGAGAGTAGAGATTATAACAATTGCTACAGTTAAATCACTGAAAACCCCAAGTTCAATTTATCTTTCTTGCAGGTGTTTTATATCTGTGTCGGTGATGGCCCAGGGGAGCCAATGCTGTGCCCTAACGGAACCATCTTCAGCCAAGACTTCCTCGTCTGTGATTGGTGGTACAATGTCGACTGTCATCGGCAAACATGACCTAAGACTTGCAGTCACACCTTATCATGTTAGTGTATTGATTAGTTTGTGTTGTTGGAAGGCAGAAATTAATCATTACACTTTCAATTTTGGAGGAACAATTGTTTTAAAGGTTTTTTTTAAGTTTTAATTGAAAAGAGGAAGTTCATGCGTTAACTGCAATTATAACTGATAAAAACTGCAGATTTCATCTGAAAGGAATCAAGTGGCTGTTTACTTAATAAAGATTAAAAATATAATTGTTACCTTTTGTTGATAAGCTCAGGGATGAACAGGATTGCTTCAAATATTTCAATATGCCTGCCAAATAATGTATTGTAAAACTCCTATTGCAAATCTTGTAGTAGTTTTAGTTACCAAAGAGTTACCATTAGTTACAATTAATTGTAAATACCTAAATTTAAATACAAATAGGCTTTGTGTGAGAAGGTAATCTTTTGTAACCCAGAATACCAATAAACTATAAGGGGCGGTTCACGAGCTCGGGACTTCATAGTCCGCGACCAGACGTTGGTCCCGGACTATATAAGCGACGACCAAAAAATGGGTTCACGAGTCAGAGCCTAATGATGTGAAAGCCGGGCCCATTGTAGGTCGAGACCAAATCCGTAGCGGAGCCTAATGACAGGGATTCGCAGGGAATTTCTGTTGAGACGTTGGTAACAACCAGTAACAACAGTCTGGAAACACATGTGAAACCACTGCTGTTGACATACGCACTTCCATACAATAGGATGATCGTGAAAAAGGGCTGAACCAAAACGTCCAAACCGATTATTTTCCCCGTATTTCATTGTCCCAATGCTCGCCTATGATAATCTATCTAAGTTTATTTATTTATAAACACAACAATCTACGTTTGTGTCAGATAATGGAAGTCTTTAGAGAAATATATTTTTCTGTGTGCATTATTATAATTCAATTAAGATGCATGATATAAAATAACCGGGTAGGCCTATTTATAACCGGATGAATGCCTATTTTGCATAAATGCCCGATAATTAAGGATGGTGATTTTTGGATAGGATAATTTTAACTAAACTTATTTAAATGGTACAATTATTGAAACTAAAATGTATTTAGAGGTACTGATTATTAGATATAAAAATCGTATGTGTGTGCTAGATTTAATCGTGGCTGTAAACAAAGAATATTCTTTCCGTTATTCTTCCACTCTATAATAATCTAACTGTAAAATGTTGAAAATAATATTCTGCAATTAGCTCGTAATATTATTTATGTTAACAGCTATGGTTTTTAATTTACATTTTGTGTTGTTGCGATTTTTAAAATCAGTTTCATTACAATGCGTTTATATTTACTAGGTAGGAAGGATTTACTTATATTATATTTACTAGTAGGAAAACATAGTTTTTTTTTCTTTGGGCATAGTTTCGAACTGAAAATTTGATTTGTTCTGCTTTCATTACCAAACAAATAGCTACCATCCAAACTTTACTAACATTAAATAAATCACCAGTTTCTCGATGAAAAGTGCCATCAGCCAAAAATATTAGTGCAACTGACATTTCTTTTTCAATTTAGAATACTGTAATGGATTTTGCTGTCGGGAAATCCGTGCCTTGGAGTGAACGCCTCAAATGTCTCATTGACGGCATCTTTGGACACATTTTAATCCATCTTTAAATTCATCAAGTCGTAAAGGGGTTTTAGTCATGATAACGAGCTGGTCCTATGCGAGGTAGTGGAGTGATGGTACATAATTGTTAACATAATACAGTATAGATATTTCATAGTCATATTCAATACACACGGCGACCAGCAAGTAGCCTACAACACAAGACGGTGATATCACCGCGAACCGTACTCAACGACTGACGGTTTGCTTGATGTTTCCCACGGCAAAAAACTATTTCTGATAATTATGTTGGATAACAATGGTTTAACTGTGGCTGATTAGTTATATTTATATTCTACGCATAATTAGCGAATTTCCCTATAGGGAAGTAGCTATTACCGTAGGTCTCATGGTAAGACCTAGGCCCGGGACCGATTTACTTTTTCATTTTGATGTCCCCAGAGGCCAAAAACACTATTCGTTCAAATTTTTATATATATATATATATATATGTGTCCATCCGCACGATAACTTGAGTAATTTTTGTCCGATTTTGATAAAGTTTGGTTTGAAGGTGTAAGGCGGGATAAACTTGAACGAGTTCGCGAACCAGCATAATCGGACTATGGGAATGGGGGTTTACGGGGGGTTTTATGGGGTAAAAATAGGTTTTTCCCATTTTTGACCCAAAAAACATAAAATTTTGCAAAATCTTTCCAAACCATTTTGTAGAGCTTAAAAAAACAAATAATTTAGTATATTGAAGTGTTACTATGCGCCTAATGATTACGGAGAAAATTCCAAAAAAATGTAAATTTTAAATTCCCATGTTATTCTTATGGAGAATAAGTAAACTGTTGTAGTTTGCTTGTTTATGAACATATTTTGATCAAATTTGGAAAATGTTTTTATTTCTTACTAACTATTAACATTTTACAAAAAAATCAGTTTTACCCTCCGTGATGCGGCAAACCTAAGTACCTGTTAAACTAATTCTATTTAAATAGGAAATAAATGTTAAATTTTTAAGTAGACATTTTAGTGACAATCCAATAAGGCATATGGAAATTCGCTTAGTCTGCAGGTTTGCTGCGGCGGGGGTATTTTGTCGTTAAAATTGTAATGACATGGGGTTTATCAGTAAAATATCTTTGTTATGATACTACTTTGTTACGTGCATAATTTATCTGTCGTTTTAAGTTGTTTGATGATTTTTTTCATGTTTTCTGATCCTTTTTACCATTTTTACATATTTTTTAAATATGGTGTTGTGGGTAATGAAACTGTTCGGAATTTAATGAGGAACCATATTTAAACATTAGTTTTTAACAAATAATAAAAATAAAGGAGCTAATTAGATAAAACCGGCATCATGTCACGTTAAACCTGCCTCCTACCAGGTCTGAGTTGGAGACCAAACACCATTGTTCTTTTGGGCCCGAACCATCACATTTGGGCTCGGACTTGACTCGTGAACCCACCGGGACTAATGATCAGAGCCGGGACTATCTGTAATTGGACTCGTGAACCCAACTTTTAAAACCGGGTTTTATCCCTGCACTAATTGTGTGCCGCCTATCAGTTTGGTCCGCGGCTTATATAGTCTCGAGCTCGTGAACCCGATTTTTTAAGTCGCGGCCCAAATACCGGTTATTTCCGGATTCTGGGCTCGGACTACGATAGTCCCGAGCTCGTGAACCGCCCCTAAGAATATTATACATGGTGTTTTTATGCAACCCAAATTAGAAGCACTGTGAGACTCTGTTTTTTGACAAAACAAGCTTATATATTGGTATACTTGTTTTCTTTAATCAATTGCCAACCAGCTTACATGCATTGTTCATTGTTGCATACTAATCTTTGATGTTTAGTGTTATTGAGGATTTATTGTGAATCAGACTTAAAATGGGGGTTTCCCAGGCTCAAATAGATTATGTGTTGTAAGCCTATGTTTTTTGTTTTTAATATCCAAGTTACACATACTTGTACATTTTTGACAAGTCAATAAAAAGTTGATTTTAGGTACTCGGATCACACCTGATCCTAATTTCAAACCTTTATTGACCAAATGAGATAGTTACTTTTAAAGTATTCATTTGCAATAACAACTCTTTGAGCTTGGGAAAACTTAATGTTTTATCCTTCACAGTAGCTTCCCAATAACACCAAATCTCATGAAAAAGTATGCAACAATTCATAGCTGATCGACAATGAAGCAAGGAAAAAAGGGATACCAATATATAGGCTTGTTTTGTCATTAAAAAGTGTCGTTGAAAAAAAGTACCCTTAGCAATCTTGGTCAATAGCAGAAACAGCTAATGTAATTAAAATTATAATTCAAGATGTAAGAAAAATCAACCACTTCCTTGAACAATTAGCAACTATCAGGAACAACAAATGTGTTGTGACACAAAATCAGTGAGTCGTTAGGCCTCAGGACTTTTACCCTAGAGACCCAAGCCTGTGGATCAGGTATGGCTATGGCTTAAAGCTTGATAATGCTACAAGAAAATCCAATAACCCATGACCCCGCAGATTGGAGGTACCTTCAGTTATATCAGTTCACAAATTTTGAAAACAGAAAATAAGTCTAGGTGGTAAGGAGATATTTTCTCTACAGAAGAACACCCTTCAGAATATCAGTAATAGACCAAACATTCACTATGTGACAACTTCTGAATAAACAATCTAATGGGAGTTTGAATTATGCAACTATTATTACAAATACAAATATTTATTGCGTTAACAAGAACATCTTAATGTAAAATTATATACAAAACGAATCAGTCTATCTAAAGAGGTCTTTGATTTTAATAGCATGTAAAGAGTAGATAAATGTCTTTGTTGGTGACCACATCCATTTGTTTCGGACTGGATCGTAAAACATGCCATTGATAAGCTGGATACTGCAGCCGTCTGGAAAAAGTGTTAATTTGTGTTCATCATGTAAGAAAAAAAGTTAATAAACGCTTTAAAAAATAGCATTTTACTTACTGCGAAACAGTGTAGGTTATATGCTAAGGGAACTGCAAGTGCATACCGTTTGCAGCAACAGTCAGTTGCTTTTCAGTAATAGGTGTAAAGATATTATTATTTTTGTCACCTATTACTTCTCCTTCCAGTACGTTTAACCTGGTCATTCTTTCACAACCACAGGTTTATCTTTGGTTATTTTATTTTCTTTTACAAGCCTATTACACCTTATTTTTACATATTTATTCATCATTGGAACGAAAATAGAATACAATTATTAACTGCGAGACTGTTAATAAAGTGTTCAACATGAAGTTATCTTTTCTGCAACATAATTGCTTTTTAGTCTAAACTGATCCTTTGTACCGTACCAGTAAATAACATAAGAAACAATAATTTTCTAACAGCGTAGGGGGCTTAGACCTTAATTACACTTATTTATTAATACTAAAAATAAATAACCTTGAAGGTACCGGATACGTAAAGGCTCGCCTAGCTTGAAGGTCTAACCTGAAGTAATGAAAATACATCCCGGGCTTGTGCCTAGCATCCTTGGGAAAAAATATATACAGTAGACTCCCTCTTATCTGGACACCTTTTAACCGGACATCGGTTTAACTGGACTACACTCGGCAGAAATGACATCTCTTTAACCGAACAATTTGTATCAGCACTTTGGTTTAACCAGACTAGATCGGCAGGAAGTGGGCAGTACTAAAACGACTGTTCTCAAGGGAAAGATTTGAGACCAGTGGTCACGTGTCTAAATACCTCTCCTAAATTTAAGTCGAATATCACAGTAAACAGTCCGTTTTAACAAGTTTTTGGGGACGTCGTTCTAACCGGAAAACCCGTTATCCGGACTGGCCTCGGTCCCGAGGAGTCCTGATAAGAGGGAGTCTACTGTAGGTTATATGTATTTCTATTATATCAGGCTCACTATTAATTAACATGATGTTGTTTGTCAGTGTTATTTCACTCACTCGCCCTAACAGACGACGATACAAAAATTAATTTTATTTCATGATGATCGTCTCGCTATTAATTAATAGAAACATATGATGAGTGTTATTTCATTAACTAATTCTAAAATTTCAGACGACGTTACACAGATAATAGTTTTCATTCTCAGTAATCTTACCAAGGTAATATGTGTTTTCAGTAAAAATATTTTGGTTCAGTACACTTGTTAACAGACAAAAGAGTTGACTTACATTTCTCACATAATACTGATAGTTCGGAAGGTTTGATGAACTTGGAGTAGCTATGAGTTCCCTTGGGGACCATGTTGAGTAGGTTCTCTGCCATGATGATGCCTCCTAGCCACGAAGCTATGGTGCGGTTAGGTGTGGTGATGAACAGGGACCCTCCAAGCTGTGGACAACAATATACAGTTGTATAAACACAAACTAGTCTTGTTAAAGTTGAGATCACAACAAGCTGGACAAACGCCATTATACTCAAGACAGTTGACTATTCATACATATGGTAAAGGTTAATGAGGCACAAATACCGAGGTTTTAAACATTTTTGGGACAGCAGACTTACTGGATTGGTAAAGAGTTGATCCTAGCACAAGCAATGCAACAACTTTAAAACCCCACTAAACACAATTTGACTGTAACAGGCCTTGTTTATTGTCACTGACATCATTTTCAACTAAGGAAAGTTTTATTAGGGAAGAAATATAATAATATCTTTAGGTCTGAGTTTATTTTTCATTTTGTAATTGACCCCCATTGGACCTCAAGATTCTTCCCGATTCCTCCCGATGAGTAGGCCTATATTACTCTTATGTTAAACTTTGAGTCCCTAAAGTTTTGAGTGTTTTTTTTTTCTTTTTATAGGCTCTAACCGAAAAACTCCAATTTGGTCCAATAACTTATGCTTTGTATTGCATCTCCTGCTGATGCTAGTTAGTAGTTTTGGCTAAACAAGTTGTAACTATACACCTTACGAAAAAAAAAAAAAATCCCTAGTACTAGTAATTTTTTGTAGTCGGGTGTCTGTAGAGACACGAGGAACTGTCAACAGAAGGTAAATGTGTTTAGCCTCCCCATCCACCACACAATTCAAGTGAGTGGGTGAGTCGGTGGCTCAGTTGGTAGCATCACGGACTTCGGGCCCAAGGCAGCGATATCGTGGGTTCAGATCCTGGTCACTACCACTAAAATTATCAGTACAATTCACCTTCGTACTGTACCGGCTCACCCCTTGTTTTGCTGGATACGTTCCACGCATAGATCGGTTGTCTATGTGGACGGGCAAATGCAAGGTTAAAAAAGGTCGCTAGCCTCTTTAAAAAAAAAAATCAATAAGAAATCATAATGTATTGGCCGGAAAATTCTAAATTCCCTGCCACTGAACATGAAATACCTATTAGGAAAAAACTGAAAAAGTAACTTTAGAACTGGCTTGTAAATCAACCAGTGTATTCAATCAAGTAATTGTTTGACCTTAGAAGATAATGACCAAAGAAACTATATAAAATACTTATTGTAAAACCAAAACGAGAACAATTATCTTTTTTTTGTATCTTGATGCTAATGTATTTCTTGAACAAATCACTAAAATATGTTTGTCTATTGTCTAAATCACCTACATTAGTCAAATTCAAAATTTAAGGCTGATGGTTGGATCCTGCAGAACCAATTCTAGACCTTTCTGCCACTTTTTCACTAGGCCTACTTATCTAACAAAAGGCCAACACTAGATACAACAAAAACAAGGTTTGAACTATTCCCTTACAAAAAACGTAATAAATGCCAATGCTGTAAAAATCATAAATTTAAACAATCACAATCGCACGTGTTCCTCACCTTAAGAGAAGCAATGCAGGCAGCCAAGAAGGACTCCTTGTCGGTGACATGTTCTATGACCTCCGACGCTACGACCACATCGTACGTGGCCATGGCCTGGTGTGCGTGCTGCTCTACTGTGCTGACCACGTAGGTAGGAGGCTCAGCGTTCTGTAGAGACTTGGAGTGAGATCTGGCGACGCCCACCAGACTGTCACTAGGATCTATACCGGTCACCGACCCTCCTAGTCTGGCCAGCGCCTACGGATAGTACATATTGTATGAGGTTTGTGGGTCCCCCATATTTTCAAATAGTTGAATTCGGGCCAGAAAAATGTTCGGGTCAAGCTTAGCCGAGCTTTTATTTTCGCAAACTAAAATTGACGATTTGCAGCGATTGCAGATGGTGATGCTCTCGCTTTTAATAATGTAGTATTTTAATTAATGTTTTATCAAGGTAAAAAAGGTAGGCCTATTAACAGTTGTACAAGGTACAAAAAAGTATCCTCTGGTTTGAATTCAAAGTAGGCTGTTGAAAGAGTGATGCAACTGAAGCTTAAAAGCTGAAATTTAATTGCTCATTTGGTCATTTTTTTTCTTATTACCGATATCTGTTCCTAACCAATGTTCTATTTCAAAATTCAATTAATGTGGTTATACGTTCATTTTATATCATAAATCTGTAGGCCTACATTATTACATTTTATATTATTTTACTTTTACCGTTTATTTACAATACAAAAATTTGTATCTATCAGTCATTGCTATAAAAAAATTCAAGACGTCAAAGCTTTGAGTTTTCATAAGAAACAATTTGTAATTTCTTTTAAACAATACTTTCTAAAAAAAACCAGATTTTAGTCTGACATGAAGAACAAAAAAGAGATTGGATAACCTAGTGTTAAAAACCTGTGAAAATAACACTCAAAAAAACAAATCCAGGTTTTCCAATAACAGCAAAATCGAGAAAGTGAATATCTTCTACAGCTATAGAAAAATCGTGACCATCTTCAAAAGTTACAGCAAAAACTTAAAATCGTCAATTTTTAACTGTTGAATCTTTGCAAACGCTTTCCGCAACCGTGTTAATATACAATGTTTGCCCAAGTAATCTGTTCATGTTGTCAACTAATGCAGAAGTTGATATTTACTAACCTCGGAATTATGGTGAACTTTGGCATTGCTTTATTGGTAATAAATTTGATTACAATACATACAGGATTGATTAGTTACCTTAAGCTTATTTACAAAACCTTGTACAATGGCATGATACCTCGGATAGAATTCCTCCACCACATCCCACGTCCAAAATCTTCACTCCTTCCAGAAACTTGACCTTGTTCTTCACCTCAAGAGCCTTCAGCCGATGAGAATTGACCAGTCCATTCTTGATGAAAGGGATCCTGCGACAAAATCCGTTCAGACAGGGTTCCATGTGTCAGTAGAAATACAGACTAAAACCAACTAAACCAATGTCAAGACTAAAACACGTGTTTATCTCATATGAGAATTATAATTTTTGCTTATCTAAGTGAGATCAGCCAATCAATTAGTTTTATCAATATTCTGTCATAATTACAGCTGTTACTAGTGCAACACCTCCGGTCGATTGAGTAATTTAGCTTCATTAGCAGACATTGCGGATTTATTTGTCTGAGCGGATCAACTGATAAAATAACGGGGCTCGATTTGATAAATGAATCAGAATGGGAGTTAAAAATAACATCGAAGTAAAAGATGTTTCTTGGATTGGGAGATTGAAACATGTAACTACAGATTACTCAACAGTCTAAAACATTGATTTCTTCAATAATCTAAAAAAAGTATTTCTTCACTAAAATTTTACACATTTTATAAACAGGACAGTAATAAAACAAATTAATCTTTAGTAAATGGACTAGCGTAATTGAAAGTATTAAATTTTGAGTCAAGTTCAGTCTTGAAATTGTTTAATTAACGGCAGCCTAAATTTAGTAAAATCAATGAAAAAACAATCCAAACAATGCACTACTAAGTTTAAAATTGTTCATATTAAAAAATAGTAACAAAACAACGTACATCATTTTGCTTTAAAAGAATAGGATCTATGATCATATCATAAAAGAGCAATTATGTATGAATACAAACATGGTAAAGCTAACAAATATGAGATAACTAATCATTATTAGTCCATCGCACAACTTAACAAAAGATAACATATTTATGGGGATATTGTCTTAGGTTGTAAAGATATCAGAGGTTTATAAACTGGTTTTAAACATATAAAGTTTGAAGATTCGCTTTGATTGAGGCTAGTGCTGTTTACAGCTAATCGATAAGAGTAATAATAAACTAAAACATAAACTTTATAAGATGAAGTCTAGAGGTACTATATAGGTACAATTAGAAGTCTAGAGGTAGCCTACATGTTAAATCTTATCTTCGGATAAAAGCAAAGTCTGATTTCCGGACACGGAAAGTAAGTAAGTAAGCCAAGTACGATTGGAGATGAGTGTAGAATGAGTGGCACGATCTTGTAGTCTTTACTGACTAAGGCCGACATGTTCCTTAGACAGGACTAGCCCATACAGCTAGTGGCAACTACGGGACCTACAGTTAATAGAGAAATCCAAACCACATTTTTGCCTTGTAATTTATGAATTGGTCTAATTATGAGGATAGTACTGCGGATAGTCGTAGTACTCACTAGTGTGGACGTTAATCCACACCAGGGAGTCCCACAGATGATGCCTAAATATCCAAAATTTGTGACCTCTAAGTAGCTTGATTACAGGACGACGCCACGGTCTCAGTCACATGTAAACTGACTAGTATGACAACTAAAAACGCAGCTCACCGAAGGTCATTCATGGCGTGGAGGGCCTTCATTCCTCCAGCCGGGTCCCACCATTCCTTGGCCATGGTCTCGTGATGCTTGACCTCCTTAATATCATAGTGGTAGTTGACATCAGGCTTGTCAACTGTAGTACTCCTGGCACTGGTGCTGCAACAACATCGCTACTTAGACAACATGTAACAATCTCTAATACATATGCAACACCATGTACACAAACACTACACCCAACACTGACAAGAAAACAAATTATAAGAGCAACTTTTGGTATTTATGTAACTAATTGATCAGAATCTAACAATAGAAAAGGCGGAAGAATTGTAATCCGGAAGAATTGTAAGAATTGTAATGGGTGAAGTTAATTGGCTTTTAAACCCCTCTTCAAAATTGGTATAATTCTGTAAAAGACTCACTGGAAAATTACTGTTCAATTATTGTTAAGTCTGTTTTTCAATAGGTAGGCCTAATACATGGGTTGTCCGCCTTCAGTCTGTAATGTAGTCAATTGATTACTAGTTACGAGGCAAAAGACCTATTAGTCTGACATCAAATTAAGAGGAAAGTGTAGCCTATGATATTCAAACAGATGTCTTCACCATCTTACACAGTGATAATACGATAAAGAAAACCTTTTAAAAGATTGTCTACAATCGGTCTCACTTTAATTTGAAACAGATCCTAATTATAAGGCCTTTATAAGTGTGGGCAACAAAGTGTTTTCAAACGCCTTCTACAGCCTATGTTTTTGAATGTAAATTGTGTTGTGTCAATTTGTGTACAGTGACTATTTAAAGTTGAATACCAAACACTTTACCCACATTTTGATGTGAAACTTGGTAACTTAATATGTCATATTACACAAAATACATAACGAGACTGAAGGCAGACAAACCCTTATCTGAATAAAAATATCAGGACCTTAGAAGATAATATAGAAGTGGAAGTTTGAAAACGCCACATTAAGTGTTAACTGTAATACTACACTAATAAACTAAAAGGAAAACATCAATCTGAAAATAACAAAACTATAAGAAAAGATTGTGACTTTTTAGTTTATGCGGCAAAGGAAAAAGCAGGACTGCGGCTGTATTCGAGTCATAAGGTATTAATTATTTAAATCTCTGGAATTCTGCACGTAACGAATAAGAACGTAAGGGCATCTACTTTACATTGGAGTTCAAAACAAACAAAACAAGTAGAACATATCCTATTTTAAACTTCAACTGGCTGGTTTCAAATATTGCAAAACTTTACGTAAATTTGTTTGGTGACATGTGTTAACTTAATTGGATATTTTGTTGATTTCAAGAGCAATAATCTGATGAATTGAATTTGGACTTAACAAAATAGGTCTGTATGAAAAGAACTACAACTAGTTCAATTTGAAAAGAGTGTTGCTCGGCCAGTAATCGTAAGCTTAATTTACTACAATAACAATTTAGATAAAGAATGATATCACAGCTTATTTTTAGGCACAAAAACTAATATATAAATCAATATTTTACATAGTCTATAATCTCAAGCCAAGTTAAGTAATCATCAAAGTGATAGAGAAGCAAGTTGTGGGGGAGTGTCAGATTAATTTTGCAGCACTGAAATTATATTTTTCCACGGGGATTAATATAATTTGAGAATGAAACTTCTTGGGTTAGCAGATTTATTTCAGCAAGGATCAAATGTAGGCCTAATGGTATTTATAAGAAAAAAGCTGCCTAAAAACAATAACCGTTCTAATAAACGCAAACATTTTTAGGAGCAATTGTCAAGTTGTAAATACATTGTTTTTGACTTTGGTCACAGTAAGTTAACGTCAATGTTTGAATCATGCATAGGATAGCTCACCCAGGCAGCACTGTGGCCTTTGCAAGAAAGAAAGGCCACAATGATCCCCATCATGCGTCTAAAGCCACAGTCTTATGGGCTCTACTCCAAAATGGGAACTGCAACAGATATATAAAGCATAGCTGGCACAACCTTAACTAAAACGCAAGGAACTCGACTCTAGCAAAACTTTGTTTAGAGTAGTTACAATCTAAACCAGGTTAGAACGTAGGCAGGCTACTTCTTATTCAATTGTTAACAAACTGTGAGTGATTATGAAACAAACCTGTGATGCTAACCTAGTAGGTCTCTCCAACTTATGATATTCGTAAAATATAATAGGATGAATGGTTGAAAAGTATAATGAAATGTCTATGCACATAGGCTAGTATTGTGGGTCAGGTCATGTAATATTTTAAACTATTCGTCTGTTACACAAGGTCCAAATCTCACCATGTACCAAAGTACAGTAACTCCAAGAAACATAGCCTATATTCTTTCTACAAGCTTTGGACGTCATGGGATTGGTCATCGTGCAACAGCACACTTTTACTCTCAAAAACTTAGCAGTAGCACCACGTCCAAAGCCGCTGCCAGTTGCACAACGCCCAATAGATCGTGCAACTGGTAGGGCTTTAGGACGTGGTCCAACTGCTACTTTTTTAAGAGTGTAAAGTGCACTGTTTCACGACAACCAATCTCATGATGTCCAGAGCTTGTAGAAAGACTATGTTTATTGCAGTTACTGTACTTTTGGACATGGTGAGTTTTGAACGTTGTGTAACAATCAAATATTTTATAGTATTGGACGTCGTAAAACAGCTCAAACATTTTTTTGGGCGTCCTGACACTGACTTATATCATTGGATGTCATGTAACGCATCATCCATATTTATCGGGTCGAATCGGTTAGGTCAATGAGCAGATAAAACTGAGTTTTGTTCGTTGACTATTTTTATTATAGTTTGAGTTACCTATACTCCATTCACAAAATTTAGGCAGATTAGGGGAAGAATTCTATCCCCTCCATGCTCCACATCTTGATCCTACCGTTAAAACACAACTCAACAGCTGAGATTCGTCAAAACACCAATCAGCTGCAATATAAATTAAGTAAAAAAGTGGTGGGAATACTTCCACTCAAACCGCCTAGAAATATTGTGAATGGTTTATAGTTAAAACTATAAACTCGTTGGGAGATACCAAGCTGACACGAAACTAGCCAACTTGACTTGACTCCCAAAACTAAAACGTTATTGGCCCAAAGCGAGTCTAACTTGCGAAACTAACACGCCATTGAAAGCGAGTCAGACTTGCGAAACTAGCAACCCATTGGTGGATTACGAGTTGCGCGCCTGATTTGAATTTCGAAATTGCTTAAGTAGGCCTACTTTTTGTTTTGGCAAACGAATAACGTAGGGGTGGAGAAAACAAACATCAGTAGGTATGAGTCAGTGGCTAGTCATTCCAACATTCTTTTGCAACTAAGTTACAGTTACCTGGAGTCCGTTCGGACTAAAGCTTTAATACTTTTTGTAGTAACCACTTTTACTAGTCAAGTTAACATCCTTAAATATGCCTAGATTGCTAACATTTACGTATGTACCGTACTGTAATAGGCCTATCATTGGTTATTATTTTTTTTAGGTCTATTTTTCTGTAGTTTGTAACTTTCCCCATGTTTTTCTTGTTATTAGCTGTAGCCTATAGAAGTGTAGGCCTATGTGCATTGAAACGTTAACCATTTAAATTTAAGTTGAGCATGATTTATTTTATTTCAGTTTCATTTTTATGTTTGTTAATCTAGGCTATTACAATAACCTAAAATTTATGCTGAGAATGTCAAACTGATAAGAAACCAGCTAACTTGAATCGTAAAACTAAAACATTATTTCCTCATAGTGAGTTTGACTCGGGAAATAATCACGCCATTGGTCGAACGTGAATCATCCAACAACTCGAGTTGATCTCGAGTCCACTAAGAGAAACCGGGCGCGGTCCATGTTTAGTCAAATTTGAGTCAAGTTGAGGGCACTTAGTCGAGTCAAGTAAACTAGTCTGGAAAGTACATATGACTTGTCACTTCAATAATCTACAGTTTTGCCACACTCTTAAATCAAGGTACCTGATCACCAATAATATTGCGATGATGTTGGAGTGGTGGAGTATACCAGTCCTTCAAAACAGGTCTGCTAGATGGCTTTTTAAAACCAGAGAGCTGCTTTTTACAATGAGTAGGCCTAGGACTATATGTATACTGTCCGCGAGAGTAAAGAAGTCCCCTGAGCTCCGGCCTATTCGTAGTTTGAAGGCGTTACGCTTGAACGTTTTGCGCGACAATTAGAGCCGTCTTCACTCTTCACGCGGTATGACGCGTTCATATCAGGTAACACACCATCGACGTCTACACTTTGCCAACATTTCTGGAACGTTAAATTATTGCCCATCCAAGTTTCGTCCAAATAGAAAATTTTCTAATTTTGTTCCCCTAGCTTCCTCATCTCTCGCAAATACTTAAACCTCCAATTAATGATGTCAGGCCTTTCAATCAAACATTTTCTTTTGGAATCGCATTTCTTCCACTTTAACCCCATATCTTTGAAAATACGCCGAAGTGCCCATTCGATCCATTAAAAATTAATCCTTTCTCTCAAAACAGATAATAGTTTTTTTTTCGCTACACTACTGTGAAATAACCTGTTTTCGTTCCATGTTGATCACCTGCGAAAATCCATCATTACATTACCTATTTACTACGGCAAAAGAATGTTAACTATCTATAATATAAAAACGTGACAGGGTTTTTTTTATTTCACCATTCTGAATCAACCACTTGACGGATTTTCATGGTTTTTGTGTTGAAAGAAAGGTAATTTTTAGAACTAGGGAATGTCAAAGCCATAATTTTAGTTTAAGGTTACAGTTTTTTTTTTTATTAAGTTTTAAATTTTAAAAAGTCTAGCAGCCGACGCTAACATGCTACTCTAGCTTTTGGTAGGCCTATAGGCCTAATACCATTTGCTTAACGTAACAGCTGTAAACATTCGGCGTTTTCGATACAAATTGAGCATTTGGATAAAAATTAAATTACATACGTAGAATTGACTTATTAATACTATGTGTAATGCTATAATCATTAATACGTTTATTTATTCGGTAAGAGGATGAGAGTTTATTTAAATATACATAGTAAAATACTAGATGTTCTAATTTTTTTTTTGAGCAGTCTTTTAAATATTTAGTTTGTTTTAGTGCAATATAATTTGTTACAACTAACAGCTGGTTGAATAAAAAATATCCTATAGAACTATGAGGTTAGTTTATTTACTCTGTTATTTTGTCGTTGATTATAAGAAATAAGTAAGATTCTATGACCATTGCTGTATACGAATCGAAGCTAACGAATCTTCAAAAGAAAGCTTATGCAAATTATTCTACTACTCGACTTTTTGAGGAAAGGTTGGGAAAATAACAGTGATCACATGTTTTAATTCATCTTGGCTGCTTTTTCGTCACTATAAATTTTGAACTACTTAAACTATGCTTGAATTAGTAATATACACTATATATACAGTTTTAATGGACTGCTCGATTCTCGTACGTAGGACGGGCCAACAGCTCGTCTTTTTTAGATTTTGACGACGTAAACAAACAAATATTTGGTATTGCTTCATCAACTGTTTAAATTTTCTAAAAAGTAACGTTCAAAACACGAGTGAAAGTGGGTCTTAAATAATGATCAGCCTTCTTGCGTTTTTTCCCGAGTGTACAGAGTTTTTCATGGGTCATTCCATATGAAATCAACCAATGGTCTGGAACTTGAAATCACAGAATTCAATGATAATTTTTTTATAAGTTATCCTATTAGAGAATATGAAAAATACCAAGTTTTAGATTTTTTTGACTTTTGTTTCTGAGTTATAAATTTTTGAAAATCTAAAAATCGTCCGATTTTTGACGCGTTTGAAAATCTTTAAATACCTCTACCTACAAAACCCGGAGTTTGTTTGCAGGTTTTTCTAATTCGTTAAATAGTTTTTTCTGACATTTTACAATAGCTTGCGGCACGTTCTGTTGCCTTTTCTATCGGCACTGATCACTTTTTGTCTTTACATTCATTGTCACAACACTCGATCACCCGTCTAATTAAATCCCTCTCTCCACTGTATAGTAGCACCACATTTTGTTAAATCCATAAATCCATAGCTGCCAGGACTGTCCAAAACAAAACAGAACTCCAATACGCAAACTTACGAGCTGCACTGAATCAAATGACGTGACCACATGATGATAATCCACTTACCAAAACAAAGATATGAGTAATTATGTTTACTTAACAGTTTACAGACGGACATTGAGGCGAGGCACTCAGATGCTTAGCGCCTGCAAATAGTGTGCGATACCTACCCTCCAAACATAGCTGCGTATCGCTCTGGCCCAAGGGACTTCTTTACTCTCGCGGACAGTAATCATAGACTGACACAGGTACACAGACTTTCTCATTGTAAAATCTGGCTTGTTTTTTATGTGGGGTTTGTATTTATAACAGTGAGTGCTAGTGTTAACTAATCATACATTGGAGAATATAATTTGTGTTTTGACTTATTTATTTTTCACCAAGTTAATTGACAGGCAAACCACTGTATAGGTCAACAGAGTTCTTATTTAAGTTTAGGCTGTTTGGTCATAAAACCAGAGGACAAGCTGTCTAAATAATTAAGTTAGATTGTTTTATTTGGTCCATAGGTCTTACCTTAGTTTTAGAGAAGGGAAGGCACAGAGGAAACACGCTAATTGGACGACCATGCATTTTCATATCTAAATTTAACTTAGTATGTAGGTAATCAATGTGGATACTGTGTAGGCTATGTTGTGGGGGATCGAGCTGGTGTAGTGGTTAAAGCGTGGGATTTTGGTCCCGTGTTCAAATCCCGCCAAATCACCAATGGATTTTATCTAAGTGGTAATGGAAAGTTCAGAATGTGATCTTTCGAATGGAATACTTAGCCTATATTGTTCACATCAGAGTGATTAAAATATATGCGGTTTTTTACAGTTGAAAAAATTTGGCCCATACTATCGTATTACGCTAGTGGCAATTCTAGGCGTCACGGCAAACAAGCGTAATACGATCGTTGTCCACTGCTAGGGTTAATTTTAATTAGCTGACACATGCTGATGCCTACTTTGAAAGAATAATTGTTCAGATAGAAGGAAATTCTAGCCTAGGTACTAAGTTAAGTAACTTAGCCTAGCCTACTAAGCCCTTTCTATAGGCCTAAACACAAAACTTTTACTAGGGTCTAGGTCTAGTAAAACTGGAGCCAACTACAAACTAACTTACTCTACAGCCAGATCTCGTTACAGAGTATGCTCTAACTGTAGACAAAATTAAGTAAATTCCCCTTTCTTAGGATAGCCTACCTTGTTTTTGTTAGCCGACCAATAATGAGGAAACCAATCAATGGTTAAGTTATAAACTTCCTCTTCCCCGGGAATGTCAATTTAGGACAAATAATTCTAATGGCACTAAATTACAGCTTAGGTGAAAAAAACACTTCTACTTCTATGCTTGATAAAAGTTATTTACCTAACAAGAAAATAAAAACAACGTATCCATACCAAAATGCTCTTCCCTTGAGAACGTTCTTCAATTCCAACACGACGAGGGAGCGCAAACTTGAAGTGTAAACTACCATATTAATCGGCGTTGTTCCTTGATATCAAACGGCGTTACAAGCACCTAGGCTTCACTAGAATAGAAACTAGTAGGGAGTATGGACGAAACTGCTTACGGCTGCATTCTATAATAATTACCCGTGTAAATTACAGACACACCGATTCACCGCCTGCTTACACAACTCGAAACCGGAGAAAAGGAAGGAGGGAGGTTGGGTTGGTTTGGTTTTGGTTAGGTGCAAAAAAGCTTAGCAGACCGATTTCAAAGGCATACAAAAAAGACAAATACTTGAGCCTTGGAGCAGGGACCATAGAAATGAATATATCAGAGACACTAGTGGAGACACTTCTATAACAATCCATTATTTATTATAGGGTACAGTCGTATATTTCTTACACAACTACTACACAATGTTAGTATTTTATTTATTCATAAGTCATAAGTTATTTATTCCAGAAATACAAAATTACAATGTATTGGAATAATCAAGTTTACAATGAAATGTAAAAAAAGATCAAATATAAAAAAAACTCTACCAACTGAAACAATTTTACCTTCTAGTAAATCTAACAGGGCAGAAATCACTGACTACATGTCAGCGGAAAAATCGTGGACTCTGTAGGAAGCATTTTCAACCAAAATGTGCTTAAGATATTTCCTAAACCTGAGCAGATCAGACTCCAGCTTTAGATGTTGAGAAAGTTGGTTAGAAAGATTAATTCCATTGTACAGAAGGCGATGTTGAAAAATGAAGTTTAATTTAAATTTAAAATGAACAATACTCGAATTAATGAGCTGGTGTCACCTGCCTGGTTATCTTATGGGACGTCTGAAGCTAAACAACACTACTTACAACGTTGCCAATTCTACGTACCAGGCCGCGGCCTGCCTGGAGTTTATTTATTCATTCCAACGGATACACCATTTACAAAATAATATATTTAAGCACATGAGTAACACTATGATGACAATAGCTTCTACGTGACGTGAAACATTAACAACAATAAATCTATGAATGAATAACAAGAAATAACAGATTTTGGGACAAAACAAACATCTACAAAACAGGCATAGCAAGGAAAGGAATGTTAGCGGTTTTTCTTCTGAAGGAGGACAACTGTTCGTTAAAGAAGTCAACTTTTGATCCTACTTCATTTCCATGGCGCTGCAATCTTGTCAATCCACAATTGCGAGAGTAGTTAGTTGGTGAATACATAAGTGCGCAAAAGTATCCGAAGATCGTGTTCCTCTCGGTATAAGGAAATTAATTCCCTCCAGTAGGCCGGTAGAATCGATCTCACCACGAACCAGTTTGATTAGGAAAATCATGTCGAGAAGCTTTCTTTTGAGATGGAGAGGTTGGACGTTGAAGCACTGGAGCTCTAGGATTGGATTGGTGGTTAAAGGTGGCCGTGGTTTTAATAGTGCAAATATATTTTATATAGTATTACTTTCCAAATAATATGGGATATTGAAGCGTATTCAATATATATATATATATATCAACGATATATCAAATATATAGTATTATATCGTATAATATATCAGCCAATATTCAATGGCTGGGTTCAATATTGTGCTGAACCCCTATAACCAACGGTACTTAGTGACATTGTTCTCTTGGTCTTACCAAGAAATCTTTTAATATTATTGTTATTGTAAAGTGTCAAAAAGCAAACCGAAATATAACCATAATTATTTCAACTCCAATTTTTGTGATTAGGTTTATGTCTAATAGATAATTTAAGCGTATAAAACTAGTTTGATTGCATTTATGTGTAGAATGGATTTCTAAAATTTAACTCTAAGTAGCTTCCTCCCGTATGTAACACTGATAGGTTCGTATCATTATTGATTATTTGATTCGCCCTGTAAAAATAGAAATAGGCCTAGGCCTAGGTCAGTGCAACTTTTTATCCAGGATCTGTGAGCTTTTACCTATAATTGATAAAATTTCATAGCTATTAACCTTCTTAAAACTTTGCCCTGTATTATATGCTTGATTACCTAAATTGTTTTAGTAATTAAGTGAAGCCTTTCTGCTATCAATGAAATAACAGTTACTGTAGTTCAGTCTATATCATAAGTCCTAGGCCTCTACTCAATCCATCTTATAATACTTCATAATATTGACCATTATCATTATCAATAAACCATTTTACTTTGATAATATTTACAGAGTTGATTTATGCAGCATAACTTAGTAGTTTTATTTTTATCTTAGGCCTACAAGGAGCTAAACTAGGATCGATGTAAATGAGTAGGCCTGTATCCAATTTTAGCCTTTTTTCCTTTAGAATCGAAGAATCGATTTAGGTTGCTAGTCATAGGTTGCTAAACATTATTATATAATTAGAGAGAGAGAGAGAGAGAATCTTTATTTTACAATCTTCAAGATTAACAATGGAGTCAGAATACATATAATAAAATGAAACCTAAGATCTTAACAACCTAAGTCCTTGAAACCTAATTATTACCTAAGTCTGGCATGTCTAGTAACTTTGATGCACTGATGTCATTAACTTAAGGTTCAAATCAATTTAGAGTAGGCTACTGTAGAACCCCTGATATCCGGCCTTGGTTTTACCGGTCCTAGTTTATCTGGCCCCTTCTAGGGAGCCAATATAAAAATGTTGTTCTCAATCTCACAACTTGCAGATGTTTATGAAAGCACTAAACTTAGTCTTTGCAACTTGAGCTCACTATTTATCGGTTTGTTTATACCTTTTACTGTATCACTGGTAACACAGTTCGAATTGTAGAGGTTAAATCGAATTTCGGAGGTAACAGTTAAAAATTATTTTTTATTGGTATAAAATTTTGATTTTGATTAATTACTGCAACCAAATTTGGATTGTAGAGGCTCGATTATGTGCAAATTTGAATTGTAGAGGCTCGATTATGTGCAAATTTGAATTGTAGAGGCTGCATTAAGCGTTAAAATCATTTTGAATGATCGGTATATTATTATTCGAATTTTAGAGGTTTTCTGAGGAGAACAGACAAACATTAAGTTACTAATTATAGAGGTTTTTGCACTAAGTTTATCGAGGTTCGAATTAGCGAGGTTCTACTGTACATAGGCTATTATTACCGTAGGCTGTTTATGAATTGTCATTTTCATAATAAGTTGGTTTATCTGGCCAGGAGCTTGGTCCCGTGGTGGCCCGGATATGAGGGGTTCTACTCTAAAACCTACTTTGTATTCATATAGGCTAAAGACAGCATTAACTTAGCCCAACTTATGCGGTGTAACTTAGGGTAGCCTATGTAGCCTACAAGTAGATTGTCTTAATGATCTGTTGTTAAGGGAACTTGTGGCATAAAGTAGGCTTACATTTCTATTAACCATGAAATTAAAATGTAGTAGTTTGCCTTTTAATATAGCGTATGTTTATTACAGAATCCATAAGGCCACTTGTTCAACAATGGATATATCCAGCAACAATCTTTCACAACCAACAGCTATGAGTATGGACACAGATATGAATCTTTACTCTGTAAGTAGGCCTATTGTTTGATATGTATCATAAACATGTTTTTTTGGATTTTTTTCTGCTTTACCTGCATAATAAGATAAGTAGGCTTAACTTACCTTCAATGGTTTTATTCACTACAAGTAAGTTGGTTTGTTTATCCTAAGTACTTAAATGCTGTTCTTACTGTGTAATTTGAGTTAGCTTTAGTTTTATCTCTCCAAAATTAGCCACCTTTAGTTTATCCAGACAACTTAGCCTCCTTGGAGCCCTGGTTCGAAAGAGTTGCCTTGGGTTTTAGGATTACTGGCACAGAATATTAACCACACCGATGCTGATAAATACCAGCTTACCTAGAGAACCGAGTGATCACCATAGACACTTGAAATGTATGTCTGGGTCCAATTTCGAATTTGGAAAATGCCTCATGTAAGATCGAAACTACACTTATTCATGCTCTCAGAATCCTACCAGGAGCATGAGTGAATAACTATAAATACCAAATAGAACTAATAAAATAATAAACATACTTTCCTACGCAAGAAAGTTTTATCTAGAATCAAATTACAGTTCAATTTTCTACCTTATGTTATGTTGTTTACCAAGTTGATGGGTCATAACAGTTGCTATTGCTCACAATAAATCGTTCCATCAGTTTGACGTGGAATTTACATCAGCACGATTTGGGCTTACATCAATCACAACGATTTTGCTTCAAAAACTGGTGACAACTTTGACATGTGGATGGACTGTCTACTTGAATCCTGCGCTGTCTAGACTAACTCTTGTTACTAAGCTGCATTCTCATATGGGTTATCGGGCAAAAGTCAAGGGTTCTCATTAGTCCTATAGCCCATCACTCTATTGCAGGTTAATTTAGGGCATTTTGTAAAGGCAGGTACCTTTAATCGAGATGAAAAATTAATTAGGCTATCATTACTCAGCCTTTTTAACGTTAACAATTAAACATTAAACTTTTTAATCACAACATGTTCTACTAGTGAATACAATCTAAATAAATATTTGTAGAGTGTTACACAAAATGATAGAGGGTCGCCAGCTCCTGTGCTGGGCAACATTCAGTCTGTACTGACCACTGCCAACACCAGCAGCCCTACTCAGTCCCCTACACCTCAGGTTAAGATGCAGCACGACGGAAACTCCACCCAGGTTAGTGTTAATACTTTGTTGGATTTGTGTTTTACGCCATTGGCATTATTGACATTTTTTGCAAAGGTTTAAAACTTGGTCTGGTCAGTATGTAGTACCTATTACAAACCTGTTGGTAATGGCTCCATATAATGATAGTATAATGACCAATGGTATCATTTCACCTGTTGGTTCTGGCCATGATGTCACAATTGGCTCAATGGTGGACTTCCCCCCTCTACAAGCACCCCCTGTTACACCAGATCCAGATCAGCTGCAGCAGCCTGCGCCTGTGTCAAGTGATGGGGGGCAGATTCTCTCTGGGGTTGTGAGTGATAGTGGCTCTGGTTTTTTATTGGAAACTCCAATACAAGTGATAGCAACATGATTTGTAATGGCGACTCCCGCTCCCACTTTAAACCCATCAGTAATAATAATCTCAACAAAAACGTACAAACAGAAAAAAATTTAATAAAAATATTCCATCAAAATATTCAGCACTTACCATCAAGGATCGAACCTTTATTAGTGACTATAAATGAATTAACTCCTCATATTGTAATCTTAACAGAACACGATATGAAGGAAAATGAAATTAACAGACTCAATATACAAGATTATGATGTAAACAATTTTTATTGTAGAAAAACATGTTTCAAGGGTGGCGTCGTTATGCTTTCCCTGAAGGGTTTAAAGTGGAAGCGGGTGGATGTTCCAAATTGGTTGTCTGGTAGTTTACTTCAAGATAAGCAATTCGAATTTTGTGCCTGTAGCTATATAATTGACGGATTTAAAATTTTGGCAATTGGAGTGTATAGGTCACCTAGCTCGGATTGTGAAATATTTTTAGATAGATTGAGCATGTTAATTTCCCACTTTTCCAAAAAGTTTGTTAATATAATTTTGGGAGGGGATATAAACATTGATGTTTTAAAAAATAACCCTAATCATAAATTACTAAAAAGAACACTAAAAGTTCATAAAATGAGGTATCTGGTCAATTTCCCAACCAGAGTTACTGAGGAATCTGAATCAGCAATTGATAACTTTATAATTAAAAATTGTCATGATTGCAAGGTGACTGTTGAGGGAATTGTAACTTGTCTATCAGATCATGATGGGCAATTGCTCCTTATAAAAAATAAAAACCTAAATAATACAAAAGAGGTTCAATCAACTATAAAACGTACAACTCGTAACTTCAATATTCAAAATTTGAATTTATTTAAAAACCTCTTGGAAACTGAGATTTGGGAGAGTGTTTACATGGCTCCTGTTAAAAGAAAATATGATGAATTTTATAGTACATTTAAGCACTTTTTTGACATTTCGTTTCCCAAAATTACTGTAACTGAAAAGAAACGCAAAAAAAATTGGATCTCAGAAGACCTGAAAAATGAAAAAAAAGAACTACTACAATTGGCCTTAAAACTTCGTAGGAACAAAAATCCTGCCTTGAAATACGAGTTAAAACAAAACAAACTGAAATATAGGGCAAAATTAGTCAGAGCTAAAACAAATTATTTTGAAAATAAAATAAAAAAATCAGCCAATATACAAAAAACAGTATGGCAGATTATAAATTCTGAAGTTGGGAAAGGAAATGGAACAAAAAATAAAAATATTACTTTGAAAGAGGGAAATTGTAGCTTAAGTGATCCTAGGACTATTGCCAACATGTTCAACAATTATTTTACTAATTTTGATCAGGATGTCAGTGGCAACCAATGTGAGAGCAAGATTGAAAATCAAAGTCTTATTGAAAATGAGCAATGTATTAAAAGAGGTTTTGATTTTAAATTTATTGATGCGGGGGAGGTGGAAAAAGTAATTAACTCTTTAAAAAACAAACATTCTGTTGGACACGATGATGTCCCTATTAAAGTTATAAAGCATGCCAAAAAATGCCTGAGCCATATTTTAAGTCATTTAATAAATTCATCTTTTGTATCAGGAATTTTTCCAAATCAATTAAAAAAATCTAAAATAATACCAATTTATAAGAAAGACGACCTAGAAACTGTGTCAAATTACCGTCCTATTTCTCTCCTACCAGTAATATCAAAAATTTATGAAAAAATTGTTAACTGTCAGTTATTAAATTATTTAGAAGAATTTAAACTATTAAACAATACTCAGCATGGATTTAGGCCTGGAAAATCTGTAATTACAGCAGCAGTGTCATTCATAGAATCTATAATTGAATCGGTTGATAAAGGGGAGTTCACAATTGGAATTTTCATGGACCTAACTAAGGCATTTGATAGTGTCAACCACACCCAACTGATAGATAAATTACTCATTTTAGGGGTTACAAAAAAATCAATAAAATGGTTTCAGTCATACCTAAATAATCGTTGTCAGTTTGTAGAAATCACACATAATCATGATAACAGAATTACAGCATTTTCTTCTGAAACTGAAAGGGTTAAATGTGGTGTACCCCAGGGGTCAATCCTTGGCCCCCTGTTGTTTTTATGTTATATAAATGATGCTGGTGGTGCACTCTCATGTTTACCTCAGAACAATCTTTGTTTTTATGCAGACGATACAAATCTCAAAGTATCGGCTGAGTCAGTGCAACAAGTTGAAATTTTAAGTTTTGTTGAATTGGCAAACATTGGAAACTTTCTAGAGCAAAATAAATTGAAGCTTAATCCTAAAAAAACTAATTTTTTAACTTTTAAAACAAATCAAAATAAAAAGTTAATTAAACCAAATATCATGTATAATGCAGAAGAAATTGAACATAAACACAGTACACAGTTTCTAGGTCTAACTGTGGACCAAAATTTAAACTGGGATGAACATGTTGATAAACTCCTTTCAAAATTATGTTCAGGACTATATTCACTCTCTAGAATGTCTTATTTTTGTAACCATAAAACATTAAAAAACATATATTATGCTAATGTCCATTCGCATTTATCCTATGGTTTGTGCCTTTATGGTTCAACTACAATAGCAAATTTGGATAGGATACTTAAACTTCAAAAAATAGCAATAAGAATAATTTTGAAATTAGAACACAATGAAACAACCAAAAACAAATTCAAAGAACTGAAAATTTTAACGGTATATGGCCAATATATTTACGACACAATTATTCTAGTAAAAAACTGCTTGAGCACCTCTGAGACAAATTATCACCCATACAACACTCGGCATAAAAAATTCCTTATTTCAAGTAAACATAAATTAAAATTCTATGAAAAAAAACCACCTATATAGGATTAAAATTTTTTAAGCATCTTCCTAATGAAATCAGAAATGAACAAAGCAGGAAGAATTTCATGAGAAAGCTAAAACTATATTTAGTAGAGAAAGCATTCTATTCCCTGGAAGAGTATTTTTCCACTTCCCCTCTTAGCGTTAGTACATAATTGATTCAGTTTTGATTATTTCCATTTCCTGATTCTTGGTTTTTTATTTAGATAATGATCCAAGATATGCAAATCTGTAAATTATTAATTTAAGATAGATTTAGTTGACACCATTCAATGTACAACACTGTACTTTATGAATAAAACATATTTGATTTGATTTGATTTGATTTATCCAGGTCCACCAGGATCCACTCCCGCAGCTTTTCCCCAACTGACCCCTTGATCTTCACTGCTTCTCCATCCTGTACCAAGTTAACAACCTCTGGTCTACTGTTGCCCTCCTTGTTACCTACCAAAAAAAAAATCTCCTACCACTATTGTTAGCACCCAAAATTTGCATTTAAACAAAACCAATACACAGATAGTCTTGTATATGGACACGGGCTCCGCCCCAGTGGCTCTAGAGTTTCCCATGTTAACCTTATGAGAAATGAAATTATTGAATCTTAACAGCTGTTTCAATTAAACAAGTTGGTTCTGTTCTGTGATGTTCAATAGCATTAAAGTTACAAGGATTACCAACAGGGTGCAGCACTAGCACTATTATTTCTTTTACATTTATGACAACAGCAAAAGGTGAGTGAGCGTAGCGAACGAACTTCAACCTGGAGGCGAGTGAGCTTAGCGAACGAGCTAACCTGAAGGCAAGTGAGCGTAGCGAACGAGCTAACCTGAAGGAAAGTGAGCGCAGCGAACGAGCTCCAACCTAAAGGTGAGTGAGCGTAGCGAACGAACTTCAAAAAGAACCGAAATTTCTTAAACCATGTCCTCACTCATAACTGCTATAAGCATTTGATACTTATATGCCAACCCCGTACGAAGGACGGGTACTCTGCTAGTTTTATTTTAAAATACATCACTATGACAAAACACCTGTTCTTATGTATGAATTGTACTTTATAAAGAACGTTTTGTGTTAATAGAATTAAAAAACGGACCCATTAAAACCGGATCTAGCCCAAGATCCGATTTTTTTGTGGATCCGGTAGTCCGATATCTGGATCCGACCATTACTAATAAACAGTGTCTGCACAATAGAGTGTAGGAGTACAGCTTTTGTCAAAGATAGGTTTAGCGCCCCTTCGTATACAATTATATGTAGCGCCCCTTCGTATACAATTATATGGTTCGTTTCAGTCAATATCAGTTGTTTTATTCCTCACCATCTCCCATATCAGCACACCTCTGTAACTCAGCTGTTTGTATGTTTACAGATGCTGACGAGACCTCGCCTACAAGAGCTTGTTAGAGAAGTGGATGCCACTGAACAGCTGGATGAAGAGGTTGAGGAGATACTACTACAGCTTGCTGACGATTTTGTTGAAACCACTGTGAATGCTGCCTGCCTTCTTGCCAAACATCGAAAGGCAAACACCGTGGACGTTAAAGATGTTCAGCTTCATCTTGGTGAGCTTGTTTGAATCATCATAAGTTTTTCACAGTAATAAGAGTGTCTAACAGTACAAAATAGAGGACCGAGCTTGTCTAGGGGTAGAGAGCAGGACTTCGGTCCCTGAGGTACCGGGTTTAAATACCGCCTAATCACCAATGGATTGTATCTATGTCATAATGCAACCCCTCAGGTCTAGCCTAAAGTAATGTGAAAAACAATCCTAGGCTCGTGACTAGCGTCGTAGGTTACAATAGTACATTTCATCATTTTTTATAAGGGGTAAAGTAAAGTGACTCTTTTTCGACCCTAGCTCAGGTCTGAAAATGAGCAAGAGTTAAAAAGTTTTTTTTTTTTTCGCCCGTGCGATGAACTATATTTTTTGTCTCATTGCAACATTATTTAAGAAACAAAGTAAGAAAACAAAAATACTTATCGTGTAAAGATAACCCCTCAAAATTACTTCCTACTTATCCTTTTCTATTTTGCTTTTGAAAACAAGTACGGTAGCTGTTTTGTAAGTGATTCAATCATATCTATCTACATAATTTTGATTTTGATTCATGTGATTGCTTACATCAAATTTTACAACTAAGTTTACCACAGCTGACTTTTACTCCCTAAGGGTTAATAGAATACTCGACTGCTGAAAGACATGAGAACTTTTTGTGTTTACCAGACCGTAGCATTTTGAATTTGACTTTAGAATGGGTGCAAGTTGATCAAGGCTGAAACCCGTTATGGAAGCCAAATCCTACTTAGGCCTTAGAAAGTCTCTAAGCCTACCGGTACCTATTTTAGGGTTCTTAAAAAAGAACTAAACATCCATTTGTCTGTAAACACTATATTTCATCTCCCTGCTTATTCAATGCTTACTCATTTTCAGAGAGGAACTGGAACATGTGGCTGCCAGGGTTCGGCACAGACGAGCTCCGGCCGTACAAGCGTTCTTCTGTCACCGAAGCTCACAAGCAGCGCCTTGCTCTCATACGCAAAGCTCTTAAAAAATACTAGCCTTCACCTTTACCCACCTACATTATGCAACTCCACGTTTTATAATAAAATATATTTTACTTCATATATTCTTTTTTTTTATAAAAAACCCTAAGACCTACAGATAAAAGTTATATCAGCCATGAAGAGTTACTTTATCTAACCTTAATTTACGACTAGGCCTACCTAAAAACGAATAACAACGCACCTAAATGATAGCAGCAATCTGAAGTAGCCAAGAATGCAGGATCAACCTCCAGTTCAGATAATGTCAACCGGTACCGTGTGTGCGACAGGCCTGTTTTATTCTACTTTCCTTAAATGTAAAATGTGGTCTGTGTTATGTGTTTCTATTGTGACGACACTGCTTCAGCTAAAGATGGTTAGTGATGGCATTGTAATGCCGAACATCGTAATGGAAACTGATTTGAGCTATAGGGGAAGGTAAATCTCTTTTATCACAGCTCGGGCTAAAACATGTTAAAACATGCTCGGGAATTAACACTAGTGTTAGACACCCCTTGAGTGTACCTTGGAGTGTATCCTCTGTTTTGTACCTTTCTGTGGTTATAGGTGAGTAAAACTAAAGTCTTGTCCAAAAAAGAAAAAAAATCACATCCACACACACCTATTGATATGGCATAGAACCACTCAAGCATTCCTAAACCTAAATGTTGTTTTTAGCGGTTCTGAAGGTTGAAAAATCTATACTTTTAAAAGGCAACAGCAACTATAGTATAAAAGAGTGATTTGTCTATAATAAGTGTTTTCAAAATTATTTCTACAACTAACGCTCAAATAAACATAACTTTGTCGTTTATACAGTTAAATTCTTGTACAGTGGGGGGGCGACCGCACCCCCCCCCCCTTGGGCATACAAATACATATATTTTTTACTGCATGTAATACAGTAGCGCATACAAATTGCGTAAAATAATTGTTCACACTAACTTAGGACAAAGAAATGGTATAAAACTGCTATTTTGGAGACTTAGTTTACACTAATTTTTCAGGGGGGTACCCCCCAACCACTCCGACCCCCTGGTTCGCCCCCCCCCTTGTGGCTGTTCTAGATCCGCCACTGTTCTTATAGAAAAATTTGAAAATCCTTACCAGTAATAATTTTTTCATGAATCTAAACTCAGTAGAAAACTACTCTTTTTCAGTTCTATTGAAATTATGATGTCTTTTTATGAAACTCTAAGCTACAAATTTGTAATAAACACGAGAAAAATGAAAAAGACAAGAAGAATTGTAAATGTTATCACAAAGTGTGTTTTATACAACCTATTGTAATTGCTGTTTTTATTTTCAATTTTATCTGGCAAGGTTTCAACCCGTATTTGAGTGGATTTTCACAAATTTTCCTTGATTGGTAAATATAGCAAAAAACCAGTTCAACACTCACACACTAACTAAAACACTAGAAAACAACACATAACACTAGAAGTTGTCAGTTAAAAACGAGGATGGAATAAGTTAATCCACAATTTATTGATGTAGCAATCTTCAACTACTATTCATGAAACAGTTCATCCACACACAGTACTCTAATGAAGTATGAAAACATCACTAAAACAAAATGTTAGCTTGTTTTCGGAGTGATAACACACTACTCAATATTTTTGTCTGGATTTGAAAATTAAATGTTAAAATGTTCTAAGAGCTTGGGCAAGAGAAAGTTTGTAATGATTATTTTATTTTTATCTAAACCAAGGTCATGTTTTTATAAATATATTTATGATAACTTTATAGGTGGTTGTGTATCCATAGAAACAACCATTTAGAATCATAAAATACACACAATGTTGTAGGATCGGCTTGGACAAAACAAATTGAGCACATCACATACTCAGGCGTCAGAATCGTCCCGCCCTTTTGAAAGTTATGCAGGTAATTTAGTTGACATAGTGGGAGAGGTCCACCTAAAATCAAATAGGTGGACAGTTAGGATAGAAGTCCTTTTAGGATGGATAGATTTCTTGTACAATAAAACTTTAAAACTCTCATAGTAAATTTCATTTTTAATTTGGTCAGTTTTGGTTGGCTGTTCTTTTACACCTTGATCTTGTACTAAATTTCAACCAACTTTAAAACTTCTAATCTAAGACAACCTTTTCAGTCAATGCCTTAACTACCCTATCGGCATACTTAAAGACTAAAAAGCTCTTCAATAACATTGTACAAAACACACTTTACATATTTGGAGCACACTTGGAACACACTACATTGTCTTTCATATTGCCAGCTAAATTAAATGCAAGTTTATTTTATAAATCACTCAGCTCTGGTCTCAATCACCCTCAACTACAAGTCATCTCTTCTTTCTATCTTTATCAATTCTACGTCAAACTTCAGTGTAGCGTCGCCTGGTATCTTGGGAGGAGCTCCATTTGAACCGTAAGCAAGATGTGGAGGAATTACTAACTTTCTCTTCTCTCCCTCACACATTCTGAAAATACAGAAAATTAGTCTAATTGCACACTCACAATTTGCAGAGCCAATTGATTAAGAAAAATGTAGTTTTGACCTAGAGCTTGAGGGTTAAATAGGATCAGGGGTCTGCCTAGTGCAATTAACCTTTGACTGATCTAACTTGCAATAGAAAAATTACAAAGTCACAACGTATCTAGAACGTTTTTAGGAATAGCTGTATTTTTAAGGTTTACATATTAAATTCGACGCCCAATCTAAATTTTAATAGGTGAAAAAATCCACAATATTTTGGGTTTTACAGTTGGTTGGGTTTTAAACTAGAAATCAATCTCTCCATTGGGTTTTTTATACTGCTTTTGAGTAATAAGCATGGTCCTAAACTAATAAAAGCTGGTTGAAAACTAACTTAGGAAAATATTTTCATCACTGCTACAGAGAATAGGGGCTACACTTCGATATCTGTTGGCACAAACAACCGAATGAGTAATATTGATTACCTAACTAACAAAACGATATATATCGAACAATCGATCGATATTTACATTCAGTTGTTTGTGCCAACAGATATGGAAGTGTACCCAGAATAGGCTTCGATTTGTTAATTAAAACAGATCGTTTCGTTTTGTAGACTTACCCCATTAAGCCTTGATCCCATCCCTTAATGACTTGACCTGATCCTAAAGTGAATGTGAGAGGATCTCTTGACAAGCTGCTGTCAAATTCGGTTCCATCTTCCAGTGTGCCCTAAAAATATGTTCGTAAGTTAGTACAAGTGGATAGATAACATCCTAGGTAGGCTATAGGTACTCTCATAGGAAAATGTTTCGTAACTAAAAGCAAGATAACTTAACTTAGTTCCTTTTAACTTACAGTAGGCTTTAGGTTTACCCTTGTATAGGCCTACAGTTTTAGGTGAGTTGTGGAAACTAAATAATAACCCAAAGGGTAATAAATTATATCATATAAATTAGAAGTCTAATATTGATAAATAATGCCATAGGCTACTCAATCAACACTGGCAGGCTTATTTGTACCTCTTCGTTAGTAGGCCACTGGCTACTAGAACATTTTATCCTCAACCACCCTACTAATTTATCCACCCAATAACTAAAAAATAATATAATAGGAATTAAGGTGTACACTTACTCTGTAATGCATGTGCAAAAAGTCCCCTTTCTTAGATTTGACTTTACAGTTCTCAACTCTCTTCTTAATCCCTATTTGTAGCTTCTTTTTGGCAGGTTTTTCTTCTTCATTCGCTTGACAAATAGTGATGGAAAAATAAAGGACTGTAAAAAGAAACAGATATTTTATTTCCATTATCGATTCAATAGAAAGCTAAGTTATCTGAAATTTAAGTATAAATTAGTTAGTTATTGTTTGTTTAGTTTTTAGGTTAGTTTGGGAGGCTGAACCAATTTGACAGGTTGGAATAAAATCAACACGTCAGACAGTCACTAACCAGGTTGACCACACTACAGTACTCTGACGAAAATGCTTTATGATTGAGCACATATGTAGTAAAAAACTGAATCTCATTACACTTATTTATGTGCATGATCTATCAATATGTGTATTTGATACACTTATTATGTATTGATATGGATAATCTTAAGATAATTATTATTTATTTTACTTTCCAACAGTCAAGAACCAATTTGTAATGGGTATTAGGTATTACCTTTAATGGTATTACCTATACAATGAATGATGGCTTATTCTAACCATAGACTAACCAACACAAGTAGACTTCTCATCCCATTGTAAATTTTGAAGCTCGTTTTTCATGTCTAGTACATGAACGCCACACTGGGCGCTAGTGTCGACGAAATTTTGTTTCTATTATTTTAGGGTTAATTTCTTGATTTGTGCTTTACTGTTTGGTTAAATAACTAGGGGACAATTTATTGTTTATGATTAGATCGTATTATTTGGTTATACGAGGTTTTAAATGACTGTACTAACGGGAAACAAATTGTAAACAAAACACGACCTCTACATAAACCGTACAGAACTAACAATAAAATTGTCTTCAGCTGTTCCATTAGGATGAGAAATCTACTAAGGGAGTATGTTTCATCTATGTTCTAACTTAAACATTACATACAAATATAAATGTTCTTGCAAATGACATGCAATACAAATAAAATCAATTGAGTAGTATAAAATAGGAAAACAACTGGAACTGGCTTAACTAGTTTATTTACAAAAATGAGCCCATTTACATCAAATACAAAGCATTTTAAATAGAAATTTACAAAGCAAATCAATAAATAACAACTAATTAAAATTAACAAACAAGAAATATATATATATACTGTATAAGCTATTAACAACAACAATAAATATGTATAATTATCAACAATAACAAAGATAACAGGATTGGTAAAAAATATTGGACTGAAACAATTATACTAGCGGTGATTGTTGATGATGGTAACTGATGAGCGGTGGAAGTCGGCCAGGATACCCTCTTCCGGATTGTACTTTGGCTGTATGTGAAGATTCGAAACTGTTACAGAAGACATTCATCCATTACGAAGCATCCTTGCTAGGGGTCCATGGTATAGAGGTATAGATATCCACGTGCATAGTGCCTCCTTACGAATAGACCTTTGGGATCTTGTTTCAGATGGAACCCGAATACCTACTTCAGACAGCAAAGCAGGACAGTCAACCCATTTAGAAGCTTGGAGAGGAAGATCACATCACATACAAAGCGCCTCTCCCGGAGATCCTGGAGATTTAGGTCCTCCTGCATTTGAGCCACAGGCGCCTCCCGATACTGCAGACACTGGCGAACTCCAACAAATCTCCAAAATCGTCCTCTGGGCGTTCTCAGGCTGATTTATCTGGCCGATGAGATGAGGAGAACAAACTGGGCAGGCATATTCAAGAAGTTGGCAAACAAGAGAGCAGAACAGAGTCCTAAAGTGCCCAAGAGGGCGCCAGTGTTGCTCAGTCCAGTAAGGTTGATTCGGTTGATTGAAAGAAAAATCCCAGAACCCGGTTTGATCTGCTACATATCGTCAATGTGGTTGTCAAAGGTGAGATTCGTCACAAAGGTAACACCCAAATCTTTAACCAGAGACTCGTTTTAAACGCTGGCCATTATTGCATATTGAAAGTGGTTATGCATTTCTCGTAATTTGCCGAATTTCATGATTGAGCACTTGGCAATATTCAGGGCAAATTTGTTGGAAATGTACGACTCATTAATGGATGTAAGGATGTTACAGTAATAAACACGACCTACAGGAATATCTATAGAACGAACTTTATTACCATATTGACTTTAGATATATTTAGTAGACATCTCATTTACGTGAAACAGATGCAGCATTGAATTTGGATACCCCAAGTAGAAATTCCATTTTTGTAAACAAAGATCTACGATTGACTTTGGACGGTGCAAATTTAAATTGCACTTACAAGAAACTGTTAAGCATTAAATTTGGATACTGCTAGTAAATATTCCATTTTATGTGATCCAGGTGTACCATTGACTTTAGATACTGCAAATATACATCTCATTTACTTGAACCAGATCCAGTATTGACTTAAGATACTGCAAGTATAAATCCCGTTTGAATGACAAAATGTGTAGCATTGACTTTGGAAAAGTATTGGATTAATAAGCTTGCTTCGCTCAATATTGCAAGCAGAGAACTGCATTTTACACCCAGCCCTATTATTTTTATAAAGCATTCCATTAGCCTACTCTTCGTTTGATATTAAAATCAAAAAACTAAAGTAGCCTACAAATCATAAAATATACCCAAAATAAGATGTACCCAATTTTAGTGGATACTACTATTCAATACTATTCAAACGTCACAAACATGAAACACTTATATAAAAGTCTTTACGCAGAATTGTCAATAAGATCAAAAAGTTAAGGTCAATGGTTTAGCTATGCTGTTGCTATTATGTATATGCCGGTATATATACTAGATATAAAAAAACTGTCGACCAATAAAACATTAATTGAGTGATACAAATGTTTATAAAAAGGTAAACACTAAAGAACAGACAGGCAAAGTCGTGATACTATATTTTATCACAATTACGATGTAAAGTCATACTTTATTGTACAAATTTGGTGGCTTTTTGTTTATAAATTCGATCTACCTAACAAGTGTTTGGATTAGACGGTATAGTACATCTTTCCATTGCAAAGCACGGGTACAGCAACTAGTGTAGTATAAACAGAGTGACTCATTAAAGCACATAAACTCAAAGGAACATAATAAATCGCACTCAATAAATTAATCCAAAAAGAAAAGAAAAATATATGGTCAACACCAGCGCTCCAAAGCGTTATCAGACACCACAAACATTTTAACGCAGGCTTGGGTTTCCAATAAGAAGCCTACTTGTACTATCTAAAGTCAACGACCAATGACACCACACATATCCGCTTTGGTAGAGGAGCGAGAGCACATGACCGCATAAAGCACAACACACAATGCGGAAGACTGAGTCAAATGCGACAGGATAAATCAAAGTGGCGGTGGACACCTGGCGCTCAGCTGGACCGGATTATGGCGCGAAACAAACAAAATGGCGTATTTATTGGCGCGCAAGAGCCGTAACTTATAATTACGGGGAAGCTAAGCGGCGTAACTTCCATAAATAGTAACCAGCGACCTTCGCGATTGTCTAGGGAGAGTAAATATCCATTATTGCGTGTTGTCGATACGTGTGGCCGTGGAGCGCAACCGTGGCGAATAAAATCGACAACTTCTCACACTGTTTTGCTAGAGGTATCCGTGTAATCAGTTTATTTGCACAGTTTAATTAGTCAGGGGCTTCATTTCGCAATGCGCGATTGAAAGTGACCGTAATACAACCACCACGATTGGATATGAATACAACCAGAGAAAGCGAATCGTCATTTTAATTAGTGATGAATATTTTTCTAATGTGAATTAAGATTCAATTATGAAGCGTTTTAGGTGGAAGGTAACGTCCATATTCGATTTTGCTGCAAAGTTTGCCTCTTGGCCCACCAGAAATCACGTGTCCAAGGAAGATACTTGAAATGTTAGGTTTGGTGGAGGTGGAGAATGGAAGCTTTGAAGTACAGAGCATAACTGTACTGCAAATATACAATACGGTAGAGAATCGTTGTCCACTTTTAAAATACTGAATCTCTGAACCGAATAAAAATTGAATTTTTTAACACTAAAACCTTCTTTTTTCTTTTTTTTTGTCCTGGGACGTTAGGCACGAGCTCGGAATTGTTTTTCACATTACTTCAGGCTAGACCTAGAGGTTACGGCATTATCACTTAGATAAATCCGTTGGTGATTTGTCGGGATTTGAACCCGGGACCCCAGGAACCGGAGTCTCGCGCTCTAACCACTAGACCAGCTCGCTCCCCCACTACACTAAAACCTTGTGTTGTATACACATTCAATAACCGCACCCAAAGGCACCTGGTACATTACAAACTACAAAAATATTGGCTATTGTTTTGAAATATAAGAAAAAAGTTTAGGCAACACAAACGCACTGAAGTCGTACGAACAATGCTTTATGTTTTACAATATCATCTGTAGTCTAATTGCAGTACTGTACCAACTACCTGTACTCAAAGTCAATTGTAAAACCCACTGTTTACAGAACTCTCTAGTCATCAACAATATCTTTACACATCCACCAACAAGCGTAAAACAGTCTCGTCTTTATCAGTATTTTCCCACAATCCATGTCCAATGACCATCTCTCCCGCCAGAACCTCAGCCACAGCCTCCTAGATATCCTCACCTCTCTACGGATCATATGATAATTAAGACGCTCGGATAAACGCAGCCAAGCCGTGTACACATTGTGTCTACGCATGATCATTAATATCTTCCTACAACGGGGATCGTACCCGGAAACCAGTCTGATAAACAGGCTATTGATACCAAGACATTCTCACAGTAGGTCAATAGAATCATTGAACATGTACTGTACGTTGCTTCTAGTCTTCTCCGACCATTCATATGGGAACAATAGTCTGGATGTCCCATTAGAGTATCGTTTTCTATCTTCTTGAATGAGGAAGATGGTAAAAGATTCATTAGTATACTTAAATAATCTTTGAATGACAAAGTGTTGTTTTTTAAACAACGTGAATAATTAAATATCATTTTGAATCCGCAGTTTTTATAACGGAATTGTTTCTTGCCACTTACTGAATTATATTTGAAGATTACTACCAACTTGTTTACACAAATCAATGACTTTTGAACATCAATAAGTTATTCAATAACTATTTATGTCACCGTAGACTTTTTTGAATTTTGATTGTAAATCTATTAGATATTAGTTTACAGCTATTATATCTACATTACTTTTCTTTTGTCCATGCATTGACTCATCAGTTCTTCCCTTAGAGAGCTTATATCCTTCTAGC